AGAGACTACTTTGGGGGTATCGAAATGACAAGGGTCCCAACAGACGATTGGGATGAGGTCGAGAAGATTGTTAAAAAAGTGATTAAAAGTTAGACTATATAATTGATATATGTGAGCTCTATAATATATAAAGCATTAATAATTTCTTTTTATTTCGTGCTATTTACAGTAGATATTCTAATCTAATTTTACAAATTGTTGCGTTCTTGAAGGTGATCTAGAAGCTACAACATCCCAATCAATGCATTCCCATAGGTTATCAAGGTAGAATTGTTTGCCAAAGACACCGTAGTCCAACAAGTAATTTCTGGAAGAAGCGTCAATTGCTAATAAAGGTAATAATTTTCTATCATTGAACAATATACTAGCTTCCGCTTCGTCTACAGATCCTAGTAACAAGTCATTCTCTATCGCACTTTCATCTTCCTCTTCTTCTCCCTTGTACTCATCATTATGTTCCTCATTTTCTATGTTCCTTCTTTCCTCCATTTTTTTCTTCAGAGCTGCAAGTTTGGCTGCCTTTTGCATCTTTAACTTGGTTAATTGTCCACTTCTAAGAGTATCATCAACAACACCAGCATTATAGGTGTTTACAATCGCAAGGTTGCTATAAGTTGGACCTGAATGGGTTTGTCTGTTAGGACTTCTAAAGCTATTTTCACTTAAGTTGCTTTCAGCTACTAACCAGGTATAACCATCTCCATTTATCGCCTTTGCGGAGTTTAAAAGCAATGTTCTGAACTCTGTAATAGAGCCAAAGGAATCAATCAACCAAGATTTCAAATCTTCATTTAAAGGTTCATTTACAAAACCGAATGACGGTGATTTAAGTAAGTCGTCTGCTTTTGCCTTTTTCACTAGTGTATTTGAGAACTCTGCATCATTGGGGCGTAAACTTTCCAAAGCAAATTGCAAGTTGTGAAGTAAGGATGCATAGGACAAAAGACCATAAAGTTCGGGTTTGTTTATGATTCCAGCTATTAAACTTTCCAAATTTGAAGGAGGGTTTTTTAACTGATTAACTTCAAGTGATTGATTCAATCCCGCTACCAACTGCTCTCCTCTCTTAAACCAGATTTCATTCACAGCTCTATTAGAGTATAATCCTTTGAAATCTCCATTAGAGATTTTTAAATTTTCCAACAAAGATATTTTTGGCAAACTGTAGGATACGAGCCTTTTTGCATAAACGGAACCAGTTAGATTATTTAAAATCCCCTGAGGTGTAGTTCTAAACATTCTGACAAGCTTTGTAGAATTCCTATCACGAAACCTTCCAGTGAAGATAATGCTTTGAAAAAAAAAAGAAATCGATTCTATAAAAATGAACAATACACGTTTAAATTCGTACATTTAAAAAAATTGTAATATAGAAACTAAAACAAAACCAGAATGAAGAGCAAGCCGAATATGTAATAGGTATAGTAGCCTTTGGGCAACCCAAGATTAAAAAGCTTTAAATAGCAAAGGGAGAGATGGCTCCATTTGATGATTTATGTGTTGATGTAATTAAAAGCTCATAAAGTTCGTTTTATGCTCGATCTATGGGTAGATATCATATCAGAATTTAAAGAAGTGACGATGGAATAGGAGATTGTTATTCTATAACCTTTCATTAACCAAAAAAATGAAACAATCACCTTCTAACCTTTAAGCTCTTTACTCTCCTCAAAAGTGAAGATCCTGCATTATTATCAGCATCATCTTCAAGACCAAAGGAACCCCTTCTACCTTCATTTGCTTCAGAAGAGCTTCTTCTGGAACTGTTCTCGCTATGACTATTGCGCAATCTTTGAACGAGAGACTTCTTCCTCCCTAATCCACCACCACCTCCTGGGACAGACAAGTATTCATCAGCAACTGGCTTTGGCGCAGGAGCTCCGTCTACGAATGTAGATGATCCCAACCCTGCAGTTGTGGAGCCATGAATGGGTTCGGCCTTCAGCTTAGAATCGAAATTGATCACTGATGGATTAGCTTTCATTGTATTATAAGTCGAGAGAGGGTCATTTGAGCTCTTACTTGTCTTTACCACTGGCACATCGTTATCAGCAGATTTCGCTCTTCTGACACTGATCCTTCTTCCAACAATCTCGTTCTGGTCATTGTCATCAAAATTGCCGAAAGCCTTATTTAGCTGGTCCGTTTTAGAAGAACCCGTCATACCTGAGATTGTATTGTTTGGTCCATCTGCTGGGAACGCCATTACGGGAGCAGCTTTGACATTCTTGTTACGATGAGGGGTGCAAGCATCAAAAGGACCATCGTGATGAAATCCACCACCAAAAAAACCGCTGACATCCAATTTATCAATCGTATCCATGTTTTTAGACTTGACTGGCTCTGGAAGCTTTTTTGAAGGTGATTTATTTCTAGAAGACTTGTGGTGGCGCCTTCTCTCTCTGTCATACCCGGATGACTTAGTACGATGTCTTGCCGAATCTGAGTGTGAACGGTGGGGTCTTGAGGAGCGATGAGTCCTCGACGTCAGCCCACGCTCCTTTTCTCTTGGATAATCTGCTTTCACTTTTTCTGGGTCGGCCACCTCTTCATATGCTGGTGGAGGAACTTGTTCTTTAGCTGGAGGTCCAGATTGTGTAATTGAACGCCCCAGTCTAGGAATTGCTGGGGCTGCGCGACGGCCAACGTAACCCTCATCTTCATTTAAGGCAGAAGCGAATGGATTATTTGATGACATCTTTCTGTGAAGTAATTGTTAGTATCTTGCAAAAGAAAAAAATATATTAGAGTTCAAATGTGTGACATTGGAAACGTCACAGGTTTGATAAATACAAATATTGCTAATATATTTGCTAGGCTGAGTCGGATTAAAAGTGCGTCATATGACCCGCGTAGCAAAACAAATTAGTACAATACAGGCCACTAATAGCCCAAATTGAGCATTAAATATAGTGCAAATGGAAATACTTACCTTTCTCCGTAGTTTACACTGCTGTCACTTCCTGTTCTCTGAGGACGAGAAGGAGGTTGAGGTTTTGAAAATCGTTCATTAAGTGGCGAATCTGAAGCATTATAGTCATCTATTCGAAAGCCGCTGTAGTCTCCGTCATCTTCATCAGATGACGCCTCAGCAAGCTTTTTATTCTTCGATACCCACTCTTCGAACTTAGTTGGAGTGCCTGATCTTGAAGTCGAACTCTGTTGTGACTCTGTGAACTTTCTAAAAGGATTGTTTGAAGACAATCTTCTGAGCGATTCAGTAGAGTGGTATGAACCGTTAGGCTGTTGATACATGTTTCCTGTCTGAATAAATATATTTTGACTCCAGAGTTTACGATTAGGAACTTATCAAATAATTATATTGTTCTTTCGTCAACTTGCTAAAAAGATTCAGTTAAGTTTCTTAAATTGTCCTCTTCTCTTTTTTTTCTATGAAAGAGAGCTCTATAATGGAACCAGAGCACCAATGTGTCTTTCGCTATCACTCACAGTTGATTCCTTCGTAGTAAGCGTGAGTTTTTCTTTGATCGAAGCTTGACACTTTGACACTCGATTTACCTTTCGTGCTAAAAGCTATCACTATATTTTACTAATAATACGAATGTGACACCCTTAGCTCCAATTCTATCTGATAAATTGAAAGAAAATTGAAAGAAACTGAAAGAAATGTAAATAGACTTAACTTGCTCGTTAAAAGTGTATTAAAGTCTACGTGTTGGCGAAATATTGTCGTCTCGTAGTCGAAATCCAATTGAGCCTCACGAAAGCTGTTCGTCTCACACGCACGCCCCGCAGTTCTTCTACGTAGTAGAACGCGTAAACGAGAAAACAGAATAAGGGGATAGTAACACAGTGCACTACTAACGTTGCTGGAAAAAATGATGTGCGTTACTCAAATATTTTTAAGCGGTATTCTCTGGAGAGTGCAAGGGCTTTCGAAGACTCGCGTAGCCTTTACTTTTATGTGCATTGGATTATTTTACTAGTACGTGGGCATTTAAAAGAGCACTAACCTCGTGAATGTACTTTAAATCATACGCTGCCGGATATCCTTCGCCCCTAGTTGCGGTGTTGCTGTAAAATAATGATTTTGACCCGCCTTTCTTCCCTCATTGGCGAGAATGAGACCGAAAAAAATTAGGACAACCAAAAAGTCAAGAGCAGCCAAGTTCCAGAAGTGCTGAGCTTCATGTTAAGCGCATCAGAACACTTCGGGAAAAAGATCTTTCATAAAAAGATTATATGCCGGATAATATCCCTTTTAGTGAGAATCTTCCTAAGATGCCACTCAAAAGCCTATAGACAGGGCAGGGCTGATCAATAGTAACGAGCTGTCAAGATAGGATAATGGCTTGGCAGTTATATTTTACGCTCATAAAATAGTTATAGTAGCTAGATATATATTCAAATAAGTATAGTTTAGTTTAATCTCATTGCTCAAGAGCCGTTGGTGGAGTGGCCCTTGCAAGGCACTCATCAATGGCTAAAGGCACTAAATTGATAAAGATTTCCATATCGGTGCGAATTTTTCACCTCGTACGGCCCCGTCAATATAATCAGATGGCATAAACTATGTCTTAATTTAAATAATCTTACTCTTCGCAATGTATCTTCTTGAATAGCTTTGCAAATGAAATTTATGACTGAAAGAGATGAGGAGAAGGCCATAGGCCCAGATGTAATCGAGTTTACAGAAAGCCCCAGTGAACAATATGTATCTCTAGATGACGAGAAGGCCGAAAACTGGATCGACAATGTTGGTTTGAGGTTCAACGCTGAAATAAGAGGGGTAGAAAGAGTCCCTGAAAATAAGAGAGAGGACAAGTCTACTATATCTGCTTTGACTATGTTTTTGTCGCCTAATTTAGCTATATCAGCTTTATCAACAGGAGCATTAGGACCCACTTTCTTTGCGTTAGACTTTCGTACATGTATTCTATGCATAGTCTTCTGGAGTATCATAGGATCTTTGTCTGTAGGATTCTTTGCTGTTTTTGGTATGAAGTTTGGTTTGAGACAGCAAATTTTATCAAAGTATTTTACTGGCAATATCATGGGACCTGTTTTCGCAATATTTAATGTCATTTCATGTGTTGGTTGGAATGCGATCAATGCATTGCCTGCAGTTCAGCTTTTGTCATCTGTTGGACCTTTACCACCTTGGGCAGGTTGTTTGATTATTGTTGTTATTACGTGTGCTCTCGCATTATTCGGTTATAAGACGATTCATATTTATGAACGCTATTCATGGATACCAAATTTTATCATTTATTTGATCATGATAGCCAGATTAACCATGTCACATAACTTCACCTGGGGAACTATGGAAACGGGAAAAGTAGAGGCAGGTAATGTGCTAAGTTTCATTACAACCATTTTTGGCTTCACTGCGGGATGGTCTCCATCAGCAGCTGACTATACAGTCTACATGCCTGTTGATACTCCATCTTGGAAAATATTTGTTAACATGACAGCTGGTCTTTCTATTCCATCTATTTTTGCTATGATATTGGGAGCTGCATGTGCAATGGGAACTTACACAGATGAACAGTGGAGCAGGGCATTTAACGATAATTCAGTTGGCGGACTTGTCTATGAAATTCTAGTAGTTGACAACTTGCATGGTTTTGGTAAGTTTTGTGTCGTCATACTAGCACTTTCAGCAATAGCCAATAATCTTCCCGGTAGTTACTCATTATCTTTGTCAGTGCAAGCTGTTTGGGCTCCCCTCGCAAAATGCCCTAGACTTTTTTGGTGCTTTTTGGGTAACTTTGTATCATTAGCCTTATCTATTCCTGCTTATTATGTTTTTGAAGAAGCAATGTCTAACTTCCTATCAATTATTGGTTATAACGTTGCCATCTATATTTCAATCTCTTTGTCTGAGCATTTCATCTATCGCAGAGGTTTCATGGGTTACGATGTTTCTGATTTTAATAATCGAAAGACGTTACCAGTCGGCATTGCAGGTGTGGTGGGCTTTTTGTTTGGAGTAGCATCGACAATTCTATCTATGAACCAATCATGGTATCAGGGCGTAATTGCTAGATGTTTTGGAAAACTGGGAGGTGATATATCTTTCGAACTCAATATTGCATTTGCCTTTGTCGGCTATAACATCATTCGCCCAATTGAAAAGAAGTACTTTCACCGTTAATTTCTTTGTTTTATACTAGAGGTAGTCTGTTGTGCTACTGAAAGCGCCACATCGATTCCCGTGCCAATTTTACTGCAAACAATATTGACAGCTCTTACATTTGCTTTCGCTTTCGTTAATATCTCATTGATGCGAGCAACTTCTATCATAAAGTTAAGTTCAAGGTTCGATATCTTTGCAATTAGGAATCAAACTTGTAATAAAAACTGAACCTGCAAATATGTATTGTAAACCAGTACAAAATTAAAATGTGTGCGACAGCAAGCTTCTTGCCCGATCAGATCCCTTACATAGCGCGAAAATTACATGAACCATATTGTTATCTCCCTTAGTATTTGAATCGCTTTCTCAATTCACTCATATAATAAGTGAAATAAAGATAAAAATTGCCGTAAGACGTTACTCACAGGTTCGATAGAAGAATTGATTTAGTTGGTTCTCTCTTCATTTTGCCTAATTCTATATATTTGATTGTTCAGTACGACGTCGTTGAATTGTATACCCAAAAAGGATTTATATTTTAAATCATTCACAATTGGCAACGTTTTCAAGCGCTTATAAATCAAATCATTATAGAAGTCATTTCGGATTCTTTATTTACATTTTCATATTAAGCGACGACTGAAGATACACATTTGAATCAACATGAGTGAATTGACCAAGGAGGAGATTAGAATGCAGCAAAACAAGAAGCGCACGTATTACTGGTTGAAGTTCGGACCTTATTTATCAGAGCGTCAATGGGCAACTGTAAGGGAAGATTATTCCAGTAACGGTGATGCTTGGTCGGATTTTCCATTTGACCACTCTAAATCTAGGACCTACAGATGGGGTGAGGATGGCTTAGCTGGTGTATCGGACACCCATCAATTAATCTGTATGTCTATGTCCTTGTGGAATGACCAAGATGATATATTGAAAGAAAAAGCTTTTGGATTAACGAATTCTCAAGGAAATCATGGAGAGGATGTGAAAGAGATATACTATTATCTTGATAATGTTCCTAGTCATTCTTACATGAAGTATCTCTATAAGTATCCACAAAGAGCATTTCCTTATAAGCAATTGGTTGAAGAGAATGCGAAGAGGTCAAGGACTGAAAGGGAATTTGAAATCACTGATACCGATGCATTTAAGGACAACAAATACTTTGACGTTGTATTTGAGATGGCCAAAAGTGACGATGATCCAGAGGAATTGCATTTCCGTATCACTGCTTATAATAGAGGTAGTGAACCTGCTCCGTTGCATATTTTGCCACATCTTGTTTTCAGGAACACTTGGGCGTGGGGAACAGAGGAATCGAAGAAAGGAAAGCCACACTTGAAAGCTGAGAATGAGAATGCTATTGAAATCAATCATCCGAAATTTGGAAAGAGGTATTTTGTTTTTGCCCCAGCGCCAGGATTCAATGATGATTCACCAGATGTTGCTCCTGAGTTTTTATTTACTGAAAATGAGACCAACACCAAGCTTTTATATAACCAGGAAAATTCCAGTAAGTATGTAAAGGATGCGTTCCACGAATATATTATTCAGGGCAAAAAAGAAGCTGTTAATCCTGAAAATTGTGGTACTAAGACTTGTGCGTGGTTTTCTTTTGACGAGAATGGAGGTGTACCTCCTGGAGACTACGTGACTATTCGTTATAAGTTAGGAAAGTCTCCCGAATATTTCGATGAATTTGAATTTGATCAGTTGTTTTCTAGAAGACAAGATGAGGCTGATGCATTTTATTGGAGGATTTCTCCGCTACCTATTACAGATGCTTTAAGACAAGTCCAAAGACAAGCATTTGCTGGGTTGTTGTGGAATAAGCAATTTTATCACTTTGTTCATGATTACTGGTACCAGGGAGATCCGAATACTGTTAAACCTCCGAGTAATAGGGCTGGTGGAAGAAATAAAGATTGGAAGCATTTATACATCGAAGACATTCTTTCAATGCCAGATAAGTGGGAATATCCTTTTTTTGCAACTTGGGATCTTGCATTCCATTGTGTTCCCATCGCAATGATAGACCCTGAGTTTGCAAAGAAGCAAATTGATTTGCTCACCAGAGAATGGTATATGCATCCAAATGGACAAATGCCAGCATATGAATGGAATTTCTCAGATGTCAATCCGCCTGTTCATGCCTGGTCTGCTTATAGGATTTTTAAAATTGAAAGGAAAATGTATGGTCATGAAGATTTAGACTTCCTCGAAATTGTTTTCCAAAAACTTTTATTGAATTTTACATGGTGGGTTAACCGTAAGGATTACGATGGAAATAACGTTTTTCAAGGAGGTTTTCTTGGACTTGATAATATTGGTGTGTTCAATCGTTCAGAGAATCTACCGACTGGGGGGAAGTTAGAGCAGGCTGATTCCACTGGATGGATGGCCTTCTTTTGTCTTCAAATGTTAAATATTGCCCTTGAGTTGGCTAAATCAAGGCCCGTGTATGAGAATATAGCATCCAAGTTTTTTGAACATTTCATTCTTATTTCCGATGCTATGACATACAAAGTTGAAAATCAAGAAAGTTCGCTTTGGGATGATGAGCTTAATTTTTATTTTGATGCAATAAGCTATGGTGATCATAATACATTGTTACCAGTTCGTTCTTTGGTTGGTTTGATTCCCTTGTATGCCTCTTTAACTTTAGAGCCTGAACTTTTGGATAGATTCCCTTCTTTCAGGAAGAGATTAGATTGGTTTATTGAACACAGGCGCTCTGTTGCTGAAAGAAATATAGCATCAATGGAAAGACGTGGTGTAGGTGAAAGGTTACTTTTATCATTGGTCAATAAGGATAGACTCGTTTCAATCTTAGAAAGGATGTTCGATGAGGATGAATTTTTGTCCCCTTACGGTATCAGGTCTTTATCTAAATATCATAAGAAAAATCCCTTCGAAATGGATGTCAAGGGTGTCAAATATAAGGTCGAGTATTTGCCCGGAGAGTCTGATTCAGGAATGTTTGGAGGAAATTCAAACTGGAGGGGCCCTATTTGGTTTCCTGTGAACTTCTTATTGGTTGAAGCATTGCAAAGGTTTTATTTATATTACGGACCAGATTTGAAAGTTGAGTGTCCTAAAGGATCTGGAGATTATCTTAACTTGGCACAATGTGCTCAAGAAATTGAACACCGTTTGATCCATCTATTTGTTCCGGACGAAGCTGGAAACAGAGCTTGCAACGGTGATGATGAATTGTTGAACCAAGATCCTCTTTTCAAGGACTATGTTTCATTTTTTGAATACTTTGATGGTGATACAGGTAGAGGGTTGGGTGCCGCACATCAATGTGGTTGGACTGCAGTTGTTGCGAAGTGGATCCACGACAATGGTACTTCTTGTAGGGTTCCAAAGACCCCGAGGACTCCAATTGCTGGAAAATCTTCTAATGTGTTACATAATACCCAGAGCTTGGCTAATAACAAGGATGAAGAAATTAAACAGTACTTGCCTAAGGCTGGACCCTTCCCAGGAAGAATCACAAGAAGAAGATCAGGAAAGTCTTTATTGAACTTAACAATGAACTCTTTGGATTTGGATGATGAAGAAGATGCGACTCTTTATAATATTGCAAAAGAGAATCGTCGCAAGGATGTGAATGTCACCCAAGAAATGAAGAACATATCACCGACGATGTCTGGAACATCTGTAAGCTCGGGAGCTGAAGGGGAGGTTGGATTATTATCCCAAATCAAAGATGCTCTTGCTAAATACAAAATGAAAAGCAAATCTGATCCTTATGATGTGTCTGGTGATGAATTTGAAGCTAAATAAGTTCCGAATAACTGACTAATTTGCCCAGACGTACATTGAAATCCAAAAAAAAATCTTTATTAACTGCCCTTTAATTTTCTATTTAATTTATTATATGCTCCTTGAATCTATATAGAACTCTTTGAGTATGTAGTATGCTCTAGTGTCATTTGCTTCGAGTATTTCATAGCTCCATGCTTTCTTTGGAGAGAGTGGTTTTGCATGAGCCGCACGTTTCTCAAATTTTGTTGTTTGAGACTAGTCACCGATAAATATCACCGTCAATTTATAAGAAACAATTCACGGAGCTGGTCATAAGCATCCATCAAGATGTCTGACTTATTTCATACCTACGAAAGTGATATCCAGTTGGCTTTACAGGAAGCAAAATCGAATTTAACTCAGATTTCAGGAGGTGGCGGTAAGTATTAAACGACGCAATAAAGCTACATCTAACGTACTAACCATTGTCTTAGATCGAAAATCGCTTTTGAAGGCGGTAGAAGATGCGACTGATGAGGGTTTAGAGATATTAGATCAAATGAGTATAGAGGTCCAAAACTTACCTAGCAGTGAGAGGTCGTCATATAATACTAAGATACGCCAGTACAAATCGCAAATTGATGAGTATAAGAGACAGCTCAAAGACTACCTTGATGACCAAGATAGATACGAATTGTTTGGCAGTAGATACTCTGACAATGATGCCGGTGGAGATAGTCTTCATGATCTGCAACGAAGACAATTATTGAATAACAATTCATCGTTAGAAAGAACTTCGGATAGATTGAAAGACAGTCAAAGAGTAGCTCTAGAGACTGAAAGAATTGGAGGAAATATACTTAATGATTTGAGATCTCAAGGCGAACAGATATCGGGCTCTAGAAACGTTCTCATGGCTGCAGATGGCTATGTGGATAAGTCAATAAAAACATTGAAATCTATGAGTAGACGGATGACGGCTAACAAGTTCATAAGTTATGCAATCATAGCTGTGTTGATACTACTCATTTTTTTGGTGCTTGCTAGTAAGTTTTGGTGAGCTGTAATGAATTCTGACTTTGAAAACTTACTTTTGTTTTTTTTTTTTGTCTTTATTTTTTCTCTCTGACATACGACTGTTCAGTTCTTTTGTAATAATTAGGTAGTAAATGACATATAAGAAGTTTAGATGTTTTCTCGAAGCTACTGCAACTTCTCTAATCATTTGACCACGCTAAACTTTTACTTCCTATCCTGACTTCGGTCCGGCTATTTACCGATCTTGGATTACAAAGTATTTCTCATTATTGGCAAGATATATGAAAAAAATATACTAGACAAAAAAAAAAAAATTAGAATATAAAAAATAAGTCCTCACTAACAAACCCAATCGTTAGCTGAAAAGTGAAATCATTATAAAGGCCACAAGTGCTTTTCAATATAAAATATGATTGGAAAGGTTGTCAATAGTTTGGCCCTTATTTCAAGAAATATTAGGGGGACTAATTTGAGGTCGATCCCATACAAAAGGTCATCAATATTTGTTAGACAGTTCCATCCGGCAATACCAAGATTTCATGGCCATCTTCATAAACCAAACCCGGGAGAAGAACTCCACATCACGTTTATAACAAAGCTGGGTGAGCAGTTCACTTATGAGGTAGCCGAAGGCGATAACCTTCTCGATATTGCACAGGCTAACAATTTAGACATGGAAGGTGCATGTGGTGGTTCCTGTGCGTGTTCGACTTGTCATGTTATTGTTGATCCTGAGTTCTACGATTTGATCCCTGAACCAACCGATGATGAAAATGATATGTTAGACCTTGCATTTGGCTTGACGGAGACTTCTAGGTTAGGATGTCAGGTCAAAATGAGTAAGCAGTTGGATGGGATGAGAGTGGCTTTACCCGCAATGACGAGAAATTTACAGTCTAGAGACTTCAATAATTAAAACCGCATATAATTTGGTCTTGTATTTATGCCTCGGGCAGGCATCTTCGATGCCAACCTGGTATCAATTTGATTGTACTTTCTATTATCCATTATAATGCTTCAGTTGAATTACATTTGTATATACATCGATATTGGCTTCTTAACAGTTAGTGAAAGTGTAAAGTTTCTGTTCCATAGTTCCAAATATATCTATCTTTTGACTAGTGAACACCAATTAGGAAATATTAGTACTGCATATATGTTTGTTTACTATCAACATTGACATTAGTACTTTAATCTTCAAATAGTTGAGCAAATATATTTGAATAGAGAGATATACTTGACGAAAGACACCTTCCTTGAGGTACGACCACTTTGTACGCTTATTATTTATAATATTATCTACCTTTTATTGAACGCTTTATTCGATTTGGGTGAAGTTTTATTTGTGTATCAGAGTTGTTAGAACTCAGTTGGCAGTTTTCTACCTTATTAAGATGCCGTCAGATAGTGAACTGGAGTTTCTTAAGCCTCAGGTACCACACCTGGGAACAAAAGCTTTAAATAAACGAGCATTGAATGAAGTCAGTATAAACTCAACGGTTACAGAAAGGCCACTCAAGAAACCATCAATTAGTCAAGAAATGACCAGACCTGGAGAGGATGAAAATGGGGGAACTTTCGTCTCGCACATACCCAAACCATCTTCTAATCTCCTGCAGGGATTGAAGAGCCTCACTGAAAGGAATAGAATGACCAGTGGCATACCTACTCCTGTTGCACCATCGACAGCAGGAAAAGGGCAAATTAATATACAACACATAAACAGGCTAATCGGGTTGAAAGAAACTTTATCAAAAAAATCTGGAGTAGCGGAGTCGGCTGAAACTAGGCCAACACTTCGTACGCGTGTTAGTCAAATAGAGCAAACGCTTGCAAGTGATATAAGAAGACAAAACGACATCCATCAAGACGTGAACAGTCAATTAAACGAACTTAGTGAGAAAGCAGAAGATTTAGAACAGGAATTAATAGAATTGAAACGGTCAATGAAAAAGTCTTCTCATGCTTTGGCTGATATTTCTATTTCAATTAATCAACTGAAAAGAAAATTCCAATATACGGAGGATTCTGTAATGAAGAACGTTGAACATAAAGAGCAGCTAATCAATATCCAAATCCAAGAGCTTTCGAATACTTTATCCTCGCAGTTTAATGAAATTCAGTTTCAATTGCAACATGAGCTCCAGGGAGCTAAATTCTATAGAGATGATGCACTTTTGACAGACATCGACCTGCTCAACAGACAAAGGGAGACTTTGAAGAATCAATTGAATGAAACAAAAATAAGAAAACAGCAAGTAATTAAGAGTGAATCTAGTCAACTAGAGAATGAATTAAATAAACTCCTTGAACCTAGAGTCCAAGAAATTGAAAAAATGAAAGAGAAGTATCAACAAGAAGTGAATAGTTTAGCAACAACTCTAAAAGATCTCGAAACCGTTCAGCAAGAAATAGAAACTAAGAGAAAGGAACAAAATTTGATGCATGATACAATTGAAGGTTATATTTCAAAGACAAACAGTTTTGAAGATCAAAAAGCGACATTAATTAATAGTTTGAGCGATCTCGAATCACAACTAGACTCGGTGAAACAGGCACTGGATATACGCAATTCTGATTTGAGAAGTGCCTTATCAACTTATAACAGCATGATAAAAAAAAAACAGAAGTACGAACTTCAAAAAATGAAGATTGAGAACTCGATAATGAACTATGAAGGTAAAATGAGAATATATATCAAAATAACTGAAGTTAATAATAAAAAGGAGTTTTACCACGAAGGAAAGCTTTATACTTTTAATCAAGTTGTTAATGCTTCTGAGAAGTTAGCAAATGATCATTTAATCAGAAACTTTCAGGTTTTAGTTGAAAGCTTGCTATATGGAAACAATGTCTCTATAACGTATACGGGTTATAGAGATGATGAATTAATTGCCGAGTCAATTTGCAAAAGTTATATGAGCTTAATAAGCGCTTTTCGTGGACATCAAAAACAAGCTATGACAATAAGTTTGAAGTGCATGGAAATTAAGGACTCATTGGAAGATTTGTTTGACTCTAATCGCATTGTCAGTCACCTGAACCTTTCTACCAGCTTGAGTCAGCTCAATTCTCAAAAAATGTTAATCGACAATGAGGATGGCCTAATAAAAGTAATTAGAGATTTTGCTACTTCCTCAAACATTATATATATTATGAATGTTGATATACAATATCCCGAGCTGTTGAAGTCATTTGAGAGTAATTTGATGTTTTTGAACTTAATGTCTAGCGATACACTGCAACAGATGAACTATTTAAATGGGTTTGTTGATACAAGCGGTCAAAATGTGATATCAAAATTATTGCGTTATGCAAAACAGAATAGCAAAACCTTATTAATATCGAACCTTGCAGAAAAAAATAAGTCATACACCCCGATTTTGCAAGCCTTAGAGACAATCAAAGAGACTTGTCTATAAAGTTGTTGGTAAAAGTCATAAACAAACATTTCATTCTTGGTTTATCCCCGATGATTACATGGTAGTTATTAGGTCATGCAAAGTCCATTTTAATTCATTGGTAGTTCCAATATGGCTCTCTGGCTTACGCTGGGACTTACTATCAGCGTTTTCTTGTGGATTTTGTATTGCTTCCTTCGGGGAATTGTCAAGAACTTTTACAGAGGCAATATCATCCGTCTTCATTTCATTGGCTTCTGGTTTCTTAATCGTATCCTTCTTGTCCTCGGACTCCTTTAATACCTCAAGTTTCGGCGGGAGATCGTAGTCTGGTTGAGACGGGTCCCAATCATCATTGTGCAACATAACGTTTGGTAATCTATATTTAGGGCCACTGTATTCTAATAAATGAGGATACATTTCGAATGTGTCATAGAGATCACTTATATTCAAAACAACCTTCTGCTTTTTCGAAGGTCTTTCTTCTTCCGACAGGGGCCGTTTTTTCGGTCCATCTTGATTAGACTGTACGGCGATAAAATCATTACTAGTGTACTTCTTTTCTCTGTATCTCGCTACATCTATAGCACTCTCAATGACATTGTTAAGATGAGTCTCGAGGCCAAGCGATACTACTTCTAGAACTTGAGCATTTACACCTCCGGTGAGGCCATTATCTCTCATAGAGAAAAGTATTCTTCGAGAAAGACTATCGTAATCAGGAAGTTCATAGTTTTGAGTTGCTATTGGGGTATTAATTCCATTCACGACATCTTGCTGCCACTGTACCAAATTATTCACTTGCAATTGTTGCTGTTCTTTGTCTTGTATCATTGGGATTTTAGGTAACAAGGCATGTCTAGTCAACGTTATGGATGCGAAAAGCTTATTCTTTTTGCCACTGTCTCTAGTTATATTCTTTATCCTTCTTCTTTCTTTTATGGGTAAGCCCATAATGTTCTGTTTAAATTTTTCGTATTGACTAGATTTGACATTTTTCGTTTTAATAGCTCTCTTATTCCAGAAGGAAGCAAATTCATTTTGATAATCATTGGAGCTCTCCTTCAATGAGTTTGCTAAATTCATCATGAGTAATTTATTATGATAGTTGACTAGGCCATTTTTTAATAGTGGAGAAATTGTTTCAACTAGCTCATTTCTAGATAACTTTCCCACTAAGAATAAACTTAGAGATTCATGATACTTATTCCAATTATTTCCAAGTTTATTTTGAAACTCTCTTATGAGAGATTGTAGCTCTAGAGTTTTACCACCCTTAGATGGGCTCAGTGTTGAAACTGTTGACATAATATTAATGGAAATGAAATATCTATTCCGACGATTATAATCTTGAAAGGGAATGAAATGTGATCAAAAAATGAGAAAATTCTCGGCCCACCTTCCTTAATTTCTTTCACAACCAATACTAAGAGCCTGTAATGCTTTTATCTAAAGTTTTTGATAGATTAATAATGATTTGATATAAAGTAGTTCCACAATAGAAATAAATACTCATAGATACTTACCTTGTGCTCTACACGAAATTGAGCGATTGCAAAATAATCTAGTGATATACAAAATCTATAAACTGACTAATCACTCTAAGATATTTCTCTATTATGGTTCAAAAGATCTTCCTTGTCTTCGGTAGACTCGAAGGTCCCTATGTCATCATTTCTTTGGATAAATATAAATATAAGAGAAAACAAAACGCTCAATCCTGCCACTCCCGTTCCCATATTAATTGCACTCCTATAGCTCTTTAGTTCGTCACCAGTACGTTGTAATACTTGCGATTCGACAGTACTAGCTATTGCAAGAAACAAGGATACTGAATAATTAATAACTGTTGAAACAAGTGAGCCCGCCATACCTTGATGATAGGCCGGTAAGTAATCTGATAAGATAATGCTTGCACTTGGGAAACTCACATCCATAGCCCAGCAAAGCACGAACATCATTCCCAAGGACACCCTAAAGAATGTCTGATGCACTGGCATAACAGAAAGCATAATACATCCACTCATAAATGTGATTGCTGAGAGAGCCAATAGATAAGATGGCTTCGTCCTGGAAATAATTGCAGATACACAAAGGGCTGCAACAACTCCTAAAATGAAGAGAGGTATATAAGTGAGACCGCCTTGAATTGGTGAATAATGCCTTAAGTTTAAAATGATGCTCCAATAATAGTATTGCCATATTCCAAATGATCCCCAGCCAAAACTTATTATCAATAACACTAGCCCAATTTTGAGGTTAAACACTGACCTAGGAAGTAAAGGGTATTTGACTACCTTCAATTCCAAATAGAAGAACAAAATGATCAATAACATTGAAATTACCAATAACACTATTACGTAAACAGCTGACCAACTGGATTCTGGTCCTTGATTCCAAACAAAATTGAGCAATATCAAACCTGAAACACCAACAGAAGACCCAAGGAAATCCATTCTCATCAATTTTTCCTTGAATAATGTTGCACTCTTCTTGACATCCAGTGGTATCACAAAATAAGATAACATGCCAAAGATGGCAGCCAGTATTGCCATCATCCAAAATGCCCATGGCCACCAGACCAATTCACTGAAGATCGCTGCAAATAACGCCCCGATTGTTGCACCAGTCGGTCCAGAAGCACCTATCAATCCAAATGCAAAATTTTTTCGGGCTCCATTCTGGTATATACTTCCTATTAGACCAACTCCACTTGGAATTAATAAAGCGAAACCAAACCCTTGAAATGCTCTACAAACAATGAAAAAAATTATTGATTTTGAATAATATGAGACACCAGTTAACAAACTCCACAATGTTACCCAAATCCACCCAATATTAAATATCAATTTTAGCCCAAACAAGTCTCCCAATTTTCCGCTTATCAACATAAAAGTTCCAACTGTCAAGGCAAACAGACCCATGAACCACACCTTTTGTGAAGACTCGACTGACTGACCCGAAGCAGCTTCGAATGACTCAGTAATAATATTCATTGTACTTAAAGACATAGTAATGCCGCCCTGAGTAAGGAATTGTGCCATACAGACAATAAAAAGAACCATCCACTCATGAAATTTTGATGTAAAACATGTAGGTCTGGGGTCCATCTTTAAATCTTAAGTATTACTATTTCTGAAATTACGCTCACCAACAACCTGAAAATTATAATTTCATGACTCTTCTTGTTAGAGGCTGTATGAGCAAAGTTCCAACTATATATTTCTTTGCAGATTGAAAATTATCGAACAAGGGTGTAAGGGTGTATACGATGGGCCGATATTTCGCATCTTTTATTTATCGGGATGCCGGTTACACTTCATCGCCGTCCCATAAAGTTTGTATACTTTTACATAAAGACCTTCTCCGCGGGAGAACAAGTATATACGATGCTATAGATTTCGGTTCCATCACTAGTCTATGTGAGTCATATAAACTTTTGGATTGTAAAAAGAAATGGGAAGGAACAGTTATAATCATTCACAGAGAAACGAGTCCGAAAACTGGCATTCCTTTAACCGCACTTTAATAGAAGTGACGTAGCCTTTTCTTCTGTTTCACATATTATGGCTTCTTCTTGTTTTCCTGATACCAATTTAATCTCTGTGTATGGGGTATAAGTACTCACACTTTTGTTTCTGCCACATTCTTTTCCTTGCCACAACTTCGCAGTGGCAACTTTGTAATGATAGGCTGGGCGCAATCAATCACCTAGCTAAAAGCCTTCAATGACTCAAGAAATTCATCAGTCTCCCGAATAAAGTTGCTATTACTGATCCTTTCATCAAACTGAAAATCGACTGGGCTGAGCGCGTTGAAAACTATATTATTTAAATAATAATTAGAATAGAGCTCCCAGAGCACGTTTTGTAAATTATCAACACCGTTGTCTGATACGAGAACAAATTTTAACCCTGAGGCAGATTCCAAGTAATGTATTCTGAAACGTGCTGTTGAAAACGATTTGAGGTTATTGCCAATCTCTGCGTTACCTAGTTTGGATGATATATTCTTGAGGGAATATAATATGCCGAATAATAGCTTGGAAGTATCTGACTCGTTATTCTTGTTAACTAATCCCTGATCATTCTCTTTATGTGAGTATTCCCTGCTGTAGACACAATTACAATGCTTGTCAAAAATGTAAAATGAGTAAATTGTCATGCTACTAGCTGACCGATAGCAAATTGTGTAGTAGTTTTAACCACAATAATGTAAATATAACCACCATAGTACCAAAGTTGTGGTTCACGCTTTAAAAAAAAAACTTGTATGCAGGTTGACATCTGTGTATCCACAGTCTGCAACTTAGCATATATAAGTACTCTGTGGTTCAAGAAATTTAAGCTTTAATTATAGTGAGTAATGTTTAAGTACTGATTATATATAAAGCTGGTAACAAGTTGAAGATACACCGCATGTTTCAAGAGTATTGTTTTGCACATGGAAATCCCTGTATGTCTGGACTGCTTTACTGCTGCGAGGAGTGCAAAAATGAAGACTACGAGTTTTTTGTAATGGATGAAGAAGGTCACATTGAGGAAAAGGAAGCTGAATTGATACCTAATAGTTTGGTTTACGAATGTTTTTGGTGCAAAGCACACCATGATCCTTATATAGCATGCAACGAGGAACCGAATAATTATTCATGGCTGATTTCTAGTAATGTCAAATGGGACAGTCCCTCATATTTTGGTAATACAGCTAATAGGGAAATAGAAATGAATGCAATGAATGAATATGAAACAAAGGAAGATCCTTTAGTATGGAACGGCAACCAAAGTTTGCAATCTAATTATAAGAAGTGGTTGGTGGATAATACCGCTTCCGTAAGTCCGCTTGCAACATCATCATGAAATAATAGGTATTTTTATTGTATAAGGGTATATAGATTTTAATAACAAACTATAATAATTTTTGAGTATCAACTCAGTAGAAACAAAATCATGATTTCAGAAAACCTGCTGACTATCACAATGAAGTACTCAACCCTTGACAAATTATATCAAGAGAACTAGCAAAAGAAATTATAGAGTCTATAATATAATGGCTTACGACTCAAAGTATCTTTCTTTTCTGCGATTTCCTCCTTCAACACATCAAGATCAATCTCTCTTCTGCCTGTGTCGACGTCAATCTCTTCGGCTGTCAAGTAGAATTTTGAAAATGGAATATTCAAAAAAAACTTAGCATATATCTTATGTCCAACATAACAAACGATGCAGAATGCAAGACCAAGGTATATTTGGAAAAATCCTTTGACGTCTGCTTTGCCCTCATTGCCAGGAGGAAATAAAGCAGCCCAGAACTGTAACCCAATAATCACAATAAGCGCAATTATCGCATACCAAGAATAAATTGTGCGGCTAGTATAAACCAATTCTTCCTCAGCAATTCTAGCTCTGATACTCAAAGCCCTCCTGAATCTCAAATGGCAAATACAAATGGAAATATAGGTAAATAAGGCAGCGAGACCACTCAAACTTAGTAACCAGTTGAATGCATCTATAGTTTGATTAGGACCCGGCAATGCCACTAAGAAACACAATAAACCAAACACAAATTGAACGCATAAAGCAACTATTGGTCTCCCCTTTCTGTCTATATAATTAAAAATTGGGGGTGCTTGCTTTAGGGCTCCTAGTGCTGCTAGTGTTCTTGATGATCCATAAACACTAGCATTTCCAACAGACAAAACTGTAATTATAATAAGAATGTTTATAATTGATGGCAAGGCTGGAATCTGTGCATTTTTCACGGCAATGACAAACGGCGAGATATTAATATTGACGCCTACGTTACTTGCTTTACTGTTATTTCCGATGAGTTCAGACGATTTGTAAGACACTAATAAACCGATCATTATGATACTACCAATGTAGAATACCAAAAGTCTCCAGAAGACTTGCTTCATGGCTTTTGGTATTGATTCTCTGGGATTTGCAGTCTCACAACTTGCTAGACCGAATAATTCAACACCCGAGTACGCGAATGCAGTCGAAACAAGTATAGAACAACATTGCTTAAAAGGCTCAACAGAGTTGAACATTCCTCCTTTAGGCGAATGCCAATTTGATCCTCCTATAAATGTATGTCCTCCCCCACCACATACTAAAATGATAGAAAGAATTAAAAACCCAATAACGGCCAAGATCTTAATAAGACTGAGAAATGATTCCACTTCACCGTATCCCTTGACACCAAAGAGATTTATAACCACAATCACGACATAGAAAACGGCTACAAAAACTGCAGGATTGACATTAGTCTCCCAGTAATCGATTGTGATTGAGGCTGCTACTAATTCCAATGGTAAAGTAATTAACCATTCCATAGCATAATTCCAAGCCATCGCAAATCCAAAAGAAGAGTCGACAAATAATGTGTTGAAAGTGACGAAAGCACCAGACAAGGGAAATGCTGTAGCCAATTCAGCCAAGCTAGCCATAGTAGCGAAGATTACCAGCGATACAAACACCCAAATAATTAATAAACCGAAGGGACCTGCAGACGACAACATGCTTCCAGATCCAATAAATAAGCCAGTACCTATAGCACCTCCTAATGATATTAAAGAAAGGTGTCTAGCTTTCAACGTTTTTGAAAGAGGGCTTGTGGAACTTACCATCGCTGCTTTCTCCAACTCTGTTAATCTAGAGTAATCAAATTGATGGTTTTTCTGCTCAACTGGACTCATCATCTTACTTCCATTTGATAAAATGGGTGACATTGCTGACTCCGATTCGAGGTCATTGAATGGAAAACCAGAATAGTCATAAGGCTTAAATGAATCTACAAACCTATGTACCCAGTTCCCTGATTTCATGGTGTCGCACATAGAAGCTGAGTAGCCTGATCCAGTGTATACAGACCCTGCCTCAGACTCTCCTGTATTCATCGTGTCAGCTGGTGCTATCCTGATTGAGTTGTCCATTTTCATATGTGATTCATTATTAGACATATTCTATTCACGACACACCTCCACGGCGTAAACAAAGTTGACTTGTCCTTTAACTTTTGAATTAACAAGTTAATATTTAATTAAAATTGCTCTTTTTTGACCCGTATTCCTACTGTTCACTATTTATGTTTGTAAATAGAATGAATGCAGTAAAATTTAGACGACGGATTAATACTAAATATGAATCTTATCTTTCTCCGCGCCAACTGTATTTTTTGCCACAACGGGGGAGGGTACAGCCTTATTTAAGACGAGTTCGTGTAAGTCAATGTAAGATGCTGTAAATTAATTTTATGACTCAAGCGAGATCACAGATATTTTGCTCTTCATATATATAAGAAATTCCATTACGTTGAGCTTTGCCGATTTTGATCCAATTTGGAAAGATAAGGGCATACTGTGAACAAGCAAATTTTTCACATTGCACATAATACAATAGTTATGGAGCTGCATAAAAGGGGTCTTTTTCTTTGCAATCTGCAGTCCGCTGTCTTTTTCATGGACATAAGAACATTAAACAATAGGTAACAAACTGCGGATTAAACCTTCTACCTCTTCATACTGAGACGAGTACATTAAATATACTTTGAGCATCCATGGAAGTAAGTGAGCTCTTGTATCTAATTGAGAGCGGTCTGTCAGACTTGAAAATTTGTTCCTCTAATGTGTTTGTAGTATCCTTTGAAAGATGGATTTAGCTCTAGGGTGCATGTGGGAAATTATTGTAAGGCTACAATAGAAATATTAGTTTCCCACAATAAGGATGAAATTTAAAACAAAGCTACTCCAAGACAAAATGACATAACAGGCACTATTGTAATGTGACAGGTTCGTCTGGTTATCATTCTCCTTCCTAAGAGGTATTCTTTACTGTCGATTTTTGGGAAATTCATAGAGAACTACATATGTATTGTGAATTTAACTTTATGTATTTTCAGATTTTCTTGGTACTAAAAAGTATATGCTTTTTGAAAAGTAGTTAACGTGGAACACCTAAAGGCTAAATATGACTGACAACATCAATTAATCTCTGTTCTCTAAGTCGATAAACTTACCACCTTTGGCAAATCTTGGGTGTCTTGGATCATTAATGTATTCATCACTGTTCATCAGAGCAATACTTGCCTTATAAATTAAAAAGTAGGTAACACCAGCTAAATATTGTTAGTATCATTACCTTGATAATTAAATTGAAAAAGGTAAGACCCATTTTCGAAAATCAAGTCCTCCTAAGTATACTATAGTATGCATTTCCATGATGTTCATGATATTAGACTTGAAATACAACTAAGAGAATCTCGATTGGACAAAAACACTTCCGTATGGTCCCATATGCCTCATCGTTTTGAACTGAGTACCGCGTAGGATAAACCTATTAATCAATTGCTCATAGAACCATTTACATACCACTAACAGCAAAGGGCCAGTAATGCTTGGCCACAGGAGTTGGAAATTTCTTAATCATTTTATCCTGTTATGTTTAACTTGTATGTTACTTTCAAGAAGAACGATATTGTAATGTTCAAGAGTTTCGCTGCTGTTCGGTATTCGGGTTGACTTCGAACCAACCAATGAAAATTTCAAGTTTAATACGTCAACACACGACCAGTTATATACACGTACTATAAATGCTAAATAGCCATAGGCTGGGAAGACAACAGATGAGAGTTCATTAACCCAAGTATGAATAGAGAAATTCTTGAGTATAGACGTAGAAAGAATACGCTACCTTAATTATTTTAGATTTTTTCAGGACAAAGTTTTAGTGAATAGCGTAAAATTAAGATCTCTTAGCAAATGCATTCAAATTACAAGAAATTCTGGTCCAACTTTATGAACTGGTATACATCTAGTTTAAAGTTATGTATTTTTATAAGGAGACTTTAAATGCTATTCAGGTTATATATCTCGTAAACTCTTATTTCTGGTGTGTCTTTTTGGAACCAACAACTGCATTCGATCTCGTGCGGTATTGGACAACGGTCTACTATGCGCCATCTTTGACTGAAAAATTGATCAAGCTTCTTGTCCCAAAGCTCTAAAGTAATGTCGTTTCTCCTTGTAGCTGCTATTACAACTTTCTTTGTGCCTTTACAGAAAAAAGCATCTAACGTTATGCACAATGAGTGGAAGCTTTCAGGATCGTACGTAATATCTGCTCCAAACACGTAGTCTGCTTGAGGAATCATCTCGGCAGATTCTGGAGGACCCCATATTAGTTGCTGGGCTCTTATTAAGGGAAACTTTTTTTCATTTTGATCTATATTATTAAGATCAAAAGTGGTTCCCAAATTTTCGATTAGCTCCGAAGAGCCGTCAGTTAAAATGACTTGACGAATGTTTTTGACTAAAAAATGATAGTTTTTTATGAGGGATAGCAGGACAAGACCAGTTCCTGATCCCAATTCCAAGACTGTTCGACTCTCTAAATCATAGATGTTTTCGTTCAAGTAGTTAGCGAGATATAGAGATGCCTCCCAAGTTCTTAAACCTGTTGTATTACTTCCAGAAATGAGTCTAGGTAACTCTTTAACTCCTATGGTCGTATCTTCAAAAGAGCTATCGTTACAGCTAGAAAATCCATTAATATGATATTGAAGTATGTCAGGTTCAGTAGCATTTAGTTCCATAGCATCCATCACATCACTCGTACAGAGAAACTCATAAAGTTCGTCGATACAATCCTTTCTTCTGTCTTCTATCCACTCTATGTATTTTTTTAAAAATGATTTAACATAATATGGATTCAATGTAACAATTTTTTTTAACTCATCAAGTATGTTTTCCTGTATCTCTATAGAAAGAATAGGCTCAACTTCAATAGCCTCACTAAATAATTCCCTCACTGGAACCCTTTGATGAATATAATACTTGATATTATTTCCATTGATTTTCTTCTTGGCCATGATATATCTTGAGCGTATGTTATCGAGAAGGTACAATAAATTTGATATCTCAGATCGGAAATTTTATGATTTATACTATTTAGCTACAATATTACCGAAAACTCTAACTCTTTTGACACCACCATCGGGGATAATTGTCACCAAGACATGCGAAAATGATTGATCGTTTTCAATTTTGAAGTCATGTTCTTTATCGGGTCCCGTCTTTGAATCACCCACGAGGACAGTCCATTTTTCGCTTTTAGCGTCTGGAATCTCAGACTCATCTTCCACTTTCACAGCCTTGATATTAACTTTTTGAGGGAAATTTCCTCTGAAATGAGCTGTGTCGATGACGACTTCTTTGATCTTGGTCAATGCACCTAATCTGATAACAACCCAATCTATGTGGCCAGGCCCTCTTGATCTCTTAGTTTCCCAACCATCAGACATATCATGTCCTCTGCCTGGTAATAAAAGATTATCCGCAGATCCAAAGTGCTGATCAGAATACTTGATTGCAACACCGCCATTTTTGACAGATGCCAAGTCGAGGACAGTTGATGGATCCTTTGGTAAAATAGGAATGACGGATCCATATAACCTAAATCTTGCTATACCACCGTCAGGATACATTCTCAATCTAACGTGAGTATAACTCTTTTCAGTTATAGTATCTCTGGTGAAGTAATGTTTTTGCGATGGACCACATTCAACTTTTGAAATTACAGATTCCCATTGAGAATCATCAAGGTTGAAAGCTTCGTCATCAGACGCCAAGTAAGCAGCTTCGACGGATATAAAAGGAGCATGGTTACCATTAAAGAAGGCGGTGTCCACCATACATCCAATCAATTTTGCAGATGCAACACCCATTCTAAATACCACCCAGTCTGCTTCTGCAGTGTTATGTCTTCTAGTTTCCCAACCGTCATACCAGGCTCCAGCGTGAGTGAACCTCGTCGCATCTCTGATGGCTTCTTTAGGCTTAATCAAATTGTCTGCTGCTGCGAACCACTCGTCAGAAAACTTTAAAACTTTTCCTCCAAGTTTTTCTCCAATAACATCGACATATTTGCAAACAATCTGGTTGTGAAATTGCTCTTCATTTAATACTTTTACCATTCTGTTCCAACTCTTATGTTATATTCTCAGACTATATGCACTATGAAAGAAGAAATATAAAAAACCCTATGATCTTTAGCTTAATATATACACTTTACTGTACTGACAATGTACGGTGACACTACTGAAAAATTTGAGGCTCCACAGTTGATCTTAGATAACGCTATGTTCAAAAGTCGGAGGATTCCGACAAAGAAGGTAGACTTCTTATTGCGGATATAAGTTGCGTTGAAGTATAACTTTGTTTTTTTTTGTGCCTTTGCACGCAAAGATTAATTGGGCCCCAAAATAAACAATGCAAACAAAGACACAACAAGAAGAACAACAAAAACTACTAGATAGCAGCGGTTAGTAGGTAGTGGAAATTGACTTCAGGCTTTTTAGGGTTAGCTTATACGATCGTTACAAATACATATTCAGGGACAACTTTTTACATTCTTTTTTCATATTTGAGGCGTATACGCAAATTCTTGTGCCTATTCCAGAAGCTATATCGGATTCATTCCTTCTTTATAATTTACTCCTGATTAATTATGGATGATAACTATAACAAAGAGAATGAAGTTTCAAGCATAAATTCACAAACCCTGCTGCAAGTAAGTTCGCTGCTGTCCGCAAAAGTCTTGGTATCTAAAAAATCAATCAACAAACTAAATTCTACATTAAAGCTGGATTCTCCAACAGCGTCTCCAAGAAAAAAACAAATCCAGATGAGCTTGCAGAATATGGAAAAAGATTATTGCAGACTCGAAAAGCAATGTGAGGAATTATTATTGAAGAATAGGAACTTGACAAGCGAGAATACTCACTTAGAACATGATTTGGAAAAAAAGTTGACTTTCATTCAAGATCAGTCCGATAGAATAGCTGGTTACGAAAGGACATTTAAACATATTCAAAATGAATACTCTAGAAGTAAAGATCTCTATACCAGGGAGATCAATTGTTATAAGGAGTTGATTGAAGATCTACAACTGAAAGTTAGTAAATTAGCTCTCGAACTCAAGAATTACCAAGAGCTGCAAAATTCATTTGAAGACCTACAGGACGCTTTTTCGTTTTTGTCAAAGAAACATAAGGTTTTACAGAGTAACTTTGAATTGGAAAAATGCTCGAAAATTGCATTGATTGATGAAGTTGAACGTTTGTCTATGAGAATATCTCAGTTAACTAAGGAAGAGTCCATTCAAGGAGCAAATAATAATGAGTACATTTCGGACGTAGAATCTCACTTCACGGAAGAGGAATACGAATGCTCAGTTTACAATGACAAATTGGACACAAAAAATCTTTCTAGCGAAGAAGAAGTTGAAGATTCCCATTTTGTTAGTTACCTTGCAGATGATTTAAGAAACAACCACTCATCACCTATTAAACAGAACTTTGATGATTCTTTTGAAATGTCAAGTAATTTTCAATTTCCTTCTTCGGTACCTATTTTAAATAAAGATGATAATGAAGAAAATGGTGCCGATAACCGAGAAATGAAAGCCTATTCAAGTGAAATACAACTTCCTCCATCGCCAGATCTAAATGTCAAGCAAGATAAGCGTCAGTCACTTCCTGATAAGTTGAAGTCGTCTGGTAGCTATTCCCCTAAAGATGATTTCATCCTATCTCCTTTTAAGTTGGGAGGAAACAATGATTCATGTAGTGATACTGATACAACAGTTATGAAAACCACAAAAAGATATTCATTTACGAAACCGAGCCATTCTAGATACAACAGTCATGACATTTTACCGATTAAAGTTGAATTTGAAGCAGCAGATGGTAGCAATAGGAGTAGTTCAGCCCCAGATAAAGAGCATATATCGAGACATGAGAATTTCGAAAATATTCCAGAAGAGATTCCCAGAACGAGAAGATCAGTAAGAAATAGCGCATTCATGACTTTGAGTGGGATGAATGGATATAGTAATACCCCTTCTAATAGGAACTCCTTGTTAACAAATTCTTCTTCGAAGTCCTCAAGTTTGGTCATTGATAACCACTTAACTAACGAACTGAACAGACAAGAGATTATGAAATTGAAGTTTGAATTACAATCATTGAAATTGCATAATGAGAAGCTCTTATCTTATATTGGCTTTGAACTTCAGAAGCAAAAGAAGAACATAAGAAGGCTATCTAGCAGGAAGTCTTTGAACAATCTTAATAATAAGAAAATAGAGTACTCGGATGCAAAACTAATCGAAAAATCACGAAATATGCTTATCCATAAGAAAAGGGTTTTGCGATCTGTTTCCATAAACACAATCCTTTCAAAGAAGTATCAATCTGGGCTGAATGGAATTTTAGCAAACGGTTTGTATGGTTTTCCTGGAACAAACTTAATTGAGAGCCAGTTTGAGGATTATGAGCCGGAAAAAGAGGATGACGAAGATGACTACGGATTCTTAAATCATGACGATAAATTTTGCAAACGTATATTCTCACATGGGTTATACGCTTATCTCAAATTTGATGACATTGATGAAGATATACCAGCTGATCATGATAAAAATGTGAAGAAGTTCAAGTCGCAAACTTTTGCTAACAGATGCGGAATACCCGAAGAAGAGTTTGAATCCGAGTTCGAGGAGGAGGAAGGTGATAGTGATGAGTATGAAGACGAAGGTGACTGGGAAGACATTTCTAATGTTCTTGATGAACTACAGCAAACAAGCGTTCTTAGTCATATTAAGTATCTCATTTTTGGTAGCTTTTTGTCCCAGAAAAAGTCCAAGAACGAAACGCTCGTTGATGATGGCCTCAAATATAAGTTCTTCACGATTGCCATTGGCATAATGATTGTTGGATTGAAATTATCACACACAAATAACTATCCTATGTCAACTTAAAAGACATCATAGAGACATATATCATTTTAATTATGATTCATAGAATTCAATTTTTATTGCTTATTTATCTAAATTTTATATTTTTGAGTATGAACTTCACACCTCGCTCCTCGAATAGATTACGAGCGCTTCGAATCTGACTATTCTTTACAATCTAAGCCATATAATACATAGATATACAAAAAAAGGCTACGAGAAAGAAGGCCCCAATATTTCAATCCACTCTCTGTGTATAAAAGCTTTCATCAAAGTGCTGAACGTAACCTCATGGTATATTTCGTAGATAGAAGTCGTCATAATTTCATTCGTGAATTTGATCTAGTTCATGTCTACCTTGTCGTTCTTCCATGTTTTGCCTGTTCCCGAACTGTTGGAAGCGATATTATTAACGCCATTCGAGAGTATAGTGTCATCCGCCAGATTTCTCGTAATTCTTTCGTGTAAAGAATCACTTGTCGTAGAAGAGGATCCATCGTTTCGAGGTTGCAGTGATGTAACTGCTGCTCGTAAGAAGAAATCGTCGATCCCAGAAATCTGCTGCAGAGCAGTTTGCTGAAGTTGAACATGTTGCGGAGATTGTCTAGGCTGAAGTTGAACTGGAGCATCTACTCCTGTCTGTTGGATTATTTGCAGTTGCTGATGACGCTGTTGCAACGATCTAATATTGGTAATTCTCTCATTGAAAAATGAATTTTTAAATTTTTGAAATATGGTAACAGTTTGAGGGTATTCATACTGATGATCATGGAAGAACCTATCTGCAAACATATAAATGAATCTTTCAATATCAGAGGCACTGATATTCAGTCCGCTTTCGATCTCTGGATGTGATGCGGGAGCACCCGGGTCAGTATTCAGAACGCTTGAGGTCCCCCCTAAGCCAGCCCTAGCATTCGACCTTGTCAACCTTTGCTGCTGCTGTTGTTGCTGTTGCTGTTGAACTTGAGCTTGGGCCTGCTGGACTTGTTGCTGTTGCTGTTGTTGTTGCTGCTGTTGAACTTGAGCTTGCGCCTGCTGGACTTGTTGCTGTTGCTGTTGTTGTTGCTTGTACTGCTTCTGCTTTTCGAATTGCGCTCGATAATGATGCTGATAGTCATACATTGCTGCGTTGTCATTATTTGAAGTAATATCTTTCTGCGTGCCAGGGTTGAAATGCTGTTGTTGCTGTTGTTGCTGGCGCTGTTGAGCGTGTTGTTGCTGTTGTTGGTATAATGCAAAACTTGAAATGTTAAGATTTGAGGACCCATTTGAGAAATTGAGCCCATGTTGTGTATGAAACTGCCTTCCTTGTGAGTTTGTAGTCAGAGGATCCATTAGATCATAAGTAGGTGGCGTTGTATTGGCGGTAAAATCGCCTGGACTACGACTTTCGTCGGGTACTGAGGCATTCCTTCCGGACTCAGTACTGCTACCATTTGAATTTGCAGTGAGGCTTACCGGGGCAGCTGTCTGGTTCCCTGATGTATTAAAATTAGAATTGTAGACTTCAACTGGATCAGTCGAACTTGAGGTTGTCGTAGTACCTGAAATGCTATTCGTGTTGTGAGATGGAACCTCGTTACCTGCCAAGGTCCCACTCATCCTTTTCTTGTTTAAACCATGTCTTTTTTTGAACTGACTCAACCATCCATGGCTGAAACCTACCAATCTTTTGGGGTCATCGACGCCATATTGGTGTGCATAAATTGACCAGTATTCTCTCAATATAGGTTCATTTATAGGCTCATTTCTCTCAAGCTTCTGTTTCACCAAGAGATCCATTGCCCTGTTAATTTTTTCGTATTTAAATTTAACTTTTCGTCTGCTATTCTTTGAAAACGATGATCCGGCCTGGTTCAAGCGCTCCCTCAATTCTTCTTCATTTTTCAACCATTCACTAAAAGAAGAAGTTGATATTGATATTTCGTTCTTATATCTATCCACTGTCTCCAGCTGTGGCCTATTAGAGTGATGATAGAAATCTAGAATTTGAATTTTCTGTTCCAATGTAGCCCTTGGGAGCTTGACAGGAGGCATTTTTATGTGAAAAACCAAATTTGCCCACAAATGCCTCAAACAACTCTAACTTCTATCTCTACTCAATCACAAGATCCACTTCCTCAGATAGACAGTTTAATTTGAAATATTGTGATCTTCCCCAGTGACAGTATTGAACAAAAAAATTACTATTCAGACTTTTTCCTGATTGCGCAAGTGTTACTTTTTTGTTACACGACTCCTTCAATCAAATGATAAAACTTTAAAGGATGGTCAAAATTCATTTATAATTAAATATACATTTGTTTATACAGAAAGATACAAACATATTCGAAAGCTTTAAAAAAGAATTTTATAGACGGGTTGTAGAGCCAAGAAGAACTTTTAATGGGATCCAGCTCCCCTACTAACTCTTTCCAAGACAGACTCGTAAGCAACTTCAGAGAAGTCCGTACCTTGAACATCAGTAGAAATTCCGTTCAATGCTCTCCTCAAAGCATCTTTCGAGGAAGCATAGACCATTTTTGATCTGATTGGAGCTGTATCTGGAGACCATGTAAAAAAAACAATCTTGGATCTTTTGCCTTCTCCACCACCAATTTCATATTCAAAGTCGTAGATAGCATATTTGCATTCATTATCTGGTAATTTTTCCAAGAAGGAATCGTAATCTTGAGCGGTTGAGGTCTCTTCAACAACGATCTCTGTTTTTTTATCATTCAATGCATAAATGATGAACTTATACTTCTTGCCCAACTTTAAGTCATTGAAGGCAGCCAAAGACTCATCAGCAACGGTAACTCTACACAAATAGTTAGTAAATTATCGAAAACCCACAATCACTTCTGACTTGTATTCACTTACCCTGATCTAGACTGCATTCAGTTGTTAGTATCTTAGAGCTACTTAGGAAAACACGATAGACGCTTTGCGTAAAAGATCAATCTATCCTTGTTGGTCGACTTCTCTATCCTACTTACCATTATTGATGTATTTGTTTTGGATTATATATTCTTAGTATTAAGAATTGATTGAAAGAGATAAGTTAGCAAGATAATACGTGTTTGACGATTGAGTTCGATAGTAATCCTTGAGGTACGACTTTTTAGGTAATGTTACCCGCAGATACTCATAAAATCTTGTCTTAGCAGTCAGAGCTAAAGTTCAATACTTGGCATGTAACACCGACCCTAAAAGACTTGGAAGATCAATTCAATAGCTTGAAAATGGCTAATCGGGTCTTATGGCTTTTTATAGGAGTCTTTTCAGGTAGTGAGTGACCCCATAATCATCCTTTCGCTAAACCATGTACTTCGCATAGAAGTAAGCATAGCAGTAAGCATAGCAGTAAGCGTCAGTAAAAACCGTGGTGCGACCAAGGTTCATATGGCCGTATAAGGTGACGTAGCAACCTAGAGCGATTTTAATCTCTTAGGGTCACAAATAAGCTTGGATCTATTAATGTTATCCCACAAAAATAGACTGAGAGAAACACCAATAATTCTTGACAATGCGACAAGCAATAACTCCCAGTAACAAGTGATGTCCATTTTTCAGAGATTTGAAGTACTAATCAAAAGACACATTACTCAATGTGTTGAATAAACTGTTCACTTTTTGAACTCATCAGTATGGGCGCTTTTCACCAAAGGTAAGTTGGAACTTTACGATACGATGGCCGAGTGGTTAAGGCGAAGGATGCAGGTTCCTTTGGGCTCTGCCCGCGCAGGTTCGAACCCTGCTCGTGTCGCCAATTCTTTTTTGGTTTTTTGTTTATAGCACTTTTTGCTGATCCAATAAATTCAAGGACTTCCAATTCAGCCAGATAGGAATTTCATACAAAGAAATATCTCCTGATAGTAACTATTTCCACTATGAGGCGATATTTAACGTTTACAAAAGGTAATACTTCCGGACATTTAACCTAAACAAGATGCGAAAAGTTTTATCTTGTAGATTTTCACAAAACTTGAAGAAAATTACCTTCACAGTATAACTGTATGACCAACGCAATATTTGTGCTATTAGAAGAATCAGGAACCTTTAACATATAATTGGGCCTCTTTAAGGTTTTAGCTACTTTTAAATTTAGTATAGGAATGATTCGAACTTCAGTTTCAAGGTACTTGAATAAATATCAAACCAGAAATTGAAGTATTCAAAGAACAAATCTGATTGCCTTAAAGAAGCATACCTCATTTAGATCTTTGCTGATAGCTGTTCTCTCTAATTTTCTTAATAAATTACAATGGTGCTGGGTTCGTTAGGTGTTGCAATCAATACTATGTGCAGGCAAAAAGTTTTATGAGACCACTTTTTCACTTCCCAGAGGCAAGCATCTCTCTATATGCGTAGGAGTAATTACTTTCTAAATCACTTTACATTAGCCCTCGAAGTAAAGATACAATATCTTTATATTTACGTTGGATGGATAGAGAAATAAAGATAAACTAGGCATGGGATCTGACTTATACGAAATTCTTGAGATCGAATCGAGCGCATCGAGCTCAGAGATTAAGAGGGCTTATAGGAAATTGGCCTTGAAATTCCATCCAGACAAAGTAACGGAAGGAGATAGGGAGACTGCTGAGAGCAGATTTAAAGAAATTAGCCATGCTTATGAAGTTCTCATTGACGAAGTAAAGAGAGAAGAGTATGACCTATATGGAACCACTGGTGATAAGGGCCCCTATAGTGAAGGCTTTTCAGGGAATCCCTTCGAAAACTTCTATGGTGGCCATCAAAGTGGACAGGAATTTGACGCTAACGATTTTTATCAATTTTTCAATGGCATGAATGGCAGCGGACAACAATATAGAGATCACAATAGTGGACGCTCAGCAGCTTCTAGAACAGATGATGCGAGACTTGAGATAGAGGTAACACTAGAAGATCTATACAAGGGGAAAATAGTCAGAACAACTTCAACTAGAGATATAATATGTGACCATTGCAAAGGAACTGGCGCCAAAAAAAATGCATTATCAAAGAAGTGCTCAGCATGTGAGGGTAATGGCTACGTAACTCGAATAAGAAGAATAGGTGCGGGATTGGTAACTCAGGAGCATGTTAAGTGTGAGAAATGTGATGCATCTGGAGTCATATATCGACCAAAAGACAAATGCAAAAAGTGCAAAGGCAAGAAAGTTGTAGAAGAGACCAAAATTCTCGAATTCGAGATTCTCAAGGGTTCTAAAAGTAATGAGTCGATCATATTAAAAGGGGAATCAGATCAGTATCCTGGAATGGTTACTGGAGATGTTATTTTGACTTTTAAATGTACGGATCATCCTGTTTTCTCCAGAAAAGGCGATGACTTATTTACAAAATATAAAATTCCCCTTGTTGATGCACTATGTGGATTTTCAAGAGTACTAGTAAAACATTTAGACGGTAGAGGAATATTTGTCTCCACTCCCAAAGGGAAAGTGATCAGACCATCTGATTTTATAAGAATAAAAAACGAAGGCATGCCTATTAAAGTGAATGATAGTTCAAGCTGGTTCAGAGGATCTCAATCCAGAAGAGGTGATTTATATATTGAAATTGATATAGAATTTCCTCAAGATAGCTGGTACTTAGAGAAAAACGATATCTCCAAGATCAAAAACCTTTTACCCAATAAATTGTTAAATAAGAGGGATGCAGAGAAACAATTAATAAATGAAGAATCCTTACCTGAGGCGAACATCGATGTGATAACAGATTTTACAATAGCTCGCCCCGAGACTTTACCCGATTATGATGTTCCAGAAAACGAGGAGGAAAGCTACACTCGACATGAAGATATTCCGGCTCAGCCTGAATGTAATCCCCAATGAAAAAGAAAATGGTGGAAACTGATGTATATAGTATCAGTCGCGATAAATCTAGATATATAGTTTGTACATAACTCTGTAGAATAAAACCAACTAAACGCCATTCAACATTATAAGTCTAATAGATCGTTGAGCTCAGAAACATTTAATCCGAATTCTACTTCGTTCTGAGGGTTATCCACTAAATCGTTCTCATCATTATCTTGCATTTGAATCGAGATGTCCATAGGATCCTCAATATCAAGAGGTTCAACATTGAAATCAAGGTCGTTCAATCTTTCAAACTTTTCATTGGATGTTTGTCCATTCGAAGCTATAATATTTGGTCTGGTCAACTTGAGTAACTCATTTTCGTTCAAAGGGGCAATGTCATCAGGATAATATGGTAAAGCGTCTTGCTTCTCTGGAACAATTTCAATCTCATCATCACATTCTAGTAAATCTTGATGAATGTGAAAGGACCTGCCTTTTTCTGCGACCTGACTTGGAACATTGGCCAAAGCGCGATTAGAAGGTAAAATATTACCTGTAGGAGATTTTTGCCTTTTTGGCTGTATGATTCTTTTCACAGGATCACATCCTTTTCCACTAGCATTCACTTCTTCTAGTATGTTAGATGCATTCAATTGTTCAGTTCTCTTAGAAAACGTAGACAAAAGCAGACTAGTTGGTTTAAAAAGTACATTAGGATCGTGCTTAACCAAACTGTCCGTATCGCCTCGCCTTATTAACTTTACCTCTCTTGCAGCTTTTCTCAGATCTAGAATTCCGGATGGAAGCACTTGAAGTTGTGGAGCACTATTTTCTTTGACGAAAGCTTCATCACTGACTGTTACATTACTGTTAGCAGAAGCGAGATCATCGAGAGTTGAGAAGCCTAAAGAAGAATTTGATTTCAATAGTTTTGGTTGTTTAGAAATTGAATGTTTTTTTTGATGAAGTTGTTCCCTACTTATTCCACTGAAACTTGATTGAGATCTATTGAGAGTTGGAAAAGACTTGTTTTGGTCTTTTCCCCCTAATGGCACCCTAGCAACAGGCTTTTTTTGGATAGGTGCTTGCTTGATAGATAGTTTTTTGTTACCTCCTGGTATTGATTTGCTATTTTCATCCTTCAACTTAAATCCAGGTGTCTTTACATTTTCATTTTGGAGTTGTTGTTTGTTGCTATATCCCATTGAGTTTAAATTCTCGTCGTCTGCGAAAATGATCGGATTTGGGCTCATCCTTAACTCAACTGACAATAAACACTTTGACCTAAAGTGTCTTTGGAAGGTTTCTTAATATTGCTTTGTTAGTTAGAAGATAAAGATAAATATGATGATGCGATAGTGTTTGTTTATACTGCTTCTTATTTTGTTTGTGCACAGATAGCCTGCATATACCAAGGAATTTATCATTTTCAGAAGTGATGTAAATCTTGAGAGCAAAGGTTTCGTTTGATAGACTGGTATACATAGAGAAATATTGAAGATAGCCGGAGTAATTGTAAATAAGGAGGTTTTCAATGCCTGTTCAGTCACAATATATTTCCGTGATCTCTATGGGGACGGTTGAAGATTCCAGTTGGGTGTATTTAGTGGACTGGATTTTGGCATTAATTATAGGTTTCGCTTTCGTTTTCTATTTTCACAGATGTGTGGGATGGCTTATCTCAGAACTTCTTCGCTTGTTACTATGGAAGAGACATCGTATAAAGATTACTTTTGAATCCTTGAAGATATCATTTCTTGGTGGGCGGATCTTTGCTAAGAACTTGACTATAATAACAACTGATCAAACTGTTTCCATACTAAAATTGTCATTGACCTGGAGATACTGGATTTTCAATCTAACTCGTTTGCCGGAATATTATTTTGAAAGCAAAGATGAAATATTAGAATCAATGGGTTATCTGAGAGAGGACAACGAGCGTCTTCCTTGCAGAATTCTTCTTATGATTGAAGGATTAGAAATATTCATGTACAACAGAAGAACCGGATATGACAATATCATTAATATTTTAAATGAAGAGGAATTAAAGGATAGTTCAAGCAAGATGTCTGGTAGCTCAAGTTTCTCTGACTCAAATAGCAGTTTGAGGTCTCGCACTTCTAATTTGTCTTCGAACGAGAAATCTTCTCCTCCATCATTCGAAAAGCCATTACATAAAGAAGGAGAAAAATGTCATAAAATGACCAACTATACTCTCAAATTCTTACTAAAAGTTTTCCCTATCAATGTCAGAATAAAGAAGGGAGCCATTGTCGTTGGAAATAGTACAACACCTTCAATTTTAGTGATGTCATATAAATCTGCTGATTCAATTTTTGATGTCTCAAAAGCGCCAAATTATTTGGACTTCTATAGATTACAATTTTCTTTTGACACTGACAGCCTTCAAATGTCAATCAAGCCAAATATTACTTTCGATAAGAATCATTCCAAAACTGACATAAGAAATCGAACTCAAAGTAGAGTTCATAAGCATAAAAATTATCAGGTATGGAAAAGTTTTCAAAAAGCAGTCAAATTTATGACGAAAACTGCGATGTTAAAGAGGAGTAAAAGTCAAAAAAAAGAGGATCCAGGATCATTTCAGTGGATGGGATTGAAAAGATATGTAGGTGATACATCTGGTGACGAAAAGCTATTTGGAATAGCAGGGGCCGATGAGGAGTACGCTAGATATACGCTGATATTAGATTCTTCAAGGACTAAGCTAACTTATTATTATGATGTGCCTGGATATGTACCTTATGAGAATCCTCTAGATGGTATGAGTCCACAATTTGGAATTAATATTGAATTATCCATGGCAACTATTCACTATGGGCCCTGGGCAGATAAACAAAGAATTCCGATTCAAACGATGTTCTTTCCTCCAATTAGTCATGACTCTAAACCTACTGAGATTCCGAAGCCTGGCTATCTAAGGAGCTATGAAGGCTTTAAGATCCAAATTCATGTTAAAGACGAAGCGGTTCTTCGTATTCCCGTAAGGGAACCAAGTAAAGATAAAGAGCTTTTGAAGGGCAATTTAGTTGCTAACATGGCAACCAGAGCTTCCAGACCCTTTGGTTGGTTAGAATTGAAAACGAAGACGAACTCTACGGTTACTTCATTTACATCATATGTTGCCTCGAAAGAAATTGGCTGGCCGAATACTTTGAATGCGTTTTTTTGTGAACCAGAAGTAAGGACATCAGTGAATCATGATATTTTGTTCGCAGCTAAAAGTCATAGAATAGACGGTAAAATTGGATTCCCTTTGAAATGGAATGGCAAATGCGACTGGACGTTCGATTTTTCAAGCAACCTGGCAAAAGTATTCTTTTTGAGAGAGCATACCATGCTCTTCTCTGATATATTCTCAGATTTTGGGTCTGGGACACCAACTCCTTATGAATATCACCGCCCATTTCAATATAATATTAATTGGAAGGTAGAAAACTACAAATTTTTCTTGAATATTAATGATTGCAATATAATCAATAATCCCTTGGACTTTGTGAATAACAAGTATTTGTCTTTTCAAGGTAAGGACCTTGAATGTCAACTATGCATTCCTTTAAATGGACAGTTTTCAAAGTCTACAACAATCGACTATAAAATCGATACATCTTTCTTCAATTTTGTTCTCGACAATCCTATGTGGCACACTACACATTCATTCTTAAATGATTCTAATATTATGGGAAGAAGTAACAATTTTACCATCGAAGGATCTTACACCTTCTTTAACTCTGTTGAGGTAAATACCTCAAATTTTGTTGTCATTAAGTGCATTGGTGACTCGATCACTTTGAAGCTTTACGGTTTCGTGGTTCGATATTTTTTTAGTATTAAGGAAAATTATTTTGGGCACTTCATTCATTTCAAGACCTTTGAGGAATACAATAATGGATTGGAACCTTCAATAAATACTGATGGCGCTTCGTCCGCTAAATCGGATATGAAGAAGGATAGCGAAAATGCAGATATAGATTATTGGAAGATTATTAGAACTGATAACGATATGGACTTCTTATTTACATTTCAGGTAAGACGTGGCCTATTGGTGCTACCCTATCATTTATTTGATTGTTCATCGCACATCGGTCTCTCTTTTGATTATCTAGACATTGACTTCAGATTCAACGACTATTATGTTGATTTGCAGGCTGACTTCAGCCCTATTTCGGCTAAATTCATTCATGATCCCAATGAATCATATTTTGATTTAGCACGTTATATTGAAATCAATGATTATGCTGGATCCCCCGATTTAACATTTGATGGATTTACAATTCACACACACAGGATGCTTGGATTTGTTCCAATTTCTATCATGTATTATTGCAAGTGGGACTTTGCTTCGGGTGAAATGAATTTTGATTGCAGCATTTCATTTTGGTGCAAATTGATGGAGTCTATTGAGAGACAAGGGTTCAGTTTTAAGGACTTAGAAAATGGCTTGAATGTTCCAGCCGCATTAGCATATGACATTGCAAACTTTTCCTTCAGATGTCCAAGAGTTAATATGCGCCTCAGAGGCGACGAACACTCAGCGTCGAAAGCTTTTCTTTCGATTAGTCTCGAATCAATACTAGCCACATTCAATAATTCATTGAACCACAGATACTCGAACAAAATGGCCCTTACAATTCCTTTGATAGAAATAAAGCTTATAGATGAAATAGCAGGTACTATTTCTGCATTTATAAAGACTTCTCTTAACTTTACAAATATTGAACAGGCTCAGAAAATGGATGAACACAGAAGATTACATGAAGAACACTTACGAGCAAACGATGCCCCGTTTCACAGGGCTTCCTTTCTTTTGAGTGAAGAATACAGAGATGAGATATATAATACTGCCCTTGGATCACATTTAACCTCCCTAACATTACCCACCGTTTCTTGCCCTCTCAAAAAGGAGACGGAACCTTTTTTATTAAAGAAAAGACCATCCAGCAGTGATACGGAGGATGTGATGACTGATGATTCTAGTTTATATTCAATGGAAGATGAGTTCAGAAGAATGCATCCGACTAACTCTTATGAAGACCAAGATTTTGCGCCTTCACATAAAACGAATCCCAAATTCATTTATCACAACCTTATCTTTGATGTGGGCGATGTTAGTGTATTTTTCACTCCGTCATCTTTACAATATATTGCAGAAATGCTGGAAACCGCAGGAGATTTAACGGTGGAATCACTCATGGATACCCTCAACATCAAAACAGTATTGAATTTAAACCGTTTGATGAATCCCGTTGATTTGATACTTAATTACCGGTTTGTTACCCAAGAAATTTTATTGAAGTTTATCGATAGAGAAGTTCTGGATCCTATGGAGGTCTTTGAAAGAGTACCAAAGGTGCCAGTTATTACATTGAAAATTGTCGAACCTTCTTTCGCATTTTCGTCTGTTGAGGACACTAGCCATGGGGGATCGATGATTGATGAAAAGGATTCTAACACTTGCGCTTGTCATATCAAGGAAGTATTCTTGTCAATTTCCAATATCTCAGAATTTACATTACCTCTTTACTTGAGTATTAATGACATCGAAATATGGCTGACTAAGGACGAGCTTGAAGACGTAACTGGATCTTTTATTGTTGATAGCATAGATTTTCAAATTAACTCTAGCCAAATCGAATGGACAGTCAAATTCTTCATGGATATATACAAAAAATGCTACATGAGTGTCGCTAGGCTCAAGAATATCAGCGAATTGAATTCAATGGCTATCGGGGAATTAGTGTATAAGCTAGCTCTTGCATCCACAACGTTTCATGTTGATCATGACCCAACCGTTTTGACGAAGCCTACATACATTCTAAGGTCGAAGAAAGCACACGTTCGGTTTTATGATAGTTGGAAGCTTATGACTCGTTTGCGCCACATTCTTAGAAATTGCCCTAGGACATGGAAAACAGATCAAAACAATCTATTAACCGGTGGTCAATGGGATAAAACGGCTTCTGCACGCCAGAAGGTGGAGGAAATATTTCATAACTGGAGAAGTTGGGAGGCGAACGAAGATGAGAGAAAGGACTTTTTCGATTTAGTTTTTAAGTCTAAGAGGCATATACTTCTGATGCTTAACTTTCGTTTTCGTGTTTCTAACGTGAATATGAAGTTAATAGACGGTTCGAAAAGAATTGACTTTATTTCGCTTCGGGATGTCAATACCTCATTAAAGGCTTTAGACTCTGACAGCAACGATTTCAGTCTCATACTTGAACCAGGAAAATCTTTAGAAATTATAAATAATATTGCAGCTGTGAACTCAAAGTTATCGACTATTTTTCTAGAGTCATATGTCAGAGCTACTAAAGCATTTCAAAATATATCAGATGATTTGGTGTCGTGCAGATCAAGAAACCAAGGCAAAAATGAAGGTAAAGATAGTAATGTTGGTAATAAAGGTAAAGAAAATATAAAATTGGACGTTATATCGAACTTAATGACTCTTCAGCTTGAAATAAAAGTGCGGAATTCAACCATGACCATAAAATTCAGTGGTTTAGCTGCAGCCTTGCTCTATGATAGCTCGAGATCATCGAAGGAAAGTTTATTTGATCTCTCATCGGAAGCTTCCCAATTTGATGCTAAGTTATGGAATAACACTAATCAGCTTTTGAACATCAAAATAACTGATATTTGCTTCGGTTTAGCTAATGAAGGACTTATTAGCTTAGGATCCAAAATTGCAAATGCTAGCATTGGAACAATGTCTGTTCAAGTGCCAGAGGGTGGCGATGAATCTGCCGAGACCACTGTATCCTTTGTTAGAGAGGATTTAAAGTATTTGAAGCAATTCAACCTTTTAAAATCATCTAATAAGAATGAAGATTTAGATCTCTGGGACTCTCTAGGGTCTATATCTGTCGACTTCGCGATTGGCGATTTTTCCTTCATATTTGGAATGTTGAAACCTTTAAAACTTGATTTGCACATTCTAGAGAGCCAAATTACATTAAGCATTATCAATAAGATTGCCCTATTTGAATCTAAAGTCGAGAAAGTTTTCTGGAAAACTGTTTTAGGTAGCATTTCAATGATTGAGGTAGAAAACTCGCTGTTTAATTTAAACGCAAGAGTCACTAGTGTCGAGGAGAGTATTTTAGCTAATATGGATCTAGGTCTAGGTTATACTAAGGTATTTATTCCTAACATTATTAATTCGTTCTTTGCTCTTAACAATCATATTGAGCATTTGCTGAAGACTATTGGCAAATTGAGGCTCCAATTTTTAAATTCGGAGGATGATGAATCTCAGCGGGCCCTGGTCAAAGACAAAAATGCACAAACAATCGAAAAGAGTCTCATGTACAAGGTTAACACGACCGTAGATTACATTGGAATATCAACAGTCTTGAATAATGCCAAGTTCTCATTTGAGCTTGAAGATATTACATTGGGCACTCACAATGTTGCTAATGTTGCTCGAAGTTCAGTTTTTTCTCAGGAGAAAGTTCCATCTCATGGAGAAATAGAAATCCCATCTGCAAGATTTTCTATCGTTGATAGGAGCGTTCCCGTACGTCTTTCAAATGTCTTTGATATCAATTTATCAGTCTCGATACTAAATGATGGTGATATCGAAAACATGAAGCAGTCATTGCAAATTGAATCTCAATATTTTAGAGTCTGTTTGTGCCCGCAAGTAATATTCAAAATGATTGAAATGACAGATTTTGTGACTGGGATATTTGAAATGAAGAGCTTTTTAGATAAATTTAAATTGAAGGTAAAAGGACCTAAGAAACTCGATCGCGCCTTCCCTTTTTCTTCTGTTCATGTTTTATCTTATAAATTTTGCATTGGATTTTTGTTTGGAGGGTCAGAAAAAGATTATCCAGGTATTATTTTAGGAGCAGAAAGATTTTATGCAATAACTCAAAAGCATTTGGGTAAATTTACGCTAATAGATGCATATATGTCGGTTGCTCGTGGACAGGGATTCTCCAATTTTTACAGCACAGAATCAGAGAAAGGAAACTTGAACCGTTCCTTTTTGCCTAATTTGCAATTAACTTATTCAATCAATGATTCAAAGGATGGTAAGGATATGAGAATTAGTATGCTTGGTGACGAATTGGATGTAAAGTTTTTATCGGACTCCTTTGTTATTTTAGATCATCTTTTGAAATCTAGTACAGTCATTCAAAACTATTTATTAAAAAGAGCTCAAAATCCAAGATTTCATAGGACAAAGAAAGAAATGCATCCTCAAACAGACTACATGAGATCAATAAACTCAATTTTTGCTTCGATAGAAGTCTACGCGAAATTTGCTGGGGCAAACGTCATGTTTCATCGTCTTAATGATGAATGGGATCTGAAACGACCTCCTGCCTTACTACTTCATTCTCCGGCTGTGCAAATAGCGTCGTTATATCAACATAAGAAAGAGAGCTCTAAAAAGCATTTCTTTAAGACGGAAGTCCTCACTTCTTCCTCCGACAATACCTTATACGCTTCTTGTGTTCCGGTCATGGTCGATATAATTTATGGTGTTAAAAAAATGATGCGAAAATTGAACTCTAAAAGTGGAATACGCAACAAGCCGACAAACGAGCCAGCTAAAGACATTCAACTAGGTAACTTACTCAGAGACATGGATATTTATTTAGGAGTGAAGATAGAAAATCAAAAAGTTTCTCTCCGATGTGAGCCGATAGCTGAAGTTGCAGCAGTTGTTGGAATTGATGGTATATATATTCAGCTTTATTCTGGGAATGGCGATATACCGGCTCTAGTTTCCGCTGTTCAGATTGAGTCCGTTTCGGCTTCACTTCAGCATATATATTCAAGAGAAATAAGTGGATCTATTACATTGAAGCATTTCATTTTAACAAGCTCATTTGAGTTTAAAAAGAAATTGAGCATATTGTCTGCGAGTTCGCTATCCGACATTGAGGCATATGTTAATATAAAACAATACCAAGACTTGGATATTTTTAAAGATATCTGGATACCAAAACTTGATCACTTCGATAAGACCGAAGAAGATAGCAATACTTTAAAAAATGCTAATGATGCCAAGATAACTGTAAATAAGAAGATGTCTTCTCGGTTCAAAGAAGTATCTACTACATATGCCATTCCGGGGGCTCTTACTCTAATTATCAGTAATATATCATTAAAGGCAGATTTTGGCCCATCATTGGGGAACTTCACGTTGAAGTTGGATGAGTTTTTTGCGGTCTCAAAGAAGTCAACGGATTGGGCGCATGATCTAAAGCTTGGTATTAACTCTGTTAGCCTTATCTCAGAAGGAAGGCTAGGGGGTATCTTCTCGGTATCTAATATAAGGTTGCATATGGCAGTCAATTGGATGTTAGACATGGATACAATTTTAGATGTACCATTAATCTTAGTTTCTGGTCGTATTGAGAAATTACAAGTTAGAGCGTCTTTTGATTACCATGTTTTTGCAATAGTTAATGTGGAGGACTGTTCAATCGATATATATAATCAGAAGAGTAGCGTCATTAAGGACCACTTGTTTATTCAAACGGGATTCAAATGCTTGGAGATTTTCGTCACATCATTAGCGGCGTCAACTATTTTAGATATTCATCACACCGTGGACCGAATGGTAGAAGATAATAGAAGATCTTACAAAGAAACACTACATGATTCTTCAAAAAGTAAGGGTGACCTGGCTGGTAGAGTTCATGGTAAGAAAATGGAAGAAGATATTTTAGAAGCCACAAAGAAGCTAGAGACGAAAATAGAGGTTATTGCTGGTCGATTTTTTGTCCAAGTATATCCATCATCTTTTAATGACTCAAAAGTGTTAGTATTTACGTTGGATGAATCTAAAGCAAACTTTCAACAGAATGAATACAAAAGCGGCATATCCAACAATCTTGAACTTCGTTTGAATGACCTCAAAGTATCTTTGTCAGGAACAACAGTTCCCCATGCTGACTATGCTATGAAGTTTTCAATTGATGACTTTGTAGGAGTTGCAAGAAAAGCTAAAGGGGGAGCCCTATTTGTATTTCCTTCTTTAAAGATATCTATGAGGACATTTCAAAAGTATAATACAAATGTCATAGAATATTTCTATCAATCTTCATTTGGTGGCACAGTTGATATAAGATGGAATCTTGGTTCGATTAACTTTATACGAGAAATGTATTCCGTTCATAAAAAAGCATTGGACTCTCGTATTGAATATAGGAAAACTAAAGAAGGGGATATTGCTTGGAATGAGAGAATGTTTGATGTTGACTCGAAGCATTCGCCTGCGACAATTCCTGACTCTATTGATCAATCGACGGGACTTGATAGAGTGATTGGCAATACCTTGAACAGGGTGTCCAGCGAGTCAAAGTTCGATTATTTGCCCTTGGCACCTCCAATAATTGAAGCACCCCAGTTGAGAGATTTAGGTAATGCTACTCCGCCGCTCGAATGGTTTGGGTTACACCGTAATAATTTCCCTAATTTCACGCATGAAGTTGGAATTGTAACGTTGCAAAAATTGGTACACGAGGTTGAGCACAGATACTCCAAGATACTTGGAAGAGCCTAGTTGGTCATACGGTATAATCTGAGTATAGATTTAATTTATATTGATATTTTTCAGCAATATATAAAAAGTTTTAAACGTTTCCATTATGTACAGAGAAAGATGAAACACGAGTCTAGTGTATATCTATATAACTAGTGAATAAGATCACGTTATTGATGCGAAGTCTAGTGAGTTAAATACCATCTCCCTTTAGTCCTCCTTCTCGTCAAAAGTTTTCTTCCATTTTTTGACCTCAATCTGGCTAAAAACCCAAACGTTCTTTTTCTTTTCAAAGTAGATGGTTGATAAGTATTACCTCTCGATTTGAATCTCAATTGTATCAAACCAAAGAATGATTGAAGTACCGATAATCCTTCAAAATTTTGTGGTGTAAAATAGGCGTTGTTAACATTCTGACTCCGTCTAAGTGAGATCAAAGGGTTGAAGGCAGGTGTGAGCCCAGAAAATTGACGACAAGAAGCCTTATATGCATTGGAAACAAAATATCCAGACTTAGGTATTATTCTGTTCATTACTAAGTTAATATTATTGTTTACTAAATCAAGCTTATAGGTTACGATGAAACAAGATATATTCAATATCAAAAATATTTGGATTCTATTTTACGTTGTGGTAGGATTGTGCGTAAATCTGAGAATCCAAGTTAATAATAAAAAAAAAAAAACTCTCGATGAGGTCGTTACTCTTAGATAGAGGAAGTGGAAGGAAACAGTAGGACAATATGTCTGCTCGTTTAAGAAGGCCGATACAATCTAGTGTCAATACACCTACTGTAATTCATATCAGATCAGAAAAGCATGTTGACAATAATACTGCTGAAAGCATTCTCAGTGAGTTCATGCTTGCAAGTGAAAATACTCCTGAGCCAACTATTAAAGTGAGTCTGGAACTTAGCGGTTCAGATAAGGAGGGAGGGTTGGCCAATGGAGCAGGTGTAAGTGCATTATTAAGCCAGTTGAGAAGAATACAAAGGAGTCTCCGAGGATTACCTCCAATAATTTCGAATTCTGATGGTACTCAAAATAAAACGGCACCGTTTAATGACTCCGTAGATGCATCTTTCCAAGGTGAGCCGAAAAATAAGAAAATTAAGTTTGATGAAATAGACACAGATCATACCGAAAGAAAAAATCGTAAGATTAAATTTGATGACAGTGATTCAGAAGAGCAAGAGACCGCTAACAGTATTAATACTTTAGAGTCTGATAATGGTACTTCGGAAAACAGCCTGAAAGAAACTTTAAAAAAGAAGGATAAGAAACACAAGGATAAAAAGTCAAAAAAGGATAAGATAAAAGAATAGGACACGATTTTTTATAAGTGCATTTTTCGTTCTTAGTTGTTTTATGTCCTACTCATGTACTTCACTTTGAATAATGGTTGATAATGTATAAGTAAAATTATGGAACCGAAGCAAAATGACACTTCAACAAATATGCCTTATCCACGGCATTCTGCATTTTTCGATATAGCTGCGATATATAGACCTATTTTCATTGCAACTCAACCATCTTTGTGAATTTTTTGCAATTTGTCGTGCCCTGTACATAATGATAAGTTTGTATATTAGTGGTGTTTATATTTATGATTACTTTTATATGCATTGAAGAAATAAATATTAGATATCTTAAACTTAAAACATAACATCACAATAACGTCACAACTTATTCTTACTATCAAATAATGGTATTTAAGAGGAAACGCTCTAGGAGAGGAAGAGGGGAGTATATTCTGAGTGAATCTGAAGGAGCTGACACTTTTATAAATAACAGCGATTACCTGGATCAAGAACAATACAAGAGTAGTAATGTGGGTGAAAGCTCATCAACTGCGAGCCCAAGGATACCTTTAGGTAATGTGGATAAAGAAACCGTAGCGAGTCAACTGGAGAGAGTTGAAGAGAACCAAATCAAGGACCTACATGGGCAAAACCAGTTGGAGACAAATTCGACGCGAAAAGAGAAGATTCAGGATGAGGGCAGATCTCGACAAGACTCGATCACAAGCGAGGACCAGAACTCTCTTACCCTGATAAACTGTGATAGTTTAGATCCCGTGAATTTTAAAACAGCAAATGAGGAACGCGCTTTACCACTAAATAGTTTAAAAATCGGTAGCGATATGGAATTGTCGTCTCTGTCTTCCATAAAGCCTCCTTCAAGCTATTCTCAACAGAAATCAGATATCTTACTACTGTCTCCTTCAAAGAGACGAGAAAACACAACACTGGCCCCAAATACTAATGAACCGAGATTGGTGATAAATAAGTTGATTCTTACTAATTTCAAGTCATACGCCGGAGAACAAATTATTGGGCCCTTTAATGCATCTTTTTCGGCAGTAGTAGGACCAAATGGTAGTGGAAAATCCAATGTAATAGACTCCTTACTTTTTGTCTTCGGCTTTAGAGCTCTGAAGATGAGACAAGGAAAATTATCAGAATTAATTCATAATTCTGTCGATGGGATGAAATTGGACTTCTGCCAGGTTGACATCCACTTTCATAATGTAATTGACTCCTCAGACGGTAATGAAGTTCAAGTTGTTCCTAGCTCAGAGTTAGTGATTAGCCGACGAGCTAATAAAAACAATTCTTCTCAGTATTTCATAGACGGGAAATCAAGTACTTATACAGCAGTAACTAATCTTCTCATGAGAAAAGGCGTCGACTTGCACCATAAAAGATTTTTGATTCTACAAGGGGAAGTAGAATCTATTGCTCAAATGAAAGCAAAAGCTGAACGTGAAAATGATGACGGATTGCTTGAGTATCTCGAGGATATAATTGGAACTTCACAATACAAAGAGCTAATCGAACAGGCACTACTGAAGGTAGAAGAGCTTAATGAGGTGTGCCTTGAGAAAGAAAACAGAGTCGTTCTCGTAGAAAAAGATAAGGATCAATTGGAAGAAAAGAAAGATGATGCTTTAAAACTTTTAGAGGCCGAGAAAACTTTGGCCCTAAAGAAGTCAATACATCTTCAAAATAATATTATGAAAAACAAGCTTAGGGTAGTGGAGAATGAGAAGCATGTTACTCAACTAAACACAAAGTTATATGAAGAAAAAGAGTCAAACCGAAAGTTGATGGATTCAGTCAAAGATTTTACGGATAAACAAGCGTCCATTTCAAAGACTATTTCAGACTTGAATAACATGCTAATTCCGTTACAGAAGAAGCAAAAGACCGTTAATAAATCTAAGGTTTCTCTTGAAGAAAAAATCAAAAATATAAATACTAAAATCAAAAAGGCAACTAAGGCTAGAGAACTGCTGGACCATATCTTGACATCTTCAAATCATAAACTCGAAAGCTGCGAAAAACTAATATCTCAGTATTCAGATGAACTAGTGCAACTAACAAGTGACCTTGAAGCAGAAAAAGTAACTTTAGATGATATCAGAAAGAAGATGAAGGATAAGACTTCCCAGTTTAGCAACGAAATAGAATCTCTCCAAACAAAACTCGAACCGTGGAATGACAAACTCAAAATAAACGAAAGTGCTCTACAGTTGATCAATTCTGAGATTGAGATATTTCAAAGCGAGAAGGAAAGTTCAACTAAACATCTAGAAGATGCAAGACAGAGATTATTGCACATAAAAGGTGAGGGAAAATCAAAAGAGGCTGAACTAAGAGACTCGGAAGCAACTTTATCACAAATTGAAAAACAGATTAAACTCGGAGAGGAGCAATGCGGAAGGGATAAAAGTCTTCTTGATCAAGGTTTACAGAAGCTAAGTGCTTTAAGGCAGAAAACTCAGGAAGTTCTGACATCAGTTTCTAATAGACAAAATAAGGACAGAGTCTTGTCAGGTTTAGCTAGACTAGCAAAATCAGGACGAATCGAAGGCTATTACGGTAAACTAGGTGATTTGGGTGTCATTGATGATAAATACGATATTGCGATATCAACCGTATGCCCAGGATTAAGCTCAATAGTCGTTGAAACTGTCGAAACAGCACAGGCTTGTATTGATTACTTGCGTAAAAGCAAGCTAGGGTATGCAAATTTCATTTGCTTGGATAAGTTAAGACAGTTCAATCTATCACCTATTCAAACTCCAGGAAATTCGAGCACTGTGAAAAGAATATTTGACTTGATTCGTCCCCAAAGCCCAAAATTTGCCCCGGCATTTTATAGTAAGCTATATAATACCTTAGTTGTTTCTAACCTCGAAGAGGCAAAGAGAGTTGCATATGGACCTAAAAGATGGAAAGTTGTCACTTTGGATGGAAAAGTTGTCGATACATCTGGTACTATGTCGGGGGGTGGAAATTTTTCTGCAAAGGGTGGGATGCGCTTATCAAACTCACGGAATGATTCCATGGAAATATCAGAGGAGGAAATAGAACCTCTAAAGGAGAGTTTAAGGAAAGAGGAACTTAACTATGAACTTGCTAGTTCCGAATATCAAGAAAAGCTCCTGAAGCTCTACAAGCTCAAAGAAATGAAGCCTGATACGGAATTCAAAATTTCAAAGTTAAAACTCGATATTGAAGCCTTAATAGCTGATAAACAAGAGGCCCTGGCCTTTTTGAAAGGATTGCTTGCTGAAAGTGGTGCCAAGACTAAAGACTCAACAAAGTTGGAGGAACGTATCGCTTGCAAAGAAATCGAAAAAGATAATCTTATCAATGAAAAGAAAGAATTAAAGTCCCAGATGGTTGAGTTAGAAGAAAAAATTAATGCTTTGGAGGAGAAAATTATGGAAGCTGGTGGAGTCGAATTGAGGTTACAAAATTCGAAGGTGGACTCAAATAAACAAAAGATTGAAATTATCAGTGAAAAGGTATCCAATGAAAAAATGCAAGCGAGAAAATTACGGAATGATATATCTAGACATCAGAAGATCTTGAATGAGGTTGAATCTGAACTCAAAGATACGGATACTGAGTTGGAATGTGTTAAGAAAATTCAAGGAGAGAAAGATGAAGAGATATCGAATATTTCATCTCAGATAACTGCTATTGAATCCGAAAAGGAATCAAAAGATGAGGAGTTAGAGACCCTTAGAAATGAGTTAGAGGAAAAGCAAAGACAAATTAACGAAGCAAGGTCTGCCGAGATCGAATTGGATAATGAGGTCGAAAAATATAAACTAATTCTTCAAAAGTCACGAGCTAAACTTGAAGATGATGAAGAGAATCTCAAATCTATATTAATTAAAGACACTACACCCTATATAGATTGGCTAGATGAGGAAGAAAGAAAAAAGTATGATAGAACTACATTTGAGGTGCTATCTGAAGAACTGATTAAAGACATCGATATTGATGAAATAAATACAGAGATCGAGGAATTAGAGAAAGTTGTCAGCAGCATTAAAGTTGATATTGATGTTCTTAAAGAATATGGAACGAAGAAAAACGAATTTGAAAAGCGTCGAAGTGATCTTAATGGTGCAGTCGAGGAAAGAGACCAATTGAAGTCTTATTGTGAAGAATTGAAGAGGAAAAGACTTGACGAATTCATGAAGGGGTTCAATACTATCTCAATGTCTTTGAAAGAGATGTACCAAATGATAACGATGGGCGGCAATGCAGAACTTGAGTTAGTCGATAGCTTGGACCCTTTTTCGGAAGGTATTATGTTCAGCGTGATGCCTCCGAAGAAGTCCTGGAAAAATATTTCAAATCTTTCTGGTGGAGAAAAGACTTTAAGTTCGTTGGCTTTAGTCTTTGCATTACATAAATACAAACCTACTCCGCTTTATGTCATGGATGAAATTGATGCGGCGTTGGATTTCAGGAACGTGTCTATAGTAGCTAATTACATCAAAGAGCGTACAAAAAATGCACAGTTTGTGGTCATATCTTTAAGAAATAACATGTTTGAGTTGGCTCAACAATTAGTGGGCATTTACAAAGTTAATAACATGACAAAGAGTATTTCACTACAAAACAAGGATTTCTTGATCCAAGCTTAAATTCTAATGCATAATTTAAGAAAGTCCTATCCTATTATAGTAATATACAGTTATAAATATCATTATGCGACATCGCGTTTAATTTTCCAAGGTGCTTCTATTGATTCGGCAAAACCTTTCTCCATACTTCTTTTTAACACGAAATTGTAGTCAAACCAATCTATCATCTCAACTAGTGAATTAAGCAGATTCATCTCTTTAATAATTGTACGAGGAATAACATTTGAAAGCATTTCTGACAAATGATGCTGGAGTATTCTGAATGGTAATCCGTAGCTTGTAGCATAGTCCCAGAATAATTCAACTGCTGACCAAGGAGTGACTTCGAACCCAGCAAATAAAGCTGGATTAGATAATATTCCTCTTGCAGACATTACACCATCTACCCCTGTTAACTTTTGAATCATATGTGCATCTTCTGATGAGAAGCAGTCACCATTTGCCACGACTGGTACTCGTACATTTTCTTTAATAATCTTAATAGCTTCAAAATTTGCTGGTTGAGATGACCTTGTATTTTTAGTCCTACCATGCACTGTTATAAAGTCAACATCACTTGCTTCAACTACTTTTACAAACCTTATGGTATCATTGATATCAGGATGTATCCTAATTTTTGTTTCTATGCATAATTTATCTCCATATTTCTCTTTAACTGCCTTCACCATCGATGCAACTAGATCAGGTTCCGACATCAAAGCAGCACCTATACCTTCCCTGACTTGTTCCCTTATTGGACAGCCGCAATTAAGACCTATTCCATCAACGTATGGATGTATCATATCTACAAACTTAAGTAAGTCTTCCACATTGTTACAACCAACTTGTACAATCACTGGTCGATCTTCTTCATTAGTTGTAAAATCTGACAACCTCGCCACATCATTTCTTACGAATTCCCTTGCTAATACCATAGGTGTATAAACTATATCAGCATTGAAGTGACGAACTAGTGACCTGAATGGTAGCTTTGAATATCGAACCATTGGTCCTGCAATAAATGCTGGCCGATTCTCCAGCAGCGTAATATTTTCCAATATCTTCAAAGGGTTATCTTCATTCTTTCTGGCGGAGAGTCGAGAATGATTAGGTGATAAATCATTAAAATTAATTTTCGAGACTTCAGTTGTAACGTCATACATATGTTGTCTTCATCTGTTTCATTAAATAATATTACGTATTTACAAAAGAGGCATCACAAGCATCATGAAATTTTTTTTTTTTTTTCCTCTAGTATCTATTTTTCTAATGTTTATTCTCCTCCTGATCACGCTCTTCATCTCAATTCCTTAATATACATAGATTTGAATTTATTTATAATATACAGTTGTTTAAAAGTTGGTGTTAATATATGCAATTATTGAAGTTATTCACTCCTCCTCCGAAGTTTCAGAACTAACGTCATCGTCATCCGAAGACTCTTGATCGACGTTAGAAATGCTCATCGAGGCACCTCTATTAGAGCCATTATCAGCATCTTCAAACAAGGCTAACTGACTCCTCAAATGCTCCAACTCTTCAAGATTGCTGTATGCATTAGCTTTCTTCTTCTTTACATTCGTTACAACCTTTTTGCCAAACAAAAAGTTGTACAACTTCAATACAGTTCTATCCTCAAGCTGGTCCATATCGAGTTCCACTTCGTCCTCGTTGCTGATTTCGACATCATCCTTAATAATTTTGATCAATGACTGGAGTTTCTTATCTGATAAATTAGGCACAGATTCGCTGACTTGCTTTTTCATTTCATAAGTCACCACTGGATGATTGAAAGCACTCACTGAAGAATTCTTCCTAGATGCTTTTCCGTTTCTCTTGGACTTCTTTTTCTTCCTTTTAGCATCCCTCTGTTGTTTTAACTTATTCAAATGTTGCTTCTTAAGCTCATCTAGTTCCTTTTTCATTCTAATAAGCTGGTTCTCCAAAAACTGAATAGCAGGAACACTAGAAAGTATAGCTTCATCAATTTCAGGCTCATCATCATCACTCGAGTCATCATAATCCAGCTGTGGGGGGGTTGGTGCTGGAGCAGGGCGGTTTACCCATTTCTTATTAAAAATCGACTCTAATTTATGGCCCATCGAGTTCACATCCGTACCTTCGGGATTGAACAAGTAACAGTTCTTGAAAATCAACCTTACATCCCTTTCAAATTCGTCACCGTTTTCATACTGATTATTCGCAAGTTTCGATTGAACAGTTCCCAAATCCATAGGTTCTTTGACCACTTCATGATATTTTGGTATATTAAGAGCAACTGCGTCGACAGGAGATAAAAAGGGGAAATTAAAATTATAATGCTTCTTAGAAGTTAACTCCTTGATTGTTTGATTACAGAATCTTAAATCTGCTGCATTCTTTTTCTTTCTGGGTCTGACATCGTATGGTAATTCCTTGGACTTCGGGGGGTGAATAGTTCTCTTTGGTCTATGTGCAGCAACAGATTCCTTTTTCGCATCTTGATCGACAATCAAAGCTCTTCGAGAAGTCGTCGCAGAGCTTGAAGCACCAGTGGCATTGGGTGGCAAGACTTTTGGCGGCATATTTAACATATGTTTTTCAAAATGCGCTTGAACATTCTTAGCCATTTTTGAAATACCAGAATTTTCACCATTAAATTTTAAGCAATTTGCCACCATCAAATTGAAATCGTCAACCACTTGATTCGGAACTTCATAGGCACTAAGGTTAATCTTTCTTTCTATCGTAGACAAATCCATTGGCCTCGGAATGTAATTATAGTAAAGAGGAATGTTCAATTTAACTGTATCAACGGGATGCACAAAGGGTCCAGCATCACGTAACCTCTTAATTGCCCTGATTGTGTTGAGCGCAAATTTAGCTTGATGTTTGGGCATAGGTTCTTCTGGCAAGTTATTAAGATCAGGTTCCTGTGGTGGTTTAGGAGCAGGTTCTAGCGAAGCTGGGGCAGGAGCAGAGGACGTATCAGGCTCTACTTTGCCTTCATTTGAATTCTGTGATTGCTCAGATGGTTCTTCCGATTTGCTTTTTTTACTTTCAGGTTGCAGCTGTTCGTCATCATCTTCCAACCTATGCTTTTCAGGGCTCGGCGAAGGATTTGGGGGTGACAATGGCTTTTCTGGTTCCTGTTGCTCTTTGTCCTTCATCACCTGTGCAGAAAACTTTTCCGTAGCGCCATGGTGGTAAAAACTGTCTGACGATGGCGTCTGAACTGGAGTATTTGTATCAGGCAAAACCAACTGTGAAGATTCAGGTTCTGACATATTGCCCACCTCCGTAAGGATTAATTCGCCTATAAACAAGTAGAAAACAAATATCAGAGATCGAAACAGTCAGGTAAATTAGATGAATGATATCGAAGATGGTTGTAAAAAAGTCGTCCAGATACCAGTTTATTAAAGTCCTCTCTTTATGACCTCATTCAATCGAGAAAAACCTAAAAGTTCAAAAACGGGGGAAATTCATTCATTATTTATAGTTGCAGCAAAAATGTGCGATTGTGCGTCAGGACACGACCTTGCTTTTGAGAGCAAAAAAAAAAAAGATTTGCCACTGAGCAAGCAAATAGGGGAGGCTACACCCTATAACATAGTACTATACTCTAGTGAAGAGGGTGTATACGATTTGACAATCAATGTTCCGTAAGTCTCACTTAATTTTTCAAGGGTCTCATCAGCTAAGCTGAAGTCTGAATTTCGTAATTGTGTGGTGCGATAGCCAGCCAGGTCGCGCAGCGAGTGCTGACACGCAAATATGCCTACATAGTTTTGAAGGCTGGCGATCAGGCGTTTGTAAAGAATCAGCTCAGGGGAACACATATTCTGTTTGAAACGTATCCAACACAAATTTTGATGGCCGAATTGGAAGATGAACTTATGATATTCTGTTACACTAGTAGGCGAATCACTATGTCTGGCAGCGAACTAAAATCCATTGGGCCAGACCAATTGAGACAGTTGATTCAAGTAAATATTTCGATACGAATCTAGTATTTCAATGTGTGTGAAGACAAACGATAAAGAACGCTCCGTAGATCAAAACATGCAGCCACCAATTGATATTTGACAAAGGCAGTCAATGCGATAAGGGTGGTGTTATTGTTACGTGTCAGAAATTATATGCAGATAGCCACATTGAGTTAAAATACGGCAAAAACCGGTACCCAAGTCCTTCCGAATAGTGAGAGTGACCACCAACAGGTTTGCACATAAACATAAGCATATCTTCCGATAATAAGGCTCGTCTGACAATTATATTTTTTCGTTTAATCTATCGTACATTGAGTATAGTCTACTCTACATTAAATAAATACACATGATACACATAAGCAAGCAATCCAAAAGCTCATAAGTGAATAGACAATAAGTCATTTGCAGAGAATCCCTTATTACAAGTCGGACATCTTCGGAGTCTAGCTGCTAACCGTTCTTGAGTGCAACTATTACAGAAAACATGTCCACATACTGTAATGGCGGTGTCTTTCCAATTCTTAGAGCATACAGAACATTTTGCAATGGATCTCAAAGCTTCTAATTGCTTCTCATCTTCTTGTAAGATAGAAGATGTATTATTTGCTCTGTATTTCTTAAGTAGACTTTCAGTAGATTTAAGTCTGTTTTCAAGCCGCCCGATAGTTAAATCTTTATTGTCGAGGCTAGTAGTTGCTTCCGCTAAGTTATTAGAAGCTTCCACGAACTTCTTTCTAGAGGAACTGAGTTGCTCTTCCAAAACACTATTCTTTTGTTTTAAAGACAGAAGTATTTCTTGGAGACTGGTACTTTCTTCTATCGAAGTTTGCTTGATTGACTTGTAATCATTAATGCTCTTAGTAAGAACATCAATTTTATTGATATAGCTGGCCTCCAATTCATTAAATTTGTTGATTAAGTCCTGGGACTTACTGACCTGCGCCTTTAAAACCTTGTTTTCAGCAGTGATTGCGTCTCTTGATCGCATCGATGCAAAGTATTTTTGGTCAGCTTTACTCTTTTCTATTGTCAACTTCTTAATTAAGCTCTCTTGGTCTACTACGCTTGTAAGTTTCTTTATGGCCAGCTCTCTTGTCTCTTGAAATGCAGCTTCGATTTCCTTTATTTCAACTTGTAACATGCACATTCTTTTGATCAATTCTTCTTTCAGCATATCCGTAAATTTTGTTTCGTCAAATGTTCTACTTTCGGGGCTTTCCAAAAAATCAATTCGCTTACTTAAAACTTGGTTTAGTTTATTCAATTCTTCAATTGTCTGCTTATTATCGACATTTGCTGTTGCAATTGTCTGTTTAGCCAATAGCTCATCCCTAATAGCTCTGATTCTTATCAAGTCTTCCTCACTTTTATGTAACTGACTTTTCAAAGACGCATTTTCGTCACTAAGATCCTTATTAATTAACTTTTTTATATCATTTTGATTATTTTCCAAGCTATCTAACTTCTTCAAGCAAGAGTTATTGATTTTTTGTAGTTCGGATAAGCTTTCCTTCAAATAAGAATTTGAATTTTTCAATTCTAGATAAGCTTCGCTGCTTTCAACTTCACTTTCTCCCAAATTATTCAATTTCTCGAGCAATGAAGCATTTTCTTGTTTCACGACAGTAGCATTTTGAGAAAATGTCTCAAGTTTTTCTTTTATTAGTTGATTCTCAGTTCTAACCTCATTGAGTTCCACTTCTAAAGTCTCGAAATCTTCATTATTGATGTTTGTTTCGGAAGGATCCGCTTCTACTTCTTCTTTGACCTCAGGTTCCTCTTCTTTATGATTGCGACTCTCGTCAACTCTTCGTAAGCTCTTTGATTCGCTTCTATTCTTTTCTTTTGTAAAATGAACAAACTCCTGTTGTAACTGTACGACTTTATTAGATAAATCTGTTTTCAACTTGTTTAGCGTTTCGTTTTCAACTTTAAGAGTAAAGAGATCTGAGTTTAAGTTCTCCACTTTTTTAACTAGTTCATTCTGATCAACATCAGAACCAGAATCAAGTTTCTTTTTCAATGGGGTCAATATCTTGAGAAGATTCTCTCTTCTCTTATTCAATATTGAATCAACAGATGATTCGCTAGTCAACTTTGTTAAGAGAAGGTCATTTAGCAGTTCACTGGCGATATCGTCAGAAAATGAAACTACTATTTGCTCATACCATAAATCGAGAGCATTTAATTTCTCTTCATTGGCATTATAACGCCCCTCTAGTTCTTTGAAATCTTTTATGAGCATGTTATATTTCTGCTTGTAGAGATTCATTTGACGCCATATCGCCTCCTTCTTAAAGTACGCAACATCTCTTTGTGTAAGTGGTCCATCTTCACTAAGCTCTACAGGTACTTTGGGCTTTTTGGTAGGAGTTTCATCGCGTAAATGCTCAAGCTGTCTCTTCCTTTCATTATCTTCACTCATAGTTCGAGAAACTAGAGATGCACTATCAGAAACACTTCTCGCAGAGCTCTAAACAAAATTACCAATATAATTCTTAAAACCTTAACAGTTCAATGAAGAGCAGTTAAATAGTTATCTGATCGAGCTTCAACTGATTCATTAAACAGTTTTGTAGAAGATGTAAGTGGTGAAATATGAAGAGAAGAAAAAAAAAAAAAAGCTCCAGCCATTTTTGCCCAGAATGCACGACTCCTTGATAGAAGCAAGGATACTATCCTGCCACTTAAAATCACAGCTTCATTCCTGGACGTTCACATAGCACATTTCGAGGTGTAAGTTGCATCCCCTCTTGGCTACTGCCTTCCTAATTTTATTTTTTTATTTTTTTCATTGAGATCTTGTCTTTAGAATGTCCCAGAGATGTATGCCTCATCGGTACTAGTTAGAATCTTACAATACCTTATTGCAACTAAAAATTTGGTCCTTACTATCATACCTTCAGATCTCATATCGTAAGCAATTCACTTATTGTTATCCATGTCTGTAATTGAAAGATGTAGTTTAAAGAAACTCGACTTCCAAAAAAAAATTGAGAGATCAAACTCCGAATATAATTGCGGGACAATAACTAATAACGTTTAAATAAGTTCATGCTTGAATAAATTTAAAATGCTATTCAAAAATATCTTGTTGGTGCTCTTTCTGATCCATTGCGTGTTTTGTGCTAAGCATTATTTGTTTAAGAAATGTGAACAATCTGGTTTTTGTCAAAGAAATAGGGTATTTGGTAGAAACGTACAAAGTAGCCAAACCTTTAGCTCACAGTATTCTATAAATCCTGAGTCCCTCAATTTCGAGACAGTGGGTACTGGATTTGTATTTAATGGTGAAATCAGAAAAAGGTTACCAAAATTGAATAATGAAGACGTTCAATTGCCTTTTGAATTGTCGATAGTAAAAGGTAATAGTATAAGGCTCAAAGTAGACGAAAAAAGATCTGTTAAGTTCAAAAATGTGAATCCAAAGAGATACAATGAAACTTCCAAGTGGGCGTTTGAAAACGAAGCTCTCTTATTAATAGAAAAGTCGTCTGTCGATTTCAAATATGCTGATGATAAGATTACTATAAAATATGGAGATAATCACGAATTCACTGCGGAATTGATATTTAATCCAGTGAGACTAAATGTATACTTCAAAGGTGAATTGCAGATGATAGTTAATGACCAACAATTTTTGAATTTTGAGCATTTTCGAGTAGAAAGTGAAAATTTTAAGCATATCTCGGATGTTGAAATAGACTTCAATATGTTTGAGGATAATTTTAAGGATTCAGAAGATGACAAGCTATCCTTTGGCCCCGAGTCAGTTGCTTTGGACTTCACGTTCAAAGGGTTTAAGAATCTCTATGGAATTCCAGAACACTCTGATAGTTTGAAACTCAAAGATACTTCGTCTTCTGAGCCTTATAGACTTTTCAATGTCGATATTTTTGAGTACGAAGTAGACTCTCGTCTTCCAATGTATGGGTCGATACCCTTAATGACAGCTTCGAAACCTGGCGTTTCGATAGGAGTATTCTGGGTGAATGCTGCCGATACTTATGTGGATATTGATACGACATCTTCTCCAAACGATTCCAAAACACATTGGATTTCTGAGAATGGAGTTTTGGATGTAGTCATATCGGTGGGCTCAAATCCCTCAGATATCAACAGAGATTATGGTTTAATCACGGGTTATCCTCAATTACCTCAAATATTCTCATTAGGTTATCACCAATGTAGATGGAACTACAATGACGAGAAAGACGTCCTTAATATTAATAATTTGATGGATGAATATCAAATTTCCTATGACACTATATGGCTCGATGTCGAATACACTGATTCAAAAAAATATTTCACATGGCAGCCAGATAGCTTTCCACACCCAGAAGAGATGCTTGCAGAGCTTGACCGCACTGGAAGAAATCTTGTTGTCTTAATTGATCCTCACATGAAGGTAGATTATTTTGTTAGTGATGAGCTAATTAAAAGAAAAATAACAATGAATGATAAACACAATAAGCCATTCCATGGCCATTGCTGGCCTGGTGAGTCGCTCTGGATTGACACTTTAAACCCGAAATCACAGATGTATTGGGACGAGCTTCATTCTTTGAAAGAGGGCTCATTCTTGGGAAAAGCTGATAACATATATATTTGGAATGACATGAGTGAACCGTCCATATTCGATGGCCCAGAAACGACTGCGCCAAAAGATAACTTGCATTGGGATGGCTGGGAACACAGGTCAATTCATAACATTAATGGCTTGACCTTTCATGAGACTACGTATAAATCCTTAACAAAAAGATTAAAAGACTTAGAGAGGCAACGGCCCTTCATTTTGACACGGTCGTATTTTGCAGGTTCTCAAAGAACTGCTGCAATGTGGACTGGGGATAATATGTCAAAATGGGAATATTTAAAGATATCTATTCCCATGGTATTAACCTCTAATGTGGTTAATATGCCCTTTTCTGGAGTTGATGTGGGTGGCTTTTTTGGTAATCCTTCTAAGGAGCTTCTTACAAGGTGGTATCAAGCAGGCATTTGGTATCCCTTCTTTAGAGCCCATGCTCATATTGACTCAAGAAGAAGAGAGCCTTGGGTACCAGGAGATCCATATACTTCAATAATAAGAGATGCAATCAGACTTAGGTATTCTTTATTACCGGTCTACTACACAGGCTTTTATCAAGCGAATAGAGTTGGCGCACCAATAATAAAACCATTATATTACGAAGCTCCTCATAATTTGGATAGCTATTCAGTTGACGACCAGTTCTTTTTGGCTGATTCGGGGATCATGGTCAAGCCAGTGACAGACCAGAACATAGAGCTGGTGATGCTCTATCTACCCGATAACGAAAAATATTATGATTATACGAATGGCATTCTTTCAGCTCAAGCTTATGAGCTTTCTAAGCCAGGATACATTAACTTGAAGCTGGGATTATCTGATATTCCGATGCTAATTAAAGGTGGAAGTATCATTCCCCGGAAGATGCGGTATAGAAGATCGACTATGCTAATGGAGAATGATCCTTACACATTGACTATAACCTTATCGAGCAATAATACAGCTAAAGGAAATTTATATATTGATGATGGTAAATCGTTCAATTACTTAAACGGCAACTATATCGATGTCGCATTCAGTGCAACAAATGAAAAGGTAACAGGAAACGTTTATGCACCAAATAAGGAATATTTGACTCTGTTAGTCAATATCACAATTGAAACCATTCACATAGTTCCTGCTTCAAATGTCAAGCAGGTGGAAATTGAGCAAGATGGAGATAATTGGATCAGAAGCACAAAGGCATCAAACGGCATTTTAACGATTGAGAAACCAAATTTGAAAATTTATTCAAATTGGTCTATCAAAATAGCCAAGACTCAAGATTTCGATCATGATGAGTTATAATCCTTTATATGATCTTTTAAGAAGTAATACCGCAAGTTCGTTGACATTTTGCTTAATGTTGTCCATACAACTTGCTTGCCACATGAAAAACAGTCACCTGAAGTTGGGATTATTAGCTTAACGTCAGACTTATTCAAAATATGTTTTCCAAGACATGTTAAATGAAACAAACTATAACAATGATAGCATGCGCATACCAAGGGAAATCCCTCACTATTTAAAAAGTCACGTAGTTCCAGTCGAGAGCTTAATTTCAAATCGTTTTGATCTACCTGAAAATGCTCGCTACATATCAAACATTGTTGATTTTTAAATAGTAAAATATCTTTTACCCGTTCAAAATAATCTTTCTCGAACGTAGACTTGATAAGCATGTTATTATTTCCTTTTCTCTTCTCAGTGCTACAGTTTCCGAAGGTATCCTCAAAACTCGCGAAAGTAACTATAGTAGAATCCAAAATATCAATGCCAAATTTATTAACATGCCATATCTCGTTGGCTTTTTCCTCAAGCAAATGAAGCTTTAGGTTCATATGTCTGAAGTAATTAGATATGAGCAATAACCTTATGTTCCCTAACTTATGAGCTAATGATCTGTTCGAGCGTTTGTTGCAAATTCTTTCATGCGGTTTGATATGTCGTGTCTGATATGGGTGTTGTAACAGATGTTCGAACTGTAAAGCTGTCACTTTCGATGGAAAACTATGTATAATGGCAATCATGCGCCAAGGTCGAAAGCCAACTCTTTTTGTCTTAAAAGCCCCACCATTTTTTAGGTCCCCATTGTGTTGTCTCAATCTGCGCACAGGGTCCGGCGTAGAACCAACATAAAAACTCAACGGCTTTTGTTCAGATTGAAGCAAATAAACTCCGTAGAAATCAGGGTTGCAATGAAGCTCTGTTTTTTTCGACCCGTCTCTAGAGCTCTCATGGTTGTGCCCAACCATCGTTCAGTCTTTCTTAGTTAGATTAATTAAAAACGGAAACATATTTATAGTTGGTTATATGCAGGAACACGAAGTATTGATTTTTTCTTTCTTACTGGCGCTTTGAAAATAGGTAAGTTCATCAAATTTAATCGATTTTATGCCTTCATCAGCGATTTAACAACAAGGGAATTCGAGAAATCTTTGTAATCACGGTTGTTTTATTTGTTGAGTATAGAAGTATAATAGGTTGTTGTAAAGATATAAATCGCTCATTGACAAAAACTTCATTGATATTCTTGTGATATCAGAAGGGTCCACAAACATTTCCAAAATATTGATTGTGAAAAGAGAGGAATTATCACACAATGAGTAATCCGACATTACCCAAGACTGAGGATATGTCACATCTGTCTTCGAACAGCTCTAATCAAAGTGGGTCAAATGATTTTGTGAAGAAACTCTTTCAGATGTTAAAGGAAGACACTTACAAGGATATCGTAAGATGGACAACAAACGGTGATAGTTTTGTTGTTCTCAATACAAATGAATTTACTAAAGATATTTTGCCTCGACATTTCAAACATAGTAACTTTGCTAGTTTTGTGAGGCAGCTTAACAAATATGACTTTCATAAGGTAAAAATTCCGAACGAGGAGAAGCAAAGCTATCAATATGGAGAAGATGCATGGGAATTCAGGCACCCAGACTTTAGAATAAATGATCAAGAGTCTTTAGAAAATATCAAAAGAAAAGGGCCGGGCTCGAAGAAGGGAGTTGGAACAAGCGATCATGGTAGTAATATGACCTCCTATACCACTGCACAAATTCATCACATGAACGAATCTATCGAACTATTAAAGGCAGAAAATAAGCAGCTACATCAAGACATGAGTATACTTCAAGGTAAGTATAAAACTTTGATAGAAAATATAGTATCATTAAATAATGTTGATGAGAGATATCACAGATATTTAAATGTTTTAGCGACCTGTTTAGCTCATGCTGGTATTAAGGTACCACCGCTAGACTTTCCAAATCCCAATTTGGTTAACCTTCAACAGCCTCCATTATCTCATTCAACTGCAGCCAATACGCAACCGCCCCAGCCTCCATCTACCACTTTGAATCATCAGATGTCACCACCATTAGCAGGCGCACACCCTAATAACAATTCAATGCCACTAAATGCATTTGATCAGCAATTTATGTCACAGCCTTTGCAGCCGCCTTTACATTTGCAAGCACGAACACCTCTGTCAGGCGAAGGTCTTGCTGCCAAATCACAGTCTTCACCGCAGATTACTACTGCTGCTTCAGAATCTCCTGCATTAGGCTCTAACCTGAATACAACTGATTCCCACAGAAGACTATCTAGAGATGCGCCTTCGGAGATAGTCACAACAACTAACATACCGAATCCAAAATTTCATGTTCTATTAGTTGAAGATGACAATGTTTGTATCCAGCTTTGTCGAAAGTTTTTGGTTAAATACGGTTGCCAAGTAACTGTCGTCACAGATGGATTGAATGCCATATCAACTTTAGAACACACCAAGTACGATCTTGTTCTAATGGATATTGTTATGCCTAATTTGGATGGTGCCACCGCTACAAGTGTGATACGATCCTTTGATACTAGGACTCCTATAATAGCTATGACAGGTAACATTGAGGACAATGATTTGGTGACATATTTACAGAATGGAATGTCTGATATCTTGGCTAAGCCGTTCACAAAAGATGATTTATATTCAATATTAAGTAAGCATCTTTTAGAAACTGGACAGAAAAATGATATTTCTCAGTTGCAGGGCCCACCACAAGAAACATTAGCATTGCCCCAAGAACAACAGCGACAAGCACAACAGGCCTCACAACAGGGTCCACCCCAAACGTCTAACATTGCTTCCTCCATTGGTCAAACTTCAGGTCCCAATGGAGAAGATCAAATGTTAAAAAAACAAAGGTTGTCATGACCAAATCAAAGGTATATTGAATTATGAATTTAAAATTTTATTAATGGTATTAATAGGTTACATAATATAGTCATTATAGTTGTAAAAATCTTAAAATGCTTTATTAATGTCCCTAGTGCTCTTTTGGTATTATAAGATGGAAAGCTAAATCACTGAATGCATTTTGCCACTCTCCTTGTGTGTTCATATATCTGGTTATCTCGACTTTCGCGGCATAACATAATTCGAAATCGTAATCAATGTTTGATTCATGGTAAACTCCACGGTTTTTCCTATTTTTTTTCTTTTTAGTATTTACAACTGTGGTAAATTCATTTTCCTGAATCTTCTTCTCCATCTTGTAATCAACAATTTGTATCAAAGTCGCAAGCAATGGATATTGTTCAAAAATCCTCTTCTTCGTTAATCTATCTGTATGCGAAATCAAATCATTTCCCAAGAACAACTGTGGCCTATACTTTTCTAAAATATGATTTGTCAATTCCAAAGATGCATGGGGCAAAAATAAAAGCACTTTATCTATATGGAAATCTCCTTCAGCTTTGATCTGATGGTCTCTTTGCGATACTAGCATATCTTTGTCAATATCATTGAAGATAGGATCATAAAACCATAAAGAGGTAGCAGTCAAGTTAAAATAATTCCCTATCTCCTCTACATATGCCAACTGATATAATGCCTCCATACTTTCTGAGGGTGAGCCTAAAGCTAAGCACCAAATGCTTTTAATGTTAGTGGCCTCGCCAATGCATTGAATAGTTTCTTCAAAAAGTTTTGAACTTTTGACTATGCTTCTATATTTATCAAGAGTTGAAAGCAGTTTCTGTAACTTTAACTTCTTTAACTTCTGAGTACATCTACTGTCACTCGACATTCGCTTTACATTAGCTACGTATTTTGGGCTTGGTCATTTGTTATTAACTTGGCAGATCTTCCTCAACTCATCTTGCAAAAAGGTAATGATATTAAGACCTTCTTATATGCAGGTGTTCAAAGAAGACCTTTCTTGAACGCTACTAAACTCTAGAAAAGTATGACAGGTTCAGATGATATATACCAATAGAGTGATGTAACCAAACCGAAGACCAATATTGGTCCCCTTCACTAAAATGCAAATACGGACTATTGTAAAACCAAGAAGAACAACCACCGCGGGCACATTTGTGTAATTTCTCGGATGTAGCCTTGAGGGTCCCCGGCATAGAAAATTTTATTAAGAAGGGCATCTCCCAGGTAAAGTGAAGTACTATTTGGCAAGTTAAAAAAAAAAAATAACCCATTATTGTCGTTGAAATATAACCTCTGATAGTATCTCAAGTAAAATCGAGGCAAGTTGTATTCATCAATAGTGTCACATGTACTAAAGGAAACTTCTTTAGGAATTTGGTCAGATACGTTAGATAAGATGCGGAAGTGTAAAGTTTTCGTTGGTTCATCACATCCTGAATTAGGAAACCTGATTTGTGAAAAGTTAGGACTTGAACCAGCTCCCTGTGAGCTCAAGAAGTTTTCTAATGGAGAAACATCGGTACAAATTGGGGTTTCGATAAGAGACGAAGATGTCTATATCATCCAATCAGGATCTCCTACAATAAATGATCATATAATGGAGCTATTGATCTTGATATCTGCTTGTCACGGTGGTTCGGCTTCAAAAATCACAGCTGTGATACCCCAATTTCCATATTCGAAGCAGTCAAAGATGAAGAAGCATAGAGGAGCAATCACAGCAAGAATGCTTGCTAATTTATTGATTATGGCGGGCGCTGATCATGTAGTATCAATGGACTTGCATGCTTCGCAAATGCAAGGCTTTTTCACTAAACCAGTGGACAACCTATATGGAGCACCAACGCTAGCTAGGTGGATTCGTCATAATATTCCTGATTGGGAGAATGCTGTTGTGGTTTCTAAGAATCCGGGTGGAACGAAAAGAGTAACTGCTTTGGCAGATGCTTTGAAGATCAATTTTGCAATGATACACACTGACAGAAGAAGGTCTCAAGATGGATATTCTTCTTCAAGCAAGAAGAAGGCGTTGAAACCCTGTGAGAGCGATGACGAAGAAAACATATTTCCTGAACTACAAACTGCTAGAATTGTCCAAGGTCATGTTGTTGATGATGACTACCCTACTACACAAACGACAAATGGTAGCTCAACCGCAGAGAATCATTCTATCAGTGATAGTGATGCCTTAGGTGGTTCATACGAAGCTGGCAGTAGCGATGATGAAGATGAACCTGTCAGCCAAGAAAAATTAATCACCTTGGTTGGAGATGTCAGTGATAAAGTTGCAATAATACTTGATGACATGATTGATAAGCCCAATTCTTTCATTTCAGCAGCAGAACATTTGCGGTTGAATTGTGGGGCAAAAGCAGTTTATGTGCTTGGGACTCATGGTATCTTCAGTGATGACTGTTTAGAGGCATTAAACGGCTCAAAATGCATTGACAAGATCGTTGTCACTAACACATATCCTATTTCAAAATCGAGAATCGAAGAGAATGAGAAACTTGCTGTCATAGATGTTTCTCCTATTTTCGCGGAATGCATTAGAAGAGATCACTTTGGTGAATCTATTTCGGTGTTATTTGACTCCTTGGCTGCTATCGAATAAGTGTTCGTATATCTTTGTACCCATAAAGTTTATATATTTTGTTTTGTTTGTAGTTCGACGAACCAACGATGCAACCGAGGGGTTGCAGGACATACTCTAGCTAATTTCTATTAGTATTCAGAGTTCATGGACTAACGGAGCGTTGGAATATCAACAAATTTCGGTGCATATTGGCTTGCCCTATTGACGGGGCCAGCCTATGTCTCAGAAATGACAGTTACTAGAATTCAAGTACAAGTAATGAATAAATCACGTGATATTTTATGTAAAGGATATGAGAGCTTATCAACGTATCTCATTAAAAGATAATTTTATTAATTAATCGAAGAGTGATCTACTTTAAGGCTAAGACGTAAACCTACTTATTCTATTTCACAGTCATAATGCCGAGTGATGAACATTCCTTACCGATCCCTGTTCCTAAAACTGATTCGAAAGCAACAGATGTTCAGCAAAAGATTAATCAACCTGTATCACCACTTTCGTTGTCTGAGCCAGGATCAGTAATATATCTGTCCCCAGCTACTGAAAATGCTATGGCGTCAATAGCACCTATGCTAGAAGGGTATGCGCCTAAGACTTCAGCGGAGGAGTCAAAGACCACAAACTTCCAAGGCTCTCCAGGTCAATTAAGTGTTGAAAACGTGGGTAATTTGACGACAAGGTCAAATTCTGTTGCTGAGCCCAATAGGTTAAACAAGACAATCTCAAACTCTTCGTCAACTTCAAAAAAATCTGTTTCAATTTCAAAAGATCCTGAGGGCCCAAAATTACCAAAAGTTGGAAAGATTGGTGTCTGTGCAATGGACGCCAAGGCAATGTCAAAGCCCTGCAGAAAGATTTTAAATCGTTTGATTGAAAATGGTGAATTTGAAACTGTCATTTTCGGTGACAAAGTTATCCTTGATGAAGCTATTGAAAATTGGCCCACTTGTGATTTTTTAATCAGTTTTTTCTCTACTGGTTTCCCATTAGATAAGGCGATTAATTATGCTAATTATCGTAAACCTTACATGTTAAATGACCTTATTTTACAAAAAACTCTTTGGGATAGAAGATTGGTTCTCAATATCTTGGACCATGCCAAAGTACCTACTCCTGAGCGCTTAGAAATCAGTAGAGATGGCGGACCAGAGATAGATGATACTCTTCTTAAGAAGCTTAAAGAGATCGGGATGACAGACGAGCAATTGTATAACCTCACAAACCAATCAGAGATAAACTGGGAGATGGTTGACGAAGATACCTTGAAAGTGGGTGATAAAATAATGAAAAAACCTTTTGTGGAGAAGCCTGTTGATGGTGAAGATCACAATGTGTTTATATATTATCCTAAAGCAACTGGTGGCGGTGGCAGAAGGTTGTTTAGAAAAATTGGAAATAAATCATCGGAATTCGATCCCGAATTGAGTACTCCCAGATTAGAGGGTTCTTTCGTTTATGAAAGATTCATGGATACCGATAATTTTGAAGATGTGAAAGCCTACACAGTTGGACCAAATTTCTGTCACGCTGAGACGCGTAAATCTCCTGTTGTTGATGGTATCGTCAGAAGAAATACTCACGGAAAAGAAATTCGTTTCGTTACCCAGCTTACTGAGGAGGAGACTGAAATGGCACGAAACGTTAGTAAAACCTTTCAACAAACCATATGTGGATTTGATTTGTTGAGGGTTAATGTGAAGTCATACGTTATAGATGTTAATGGATTTTCATTCGTCAAAGATAATAATGAGTACTATGATGCATGTGCTTCTATCTTGAGGTCTCTTTTCATAGAAGCGAAGAAGTCTCGAGATCTATTAAAGACAAAAATCACTCATCTGTCAGAGCACAGAAGCCAATTTGAAGAGAAGGAACAGAAGTGGGTATTCAAAGGGTTGGTTTCTGTTATAAGGCATGCTGATCGAACTCCAAAGCAGAAGTTTAAATACTCCTTCCGATCACCTCTTTTCATATCTTTATTGAAGGGCCATAAGGAAGAGGTGATCATCAGAGCGGTTGCAGATTTGCAAGTGATTTTGGAAACAGTCAAGATTGCAGAAGAGAAGCAATTAGAAGACGCTAAAAAGCTTAAGCAACTTAGAGGTGCGTTGGAGAAGAAGATGAATTTTCCAGGAACCAAAATCCAACTAAAGCCATCTTTGAATAAGGAAAATCCAGATATTGTGGAAAAAGTCCAATTGATATTGAAATGGGGAGGTGAACCTACTCACTCGGCAAAATATCAAGCGACTGATGTTGGTGAGCAATTAAGGCAGAACATCAAGTTGCTAAACCGGAATGCATTAAAAGATGTTAAAGTGTTTACTTCTTCAGAAAGGAGAGTGATTGCGAGTGCACAGATCGCTACCATGGCACTATTAGACGTGGATGAGTTACCAGACGATTTCTTGATTATTAGGAAGGATTTACTTGATGATTCAAACGCAGCCAAAGATTTAATGGATAAGGTCAAGAAAAAATTGAAGCCACTTTTGAGACAGGGGGCAGAGGCTCCACCTCAGTTTACATGGCCACCAAAAATGCCACAACCATTTGAGGTAATCAAGAGGGTCTGTCAACTTATGAATTTCCATCATCAAATCATGGAGTACAATTTCGAAACTAAAGATGTTGACGAGTTTCAAAAGAATTGGTGTTGTGGTGAAGATCCTTATTTATTCAAAGAGAGATGGGATAAATTATTTCAGGAGTTTACAACTGTCGAAAAGACACATCCATCAAAAATATCGGAGCTATATGATACAATGAAATATGACGCTTTACATAATCGACAAATTTTGCAGAAAGTGTTTGCATTTAATCCAAATGATGAAAGACTAATAGAAAGATTGAATAAGAGTTGTGGAGATACTATAAACTCATCAGGATTGGTCAGTGAATACCCTATCAACATTTTAGCGATGAATAACTTTAAGTTGCCTGAGAATGGAAATTCTAGCTCTCAATCGAGCTCAAGTTCTAATTTACACAACATCACTTCCACCCCGGGTTCTGCTGGATCTCTTGGTTGGGTTTTGAAAGGTGTTACTTCGACTATAAAAAATTCCACTTACAATAACGACACAAATACGAATAAAGAGATGAACAAGATTGAAAATCCTTTTGATCATCCAACTTTTGCCAGATTGAGGGAGCTATATCGACTTTCTAAAGTCCTTTTTGACTTTATTTGTCCACAAGAATACGGAATCGAAGATGAGGAGAAACTTGACATTGGTCTTTTAACATCACTTCCTTTAGCTAAGCAGATACTTTCGGACATTCAAGATATGAAGAAACATGATACTGCTGCAGTGGTTAATTACTTTACCAAAGAATCACATATATACACCTTGTTGAATGTCATTTACGAAACTCATCTTCCAATGAAAATAGCCAGAAATGCTTTACCTGAATTGGATTACTTGTCGCAAATTGTATTTGAATTATATGAGTGTGAGGATAGTAGAAGTGCCTCTGGAAAAAAGCATTCCATCAGGTTGTCTTTATCACCGGGGTGCCATACCCAGGATCCTTTGGATGTCCAATTGGATGATGACCACTACATTGGTTGCATTCCACGTATTAGTTTAACTAGACATTTGGATATTGATCTCGTTACTCAAAAATTAAGATCTAGATTCACAAGGGTTTCTTTACCAAAAAAGTTCACACCAGTCAATATTTCAAGCCCTCTTGCCAGTGGAATTTGATCGTATCCTACTTTTTTAGAATAAATCAACTTTAAAAAATCATATCAATTAAATAATAAGTACGCTATAAAAATAGAATTTTAATTTAAATGTATCGTAATACAGTTTTAAGCTCATGAGTTGTAAGAATCCCAATTATCGATGATAGATTTGAGCTTCTCTGATTTGGTCAAACTGTAAACCTCTTCAAAGTATTCTTTAGTGACTTCAAATGGCTTAGCAGTTAAATTTGGAATATACTTTCCTACCAAATCTTGTGGCTTGACAGATGACTTTGGAACTTTCTTCTCCAAGAATCTTTGGAAAGGCTTGACACCAGACATTAAATAAGACGAATGGAAAGGCACAGAAATTCCCTTCAAAGGAATAACTGCAAAACCCCTTTGCAAATCAATTGGTTGTGGCTTTGCAATAGATTGAGCAGATACTTCCTCGATGATTTCATTTAAGTGGCTCTTTACTTCCTCGATTGACATAGTCGCTTGCAACTTTACGATATCAATTTTATTTACCTTCATGACATTCAACACGTTGGTTAATGTGTCCAATGCTCTCAAGTCACCGGCAGTAACATATTGCGTATCCTCAACGTTATAATTGACAATTTCTAACAACCAGCCAGTTTTAGAAGATATTTCATCAACAACAAAACGCAAGGCAGCATCATTGAAAGTTGGACTGACTCTAGTAGGATTCACTGCGCACATGCCATAGTTAGACCTACCCAATTCGTCTCTAGGGACAGCGACTTGCATTGTCATACCTCTATAAAAGACAACATCAACTAATGATTCAATTGGCATGACATTAGCCAAAGAAGATAAGGCCGAATATTCACCCAAAGAGTGACCAGCGAACATAGCATCAGAATCCACTAATCCCTTCGCCTTCATATCCTCAAAAGAGGCTTTTTCCATTAAAGTCAATGCAGGTTGAGTAAATTGAGTTGCGGATAATAAACCAACAGGAGAAACAAAAGAATAAGAGGTAGTTGAGTAGTCAATATCTTTGAAAATTTGTTCAGACTTGATATCACCATCCTCACCAATTGTTTCGAACATCATTGCCATGTAATTGTCTCTGATCTTTCTTCCCTTGGTACCACCAAAATGAACAGTCAATTCCTTTGGATTGTTTTGAACAATATCAAGGATTGAGAAACCGTAGTTGCTAACAAAGTGTCTGTCAGCTCTATCCCAAACTTCGCGGGCGACTTCAGAGGAATTGTACAAGTCCATTCCCATACCCTGTTCTTGAGAACCTTGTCCAGTAAAGACATATGTGGTTATCGGTTGCTCGATCTCAGCTTCACCAACAAGAACAGCAGTATCGGATTCAACATTCCTGGTCTCGAATTTGATGATCTTACGACCATTGATCATACCAACATGTTGCAATGTAGTTTGTAATACATCGTTCGGTAAAACCATACCCACAAATGAACTCTTGAAAGCTCTAACCCTAGAGGCAACATTATTGGCAGCCCATAACTCAACTAAACCTCTTACTGAAGCTGATGAATACATACCGTGAGTTATTGTACCTGGAAGCTTAGCATAAGCAGCAAAAACTCTAGAAACGTGAATTGGGTTATAATCACCTGATACCTTAGCGTATGGTTCATTTGTACCTGGCGCCTTTGACGACAACTCTTCTCCAGAAGAAATAGGAATACTGTTTTCAAATGTTACAGCTTGCTCAATAGTACTGCCATGTCTAGCAAGGTAGTCAGTTACCGGATTACCATAAGATTTTCCAGCTTCATAGTTAATGGAGCCTACTTCTATTATCTCTTTAGTCGGTAATTCCAAGTATGCTTTACCTGTGGTTCTTATTGAAGAATAAACATTTGCTGATTTAAATTTATACGTAGACTCGCATCTGAAGGTCAAAACTTTACCCATCAAATCAAGATCCTTCTCTAATTCAAACCATTCCTTAGATCTTAATATTGCAAGGTCTTTAGAAGACTTAATAGCAACTTCAAATGGAGTCTCTGTAACCCTTTGGAAAGTGTTTTCGAAGTCAATATTCTCACCACGGTATAAGAACTGAGATGTGACTTCCATCACAGCCTTATTATCACGATAAATTGTACCCACTACCTCAACAAGCTTACCCGACGACTGAATCAATACAGCTCGTATATCTGCCGATGAAGTAACAACGTCGCCTTTTTTCAAAGGTTCTGCACCAGGAATCATATTATATCCATTAGACAAATGAACTAACTTCAATAAATCTCCATCAACAGTCTTCGGGAAGATTGCTTTCATAATAGCTTTCCATCCTATAACGATAGCAAAATCCATAGGAGCTAAGGTAACTTTACCAGGCCTAGATACAAATGCTTCGCACTTGTTACCAATAGCATGAGTAAATTCGGAAATAGCTTTACCAGTAATGGTTATCTCCTCGCCTTGTATTGGCTTCGTGACATCAATGTTAAAATCAACTGGCACTTTAGATCCAAACCATAATTTCCAGTAAAATTCTTTAATCCTTTCATTTCTTCCTTCCATTACTTCCAATATAGGTGCAAACCCATCTTTAGGATTATATCTGAACAAGAAAGGTAAAGATGCAGGTTCAGCATCTGCCGTCCTGTACTCGATCATGTTCAATTGGATTGTATCTTTCCCAATCATTTTTATTTCAACGATGGGCCTCAACTCTCCAGCTAAAGGTTCGAATAAAGTAATACCATCGGACTTCTCTAAAACAATATTAGGAGAAGGGCTCAAGATGTCATGTAGTGGGTTTGAGACATGATTAGATCCCTGCACAATCCTTTGAGTAGAGATAAAAGCATGCATCCAATCCAACTTTGGTCCTGCGATTAAATCGAACCAAGCTTCTTTTGATGGTAATGCTGAACCAATTTTAAAGATAGTTTTGTTTTGATCTCTTTCGATATTAACGTGAGGTAAGGTCTTGATATCAACTGGATCAGAACCGCCGAAGTATTCAACTACCGGAATGCTTGACTCGTCAGAATCATATGAATCTTCAAGGAGTCTTCTGATATGCCCATTATGGATAGAATCCAAAATGTCCTTTATAGGCTCATTCACTTTATTGGTAAATTGCGCTGCAACTGGGCCATGTAAAATACAAGTTCTTTGAACATCTTCATCAACGACGGCTTCCAAGTCTTCAGATTGCCATAAGGAATCTTTCTTGAAGAAAAATTCGAATTTTTCATTCAACACAGGAACGAATGGCACAGGTTTTTGTCCTGGTCTAGAACAACACATTAAGAAGAAATCACAATCTTCTTCAGATACAAGTTGTTCTTTAGCTAATGGAAGCTTATCGAAAAAATTCTCGACAAAAGTCAGAGGATTAGATTGTAATTGTGTATAAGTTTGGATCATTGAGACGGATCCAGAAGTTGTGGTAAATCTTTCTTCCACTCTTCTTAAGAAATCAACACAAAAGTTTCTTAAAGTGGGGTCAATCCAACGTTCTGATTTCTTAACATACATGAGTTCAATTAGTCTGTTGGCTACTTGTTCGTATGTCATATCTTCTAAATCACACACTCCATTCGCATTCTTTCCAAACCAAGGCTTCTGAGAGTCTTTGTTCAACTTAGAAATAATGTAATCCTTCTTTTTGTTCAATGTGTCCAATAATTTATTCTTGGGTAAAGAGAAGATTGTGTCATCCATCTCTTTCCAGAACATTACTCCTCTAGTGGCAATCTTATGAATGGGCTCACCCATCTCCGACTTGACTGTAATGATACCACCAGTAGGCTTTTTGTAAGTCAGCTCCCATTTCAGATCAGGAACTCCAGAACAAGCTGCAATTGCCTTCTTTGCTTCCAAAGAAGTATGCGCCTCCTTAGCAGTCATCACTCTTGATCCAAACAAGACACCATCGAACGGCATTGGGGGATAGTTAAATTTCTGAGACCATACACCAGTTAAGTAAGGATATGAATCCTCATCGGAACCAAAACCCGAACCTGCAACCAATATAATGTTAGGGCATCTTCTTATCTTTGAATACATCTGCAAAACTGGCTGATGGAAGTCCTCATAAGAATGATGTCCACCACCTCTTCCACCTGTCCATTGTAATACAATTGGAAAGTTTGGATGGGCCTTGGCGATGGCAATAGATTGATGAATAGCATCAACAGACCCGGGCTTTAAACCCAAGTGCGTCAATCCAAGATCTTGTATATATTCAGTGGCAACTTCTAAAGAAGGTACACCAGCACCAATTGACATTGATTGGATTGGGAACCCTCTTTCCCGCAAGCTTTTAATCAACGGAATACCCCACTGTAACATTCTGGGACTGACATAAATCAAGTTTAAGCCTATTCCGTAACCTGGTGTAATGTTAGCAGCAACTTCCCTCAAGCTTTTCTCCATTGAGTGTGGTTCGAAATAACCGCCTCCAGCTAACTCTATATGATAACCTGCATTAATAGTAGCTGCGACGATCTCCGGATTCACAGTAGTTGGAGTCATACCCGGAACCATCAAAGGTGCTCTCCCCAATAATTTAGAGAACTTCGTATCAACATAAACCTTACCAAGCTTTGTTTTAATCAACTTTGCTTTATATTCTTCTAACCAGTTGGGTGCCCATTTCACAGAATTTGGCTTTCTGTTGAAGATTTCTTGTTTGAATCCATATTCATCGTCATTATTAATATCTAAAGCCCCTGCAACTATGATTCTAGTTCCAGTTCCGTCCTTATTTCTATGTGTTAATACACCGAGACCTGAGCTACCACCGGGTCCAAAGTCCAATAAATGGGTTGAAGGGAAGCTGGTTGCCTTTTCCCAGTTAACAGGAAGCCTTGTGATACACTCGACAATTCTTGAAATCACAATATTATCTGACTCATCTAAATTTTGATAATTTTCTCCTGTAAAAGTGTCATAGATTGGGATTTTTATATCCTGAACCTTGAATTGAATACCGTCGTTAATCAAATCTTTGATTATAACGTCAGTTGCCGGTATTAAGAGATGAGAATGAAAAGGAGCAAAAATCGGCAAGAATCTATTTGAAAACTTGAGCTTTCTCTCACTGTAAGGAACTCTAGCTTGGTCTAACCCAGCCGGAGCTTTATGACTTCTTAATGATAAGTTAAATCCATACAAAGATTCAGGTGGACCTGAAAGAACTAAGTTTCTAGCACCATTGACCAAAGAAATGCCAATGTGCTTCTCTTTTGGTAAGTGCTTATTAGTTTCCCCAATGAAACGTTCAACTTCTTGTATTGATAAGTCTCTGATGGACAACATTGGAGATGGGGTACCTTCTCCATTATTCAACGAGTCCTGTAACATCGTTGGAGGTAATGTTGTGCTTGGATACGTGATCAAACTTCTTGCGCCTACGAAAAACATGAGAGCAACTGCTTTCAAAGAATTTGAAACAAAAGATTCCCATGATCCCGATGATGCAATGGCTGTTGCAGTAACCAAGCCTTGTGAATGACCCGTAGTTCCACTTAAATAACTTCTAAATTCCCCTGGAGTGAGACCCATGGTCCTGCAAGTAACAGTGTAGTGACATAATTGGATAAGACAAATTAAAGGACAGCTGACTGGTACAGATAATAAATAGTCTTGATCGGGAGTCTGGTCAGGATCTTGCAACCAAGTCAAAATATCAAGACCTTGAGTATATATTTTATCGACATTTTCTGTTGTCTTCACTAATTGGTTCAATTTTTCAGCTACCACTTGGATCAAATCCTCAACCAAGCCATTGTACATACTCTTCAATTCTCTCAACTCTTCGAAGTAATCATCTATATTTCCTTGACCACCAAAGATTGCGTAAATCTTTGCACGGTTAGTTTTCTTATTAAGTGTTCCTGAGTTTTTCAACAAATCGGATTCTACCTTATTTACATTAGCATCTGAATTTATTAAGGCGTTGAAGTAGTTTTTAATCAACTCTTTCAGCTTAGGCAAGCTCGTCTCGTATGTATCGTCGCCATAGAGATCGGCAGCCAATGTGTGGATATCCGATGTAGATAAATATCTGGATTCGAAGTCCTGCAATGCGAATGCCAAAATCTCCTTCAACTGGTCATGATCACCTTCCAGTTGTACTAAACCTGCAACGTATCCCAAAAACTTAGAGAATAATTCAGCTGGAGAGCACGGTTCGTCATCTCCTGCAAATCCTTCTGTTGGCTCAGGGAGTTCTTTAACGAACTGTTCTTTCAATCTTGTAAAATTGAAAAACAAGCTGGCAGGGACCAATAATGTATATTCAATGCTGCCGTGATGCAACGAAAATGGACGCTGACTTGTACTCATTCTATTATTCCTATGGTTATCCGCAAGTATCTCAAGTCCAATAGGTTAAAAGTAAGATGAGTATGTTTTACCTTATAACTACTTTAAAAACCCTTATTCAAAATTATGCTAAATTTGATATTTGTCTACAGTTGTTACTATATACTATATTCAATTTTATTAAATGCTGGGCTGTAATATTTGATGGGTGTGCCTAAATGTTGCAAGCTCGCGTTAATGGTTCCCAAAAAAAATCTTGTTGGTTGATTATATAAGGAAGTTGGGCATTATATGCCGGATTATTAATTGAATTCATCGAATCAAACATGTCCTTATGTGCATAGATTAGAGGAAACCCAGGCCAACGACAACTGTGTCCGGGAAACCCCTTGATGAAGGCGATGCCCATAGAATGATATGCTGCAAAAGGAGATCCGGTATATAGATCATGTAGGGACAGATTGTGCCCAATTTTACTAACGGTGTAAGTAAGAGAACTAGTATACAGTTTTCTTTATATATGAATGCAAATATAGAATCTAGGAAGAAATGATTACTCTACTATCGCAATTGCTTTTGTAAATCTATAATAATATCTAACTCAAGGGCCATGATTTGGGCTGGTATGATGAAGAGGACAGTTACTTCTTTCCTGGTAAAGAAAATACAGGCTTTGTGGCCCTGGAGAAGTCTCTCACAATAATTGAGCAAGTGGTTTCTTTGCACAAGTCTTTCTTGTACGAATCTGGAAGCCTCCTCAATAGCTCTAACCCACTACTTCTTTCTAATGCCTCGACTGGTACCTGGAAAGAAGTTAAAGGTGCGCTATTGGGGATAGTTGCATTCGGTAAAACAAAAGCACCAACTGCCACAGAGCTTTGGCCGGTCATTTCTCCAACAATTAATTTGAAGAAATGCGTTGGTACCGCAACATTTGGCGGATTTCCAATCACTTCGTAAGAAACTCTGAATTTTCCATCTATGTCTTTCTTTGGCAAAAATAATGGTCCCGTTACGATTCTCACGCTGTCGTATTTATTGGTGAGCCTTCTTGCAAAATCTTCAAAATGTGCCCAATAATCTCTATTGAAGCCTTCGCCAACTTGTGGAGACATATTGGTCAAGTAAAATGTTTCATCCATTGCTGTCTGCGAAAACTTTGCATCAGCAGCAGGTGCATTATGGCCCCTATCATATCCACTCCTAAAAAAGTCTTTCAACTTATTTCTGAAACTTTCGGGAATAGCCTCATCCTCCTTAAATACAGAATTTCTTCTATCAACTCCCTTTGACGACTTAATGGAATCTCTAGTTATATGCTCAACGACCCATGATGGATTACGAGTTTGCCTATTGTAGCAGCTAATAAATTCTGCTCCATTTCTGATATCATGCACTGGACCTGGGAATCCGTACTGGTAGAAATCTATAGGTTTGACGTAAGGAAAAGCTGGTTGGTTACCTTTTTTATCTCGTGGAAGATCTACAGATGTTTGAACTGAAGGAGGAACATATCCTGCATTTTTTTGCGCACCAGTTTTACGACCCAAAATGAATGATACTATACCAACACCACTGGCTAATCCAATTGCCGTCACCCATAATCTGTTATTCACTTGTTTTCCCATCATAAGGCAAATTATCAATAATAAAATTTGATGTATCAGATCTCGATATGAAAAATTCTGGTGTTTCGCGGTCAGAGAAATTCACTAATAGTTGATTCGATAAGTTTAATTCCGAAAGAATCAACACATTCAATACAAAGGAACGAAATTTTATTGAAATGGTGAACCACAAAGAAAATGAAGAATACACAATACATCAAAGAAGAGATTCAATTGATAAAGCGATAGATAAAAACGTGATCCACTACATCATTATCTTAATAATAGCAATCATAGGACTTGTTGTATGGGGTAGTTCGCTTCGTAAGTCAGATCCTGATGTAATGAAGTCACTAAAGGGGGCTGCATTAGGAGCAGGTTTTTTTTTATCAGTTTCAATTGCTGTTGTTGCAGGCCATATGGCAAACGTTACATTTATGGGAGACTCGATAGAAACAGTATTTGGTCGTTTAAGTGGCAAAGGTGCCTGTTTAAGTACTGCGGCAATATTCCTAGTGATGGGCACAACAGCAATAGTTTCAATAACAAATATGTTGGGTATATAGGGATATTAGGTCAAAGGAATGATAATGAAAGGTATCGACGATGGGTTGTTGGCGGTAGTGAAGCAACTTTTGATGCACTTGTAACACCTTATGATAAGTGGACACTTGAAAAGAGATAACAATATTAATAATTCAACGATTATAAAAATATTACAATGCCCCCGAACTTGATGTCAAGCGCCAATGTGCGTTTATGAGATAAATGCATTTATATAGAATTACGACTACTTTTTAATATATATTAAGGAATTATACTTCTCTGTGATACATCGATTTCAAATGCTTCTCGAGCCCGATAAAGTATTTTGCGAAGTTTAGAGCTAAATACTATCAGTAGTATGAAGTGCAGTATATATTTTTAGATACAGAAAGTCTGGAGATAAAGATATATTTACGTCGCTTCACAAGGTGTGCATCCACTATTGGCTATAAGAAGTTGTCCTTCTGTTTATAAAGAACTAACTTGTGGCATGAATTGATGTCTCTTTGAAGCTAGCTCAAATTATACACATTTTAAGTTGTGATAATATTTAAGGTCAACTTTACTATATGCTGGTATGGCTCTCTCCTCTTTCTTGAAGTGCGGGTCCTTCTGACCTATCTTGTTGATGGAAGTTAAGAGTGGTCAAGTACCTATATCTGTATCGATTTGAAGCAATGATAAGCATAGAGTTACTCCTTAAGAGAAGTGAGTTGTTCTATACATAACGGTTGCGAAACTTAATAAGAAATTGCACATTTTCTTGCGTTTAACTCCAAAACACAGAAAAACTCGAGGTTCAAAATAAATAAGTTACCAAACTCTCGACTATTGTTCTTTGGCAAGATGCGCTTTTTGACGTGTTTGAGCATAAAGCAGGTGCGGAATGCAAAAGCGCAACATTTCAGATGTATCCATCAGGCTAATTGGCGGGTAGACTTCGCATATTTAGTAAGTAATAGTGACGAGACAAGCGGTTTCATATTCCATCAAGTTTTTGTCATAATTAAACTCGTCCAGAGGATATGCGGCTCCATTTCATAAAACAATCAAATATGCATGTAGCCCTTATGTCAAGAAGCGTCGAATGTTTACTCAGTGCGTGCGAACTTACTATTGTTGCAACCTGCCTACTGGCCGCAAAACAATAGCTTGGAAGAATTGCATCGAGTTTATTTCGAATTAGCTTGTTTCTGAACTACATGGGGCAAAGCAAGGAGCTTTCAATATAAAATGGGGCGTCCTTCTCGATTATCGATAAAAGCATCTCTATCTTATCAAGTCTTTCGTTAAAAACATGATATCAGCTCCACTCTTTATTCAAAAGACTCTATTCTTACTTGCATTTGTTGTGATAGCTAACAGTTTATCAATCCCTGCCCTTAGGGAGAAAAGAGGCTCCTCTTCATTCATTAAGCTTGATTTTCAGATTACGAGGTCCCAGTCAAAATCCACGTTAGACTTAACAAGTACCAACGAAGTTTCCTTTAAAATCGTTAAGGATGCTAAGAGAGACGGGTCAGATCCAGTTCAAATTCAAAATGCAAAGTCATTTTACTACGCAGAACTTTTGCTTGGGTCGAATAAGCAGAAGAATGGTGTTGTGGTTGATACAGGTTCTTCTGATCTATGGGTCGTTGCTTCTGGCGCTCAATGCAATGCTAACACAAGCTGTGATGCTTATGGCTCCTACAATGCGTCGCTGTCTTCAACATCTAAGAAATTAAACGAAACCTTTTCTATTGAATATGTGGACCAAACGACTTCACTGGGACCATTTTATAAGGATAACATTGGGTTCTCAGGTGGGGGTACAGGTGTTACTGGTCTTCAGTTCGGAGATTGTAATACGACGTCCTCTGATATTGGCGTATTAGGAATTGGGTTCAAAAGTGGGGAGTCAACTAAGAATGAATACGACAATCTTCCTGCTTTATTAGCTTCGCAAGGTGTTATTCCCAAGAATGCTTATTCGTTATATTTGGCTAAGTCGACAGACGCTACAGGCACGATAATATTTGGAGGAATTGATGAAGCCAAATATTCTGGCGATTTGGTTTCTTTACCTATCCAGAGCAATGATTCAGTGGCTGTCGACCTTAATGGTTTCACCACATCAAATGGCAAAGTCGATTTCACAGGTGACAGCATCATTTTGGATTCGGGGACAACTTTGGCATTATTACCGTCAGCAACATTATCTAGCCTTGCATCTAGTTTAGGAGCTTCTTACCTGGCAGCAGATGAGCTTTACGAAATTGACTGTAATACAGGTAATAAAACATTCACTGTCAACTTCCCAGGAGTTGATATTAAGGTTCCTCTTTCTGATGTGGTTGTTAGTTTATATAATTCAGACGGAAGCAAGGCTGACATTTGTGCTCTAGGAATTGAATCAGATGAACAGTACCATCTTTTTGGTGATATATTTTTGAGAAATATGTACCTTGTCTATGATCTTGATGACAAGGAGATTCTGATAGCCCAAGTCAAATACACCACGGATGAGAATATTCAAGAAATTAGTTAAGGCATGGATAAATATATAATCGTACTATTATTTATAGGAGGGCCAGTTCAAGTATTCGTTCTTTTTGATTTAGATGCTGACCTATAAAATTTTGAATTAAATGACTTGTATGTTAACAAATGCTACATGCCTTGTTAAATAGAGTGATCAAGTAAGCTAGGAATAAGCCTGTAACGATAATGATTGTAATATTGGATGGGTCGGATTTGTAGTCTATTTATCTTCATTCAAAGCAACACCAATATTGCTAAGCTAATTCAAGATGCTTTCAATTCTGTCATCTTATTGACAAATGCGCTTGTAAACGGCGTACTGAGAGTTTTCAAATATGGCTTATGAAAGACATAACCAGACTGATTTAAAAGTATATACGCAACCTTATTCTTTTTTGAGTTTTCTCTCTTTTTTGAACTCTTTCACGAGCTTGATCAATCCTAACACTAAAATAGAACACATTGGCCCAAGCAATGGCAAAAACACTGCTAACTTATGCTCACTAGGAAAATATGTTTGCTGAACCATTTCTTTTTCAAAAAAGGCTCTGTTTGAGCTAAGCAACGCTTTTGAAGAGTATTCCATTGCGGCGGAAAATTTTGATTTGTTCACTAATGCTATGGAAGTTCTAATACAATCCAAAGCCTCCAATACGTGTGTTCTCGTAGAGCTTGGAATCGATATCTCACTTAAAGAATCTGTCAACTTAATTAATGAGACCAAATTGTCTAAGGAACCTTTCAAGTTATTATATATCGTTAATCGAGATAGAATGTCAATCCTAGTAAGAAGAGATTTTGGACAGCTAGGCATACCCAATAAGCGAACGAGCTGGGAAGCAAATACCTCCATTATAGGGGATAATTCAGTATCTGGAATTAGAACCTCGCTTGATGAAAGTATCGGCATATCTTTGTTAAATATGTAAACGCCTCCCCATTGAGGAATTAAGAATGAGTTTGATTTGCTATTTTCGATCTTCAATTGTTTGCCATCAAAATTTACTTTTGGAAAGTAAACTATGAAGTTGATCGTGGGGTTTATATCGTAATTAACCAAGTTCCAATCTCCATAATTGACAAAAGTAGATAAGCTTGGTTCATCGATCAAGAAGTTTCCGGATGCATCCTCTTTCGGTTCAGACGTTAAGAAACAATAACGCTGAATTTGTGTACTTACAGTAAAGTTTGTGAAGTGCTTTAGCCTATCAAATAAAGGGGTGAATAACAGTAATGCTTCGTCGATTTCCCATGCAACTGATCTTCCGTTTTCGATTACTAAAGAAAATACAACGTTGTATTTCGGGGAATAGGGTATCACTAAATCTTTTTCAACAGGCTTTGACATTCCCTTCATCAAGTTATTGAATTCCTGAACTTCTTCTTTGAATATGTGATCTACTAATACGTTAGCGATCATCTCGTCTATCTTATTCAAATTTTCATCTGTAAAATATATCGTTATTGCTTTTGCTAAGGGGGTGATATCAAACTGTTCAGTCTTTTTCTGGTCATCTTTCACATGCTTGATTGTTAAGATGTAGTCACTGTAATAATCAATCGGCTCCGTCTTTCGAAGTAGTTCAATGGACCTTACATTCAACAATTGCTCGTTCAATGCATTCAACTTCTTTTTTATCAATGATTCCGCTTGTGGAATCATATAGCTAAAAGAATCATCTAGATCTAAGTACACTTTCGTGTTAAAATGGACTCTCTCTTTAAGTGTATTAGATAGTTCTTGAATTTCGTCACCAGGTAGCTCAGCTCTATATATGCTTGTTGTTTCTCTATACAAAGGTATGCCGAAGATGAGAACCGTAGCAATTAGAATCAAGATTACTATTCGCCTAGATGCTTTGGTTATCTCCGACTCTTTACCGCTCGGCATTGTGATTGACAAGCAGATTTTATTCCGTTTCAATGTTTTTAATATCTGGCCCTTTATTTTTGTGTAAAATGAGTTATAGCTAAAGTGAGAAACTTGAAGTTGCAATTGCCATCACTAACAAGATTTGCTTCATGTTTAAGAAAGAACCTCAAGTCAAGCATTCAGCGAATATCAAATCTTCTGAAAGGAGACGATTGCTTGGTGCAATTTGCAAAGAGTACCGTCTCCCTCAAGAAGAAATTACGAAGGAATGTGAATTGAATCTTCTACCCGCAATCACTAAGCAAGCTAGTTTTAAGAGCCCTCTTGGATTTACGGGAATAATTTACTTCAATGAGCAAGAAGTTCCGTTGTGGTTTAAAACAAGAGACTCTCAGATTTATCCGACTTTATATACGCTATGGAAATGTGCTTTCTTGTTACCAACAGTCAGGACACATGCTCCAGTTATCAAGGTGTTGACCAATGGTGCTGATTTGATGTTGCCTGGAACGATTCCTCCCTTTGACTCGAGATGTACTAAGGGAGCAATTGTTGGTGTGGTAGATTACAAGCATCCAACCGTCATTCAGGCCATTGGAAGGTGTAACTTGAATTTAACTCAATTCGATAATGTTGTTGGTAGATCAGGAGTAGCAGTAGAGATTATACATTGCAAACTGGATAGTTTATTTACTTTGAATGACTTGGTAGACATTTCCGAGCCAGAGGAAGTAGATACGAATATCCCATTGAAAGAAGTTGTAACGGGCCCTTCTATAGATGATGCAGATAAAGAGACAGTTGTTCCTTCCACTATAGAGAGTTCAGATGATGAAGGTATAAATCCACATACTGATGAGCAATCACCCAAGGTTTTTGAATCGAAAGATGTTGAAAACGTTGCTGAAGAGTTGTCTGACTTGTCAGTCGAAGATGTTGATAACTTTTTTGTGAGAGCATTATTGCAAACCCTAAAATTGGAGACTTTTGAATTGCCAATATCATCATCTCAATTCATGTCTTTATACATTTTCAAAAACTTTCCAATGATGAACCCAAATTATTGTAACATAAAGAAAACATCGTGGAAAAAAACTGCTAAATTTTTGAAAGCAATGGACAAGTTGGGTTACATCTCAGTTAAAGGGAAGGCTGATGATTTGACCATAGTAGGATTAATGAAAAAGAATGATCCAGTAATTCAGGGCTTTAATACACATAGAACAATGAGCTCGAGACCAACTTCTTCCACTTCGAAGCCTCCAACCGAGCCAAAGGGTGCAAACGATCTTTCTATAATTTATCTCTATCGACCCACTAAAAAGTCAAGGATGTTTTTTAATATAGTTGATGCAAATTTTACTAATTACTATCAAGCAAACGAATTAAGGGCTTTGTTGGACACATATATAAAGAAACAAGGTTTAGTCAATGTGAAAATGCCTAGAAACATCACTGTTGATGAAAATTTGCACTCCATAACGAACTTGAATATCGGCACGGTTTCAAGGGATAAAATCTTTCTGCCTTTCTTGTCTAGCTTTTCTCAATATTACAAGATTGTTCCGCCTAACTGTTCGTTGGAAGACGCAGAGTTGGCTAAAGGTGCCCCTCGACCCATTACAATTATATCAGAAGTAAAGATAGGTAGAAAGGTGGTGACTAGGGTCCAAAACGTGGAGCAGTATCACATCAAGCCTACCCTTTTCGCAAATGAATTGAAGGTGAAGTGCTCTGGGTCTACAACAGTGGGTCCTTGTGTTCAAGATCCAAAGGTCATTGAAGTTGCAGTTCAGGGCCCACATGGCAAGTTGATCATTGAACTTTTGAGGAATAAGGGAGTACCAACAAACTACATTAAATTTGAGGATAAAACTAAGAAGAAAAAAAGAAGCTGAGGTATATAGACATACTATTGTGCTCTGGTTCTGGATGCATTGAGTGGTAAGATTTGTCACATGACTTTCAAGTAAGTTTTTTGCGAGGCATTTTCTAGGGGCATATACTGTCGCAGTAGTGTGTAGGGACTTTATTAAATTTGCGACTTCAGGTAGCGGTGGCCGGCGCGCTTATGTACCGAATTTACTGCACTGTCGCACTGTTTCGTATTCGGCATTTATGTACAGCTTCTAGACTTTTTTAAACAATAACGGTTAGTATCTATGTGCAGTATTATAGTACAGCATGTTTCTTGAAACGCGTTCAAAAGAGGAAAAATTGTAATAAAGTGAAGTAGGAATAATTAGACCAACTGAAACAAAGGTAAGGTAAAAAAAATGAAAAATACTGTTAAAATTTAATCTTTGAGAGTAAACATCGATTATTGTTATTAATTTTTCGAAAAACATAGCCCAATTCGCTTATCAGTACAAAAAGAACATTATAACATCTTATACTTAATTGCAGGGAAACGCAAGGGGCAGGGCTTAGTGTTTAAAGATGATGGAGAAGAAGTATACTATTGAACACATAGGTAATGTATCCGTAAGCCTCCCGACTATAATCGTGGACTTGTTTGCCTACGTGGAAAATCAGCTATGTGAGGGAACGTTTAGAATAAATGGGTCTGTTAGACGCGTAAGACTATACAGCAGTGAATTGAGAGACTACCGCACCTGGCTATATGAGTCCAATGTTCACGACGTGTGTGGGGTCATCAAACGGTTGTTAAAAAGCTACCATGGTGTGGTCTGCAAGGCAGCAGCTGACGATATCTTACAATTTTATAATAAGTACGAAAGGGTTTCGCAAAATGGTAAAAAGACAAGTCAAGACTTTTCTGAAACTAAATCAAGCTCATCATTCAAGACTGCTCTGACAGATATTGAAGACGAAAGTCTATCAGAGTTTTTACTGCAGGTTGCGAAGTGCCTCGTAGTGGATAATCTGTCGTCAAGAAATGGTCTCTTCTTGTTCTTATTGAATAAAATTAACGCTATTCTGAAGCGTGAGAAAGACACCAAAATGTCAAGTAAGAGTTTAGCGATAATTTTCCAGCCATATCTTATAGATGACTTGAATTTGATAAATATGAGGATATTTCAAGACATCTTGAATTTGTTAATAATTAATAGTTCGTTATTGGGTAGCGAGTATGAGCGAGCAATAGAAAATTTCGAAGACAGTTTCATTAGCCTTTCTGACACTGAATCTTTGGACTCTTTAATGTCAGTTGGTGACTCTTCCTTTGATTCTTCGCTTGGTCAGATTAGAACATCAAGTAACACACGTACAAACTCAACACCTGATACCGCGACTAAAAGGATCTCTTTATCTGGAAGGTTCACTAGTCTCTTAGATAGCTATAGTGCACCGGTCGGTAAACTGAAAAGATTTTCTTTTGAGCTTTCCAAGGATAGCTTACAGAAATCAAAAGACCCATGGACCTCTGTGGAAAGGCTTATACCCGAGGCAGTACCACATATACAATACGTCGAAGAGCCTGGTGCTCACAGAGAAGATATTAATAGCGTTCTTTCTCAAGATAGCATGTTTTTATCGAAAGACAGTTTGCCCAGAATGAACAGCTACCAGGAAAAACTTGATAACACTACAACAAGAACTTCATTTGGTAACTTTAAAGAGGCTGGTAACTCTTTAGATTCAGTCGCTATTGAAGAGAAAAAGAAGAAGAACAGAAAGTCATTCATGGACTTTTTTAGGCACTCAACTAGCAGTTTACCAAACTCAGATAATTCTGATAATGACAACAAATCCGTCGAAGCTTTGCTTGTCAACAAAAGAGATTCTTTATTACCAAAGAAGAAGAAGTCTCTCTTGAAGCGAAATATATCCTTGAAACTAAGAAAGAAGTAGTTTCCTGAGGAATATCTTAGCTGTTTAAACTTTGTATAATACGGGATTTTACCAGTAAACCATGTTGTTACTGGTCGGAAATATGGAGCGGTTATTTGGATAAGAATCATTGGTTGTAGATAGTATTTAGTATAGAAATTAGAATGAATATTAGTCTATCTTTAATTTTCGATTTACTCTGGAGGAATATCTTTGTGTAAAGAATAATGCTTTTTTTTTTTCTATCTTTTTTCATGAAATCGGAGTAACTAATCATAGAATCAAAGCCTGACTATAAATATGCTAAGGATTTATTCAAGAGTAAGGCTCATAGCGCCTCTGCGTTACATTCACTCTTCGCTGAGAGTCTTAAATGTCAGTGTTCAATCAAAGAATAAGGAAAAAGATCTACAACTTGAGGCGAAAAAGAAGCTAAAAAGGGCACAAGCAGTGAAACTGAAGAACAAGCAACCCCCAGAAATAGATCCTCTCTACATGGAAATACCAGTGGCTATGAAATATTTGCGTGCAGCTGAAGTAGGTCAGCCTGCCAAAAAGACTACTGTCAGCATTTTGATGAGCGTCATTCCAGACAAAGGGTCAAAGCCTTTGGCAGGGTCTATTGCTTTCCCAAGGCCACTCAAAGATAGTCTGGTAATGGTTCTTAGTGAAAATGAAAGCGTTTTGAATAGAGCTAAAGAAATGGGTGCAGCTCTTTTTGGAGGACAAGATCTCATCGACTCAATCAAGGATGGAAACACAAAACTCGACCATATCACTCACTGTTTTGCTACTCCAGGGATTGTAAAAGAATTAAAACCTGTTGCAAGGATATTGGGTGTTAGAGGAATCATGCCAACGGCTAGAAGAGGTACCGTATCTGACGATGTCGAATCATTGATCAGTGGAAGTATTGGCTCTATAAACTTCAAACAAAAAGATAGGCACTTGTCCATTCCTATTGGAAGATGTGATTTCAGCGACAAAGAGATTTTAGAGAATTTAAAAGCAGCTTCGGATGCTATATACGGTAGCCAACCACCTGGAACCAAGAGACCAAATTTAATTGGTAGAACGTTTTTATCATCTACTATTGGGCCATCGATCTTGATTAATTTCAAAAACTGAAATGCCTAAAAGCGATATCTTGTATATATAACAACATATGGCTTAACTTGCCTGTCATAGCTGAAATAGATAAGTCATTCAATGAATTTTACCAATTTGTCATTTGTAGTGCGTAGAACTGACGATAATATCATATCGAGTATTTTTTGGCAATATTTACAACTAAAATCATAAAACGATTTGCATCCAAACTAATTACACCATCATCCAAGTAAGGTCTCTTAGCTAAGGAAATCATAATCATGAAAAAATGAATGTTTCCTTCAGTATCATGTCAACTCATAAGTTCATAGGGCTAGCTGATGGTAATATCATTAGTTGGTGCCCCACGCTAAACTTGTTGACAATATCCATGAACAAGATGGCGCTATGGGTTTATAGACTAAACGGGGAAAGGATTTACTCAGTGAATAACAAATCTCCTATACGTTCCATCAGCTTTATAAACAATGGGAAATGTTTCTGTTTAAGTGGATTGGATAATTTAATCAAAATATATGATTCTAATACTGGGCAAATGATTAAAGTCATAGGACAAAATTTCAACGAAATCAAGTTGATAAACTGGAGCTATCACAACTTTACTACAGATAAACAGACGGAGCTTTTTGACGTTAACATATTAAGTTCGTTGCCAAAATTATCAATAAACGGCCACGAACTTAACGCTCTGAGTGCAAATGAAATACGTGGGCTAGATAATGACTTGTTAAATTACTTAATCATTGCTGATCTGAAAACAATATCAATCAATTTCAACAATCTTTTCACGGTAACTGATATTGAGTATTTGAATCTGGACATCGAATACATAAGTCATTTCAACAATAATAATCTATTTAATCAATTTTTCCTCATAAAGAATGATGATGGATTGAAGTTGATTGAATTGTCAATGAATCGATTTTCCAATTTCTCAGATCAAAAGTATCTAATTCGTATAATATTAATCATTTGTAAGGTAATTTCACTTTCGGATTACATTAATGAGCAGATGCTTTATTTGATGTCTGAGATTGGTCCCTTCTTGCAGTTGTATGACAGGTATCTATCCAACTTGAATGATCTGATTTCAAGTGATCTCGGGAAGGCTGCTGATATCAGAATTAAGAATTGTTTATATGATATGATTATTACTAATTTAATACCTGATTTTTTGAAAGATTACTGGCTCAATCAACTTGGAGAGAGAGGATTGAAAAAGCTAAGTAAGCAAGGTACCGCTGTCTATGAGATAATTAGAAAGAATGTCTTCTCTCAGTTAATTGTATCTTATGAAAAGATATTAGTTCTTCTAAGTGAATTAGAGAGTCTTTGTATATGGTTTGAAGACTCAGACAGTCCTCTCAACTTCGGATTAAACAGAGCCAAACTTATGGAAGTTATTGATTCATCTAAGAAATCATTAACACTTTACTACAATCTAATATGGGATATCAACAAAGAACAAAAATTATTCAATAAGTTTCTAAGCTGGCTTAAAGAAGAAGTTATCGACAAGATTTCGAAATCAGATGATATCTCGACTTATCTAGCTCAACTGAAGCTGTATTTCCATAAAAATTCAGAACTTATAGAGTATGTGAGCAACTTTTTGCTTGAGTCTAAAATAGGTTTATATTTCAATCTCAATTTGAGCTCCAATGAAGTCATATTACAAAAAGACTGTCCAAATGACATAAGTTTAAGCTACAGAAATTTCAGAGATCAAATTGATGCCAACTTGATGTTCCCAGTAAAAGATTTTATCAATTCAATTTCTAAATTCAAGGATCCTATTGAGCTATATACGGACTTTTCTAAGCTCATAAAGACCAACTCTTTGGATGAGAAACACGGAATATTTTCTACAGTCAATGCATTGGGGTTAATTTTAGTAAAGTTTGCGTACTCACATCCAGAAAAACTTATAAGGTTTACGCTTCGGCTTCCTGAAAATTTAGACATAATTGATTACCAGTTTACTAATTCGCATGATATTGTTCTATTGACATCATCAGATGAATCTATTTACAATCTTGAATTGATAAGCTTTCATGATTACCTTGAGGAATCTACAGAAACCTCATACGAAATGATGCCAAAATTAAAATCAAAAGTGATCGATACATTGAAAAACCCAAGATATTTAGCAATATCAGATACAGTGGGATGCGTCTTAGATTCTGATAGACGTAATCATATAATATTTGAATTGTAATCAGTCACCTGGTGGTTATTTTCGTAAAAGTTTTGCATCCAACTTAATTTGTAATCGCCATCCACGATATAGAATTGCTCCTTAACATATTGTCTCAAAATCTTCCGTATATTATTATCATTAGGTATCAATCTCTTTTTTCTTGTATATTTTTTGACGGTGGGGCTTAAAGATATCCTCTCAATTCTATGCTTTTTTGTCATATACCTATAAAATAGTTCGTTCAATTGCAAGCTATGATGACCTTGTTGACCCTGCTTATATAATGCGACATCAATCAAATGTTTCAAAGATTCAACTTCGATGGGCCTGAAAGTTTTGAACAAATTTTTGATGTAAGTTATTTTTTGCTTTAACAATTTTTGCCTTCTAGATACATGAATAGGTAGCGAAAACCTGTTGGTAGGGTATATTACCTCTAATGGCTTGATCTTCAAATGAGTGAGGATTTTCTGGTGATTCAAGAGAAATTTATGAAGCTTTGCAATATGAATTAGAGTATCCTCTTTAGATGATTCCTCGTTATCTCTCTTTAATGGCACTAGGCCTCTTTCTCTCAATTCATTATCATTAGAATAACCAAAATATCTGACTAGTGACAAGTCATCATTCTTCTCTTCAGTCAATGCATCCTCATATTCTTGAATAAATTTGGAATGTTTCGTCAATTGGTAAACTAAATGTACCTGCGGCCAATCTCTCTGCCACATCAAGTAATTCAGTCCTTGGAATTTCTGTAACCAATTAGGGATCTCCCTTTCATCTTTGTATATCACATCCAAAATGTCTTTTAATTTATCGTAATCTTCCCTCACAAGAACCTGATCAAGCAAACTGATGTGTTTCTGATATCGCGATGTATCTATCCAAGGTTTCGTACTACTTTTAAATTGCAGTTTTGTCAAGCATTTGTATCTTCTAATTGATTTCGAGTCCAACGGTAAGAGCCTTATCCTTTTGAGAAGCTCCTTATAACAAATCAACGACTTTTCCATCTTCACGGTTTGCGGCAAAGATTTGTTTCTCGAAATCAATAAATCGATGATTTTTCGACACTAAATTATAAGTGAGCTGGAATAGTACTCGAACCAAACTCTCAACATGGCATTAGCTGAGACCATATTAAGAAAGGTCCATAAACTTGGATTAATATCTAAGTTAATAAGGCTATTGCCAACATTTTCTTTGTTGTTGATGGTTTCTAGTATATTATGGTTGTTTTATTTACCTCTCGATGGTAATTATAGAAATACATATATATCAGAAAATGCATTGATGCCAGCTCAGGTAACATCTTATTTCAGAGAAAGCGAATGGAACTTTGTGAGAGGATATCGACATGAAATACACTTGATTGAAGAAGAGCCCATTGACAAGAAAAACAAGATTATTGAGGAGTGGCTCAAAGATATCGGTTTGGTGACCACGTATCATAAAAATGAAAGGTATCACGACACTTTGTACTCCGTAATGCATGCTCCTAGAGGGGAAGACACAGAGGCCATGGTTCTAGTTGCGCCTTGGATAACTTCCGATGGTGAATTCAATGAAGGTGGAATTGCATTATCTCTTGCTTTAGCAAGATATTTCAGCAAAATGTCTATATGGTCTAAAAACATTATAATCGTTTATCCTGAAAATGCTCAATTTCCTTTGAGATCATGGGTCAATGCTTATCATACTTCACTTGATGTCACAGCTGGCTCTATAGAAGCTGCTATCATTATAGAATATGCAAAAAATGGCGACTACTTTGATTACTATGAGGTGATGTATGAAGGCTTAAATGGCCAGCTTCCTAATCTCGATTTGCTTAACACGGCTATTCTGATTGGTACCCAAGAAGGATTGAAATGTTGTATTCAATCGACACCGGTTGATGAACTCGAAAAAAATACTTATTACACGAGAGTAAGAACTTTGTTCCAGGGAGTAATCAGTTTAGTTCTCTCTGGTCTTAAAAAAAATACCCCAGGTTGTGAAGCATTTTCAGGTTGGCAGATTCAAGCGTTTACCCTCAAGGCAAAGGGTTCTCGTGGACCGCACGATGTCACGCAGTTTGGAAGGATTGTTGACTCAACTTTCAGATCAGTTAATAACTTATTGGAGCGTTTTCATCAATCCTTCTTTTTTTACTTATTATTATCTCCCAGAAACTTTGTTTCAATTGGTACTTACTTGCCTTCAGCGGTATTAGTTGCTATCTCATACGCACTAAGCTCATTAAGCTGTTTATTGAATTGTAATGTTCAAAATAACGAGCATTTGACGGCCATAAGCCAATTATTGACCTTATTCACATCTCTTGAGGTATTTAATCTTGTTTTGTCGTTGGTTTTACCCCTGATCTTACGCTTGTCTCAAAGTGGAGATGATCTCGTGGCATATATTGCTGGTAGTCTTTTCGGTATTAGCATATTGTTGTCGTTAGGTCCTTTTTTTGAGGTCCCTAAAAGAATTAGGCTCAAAAGAACTTTAGCATATTCTTTGATGGCGTTGTCTTTATTCTTTATTTCAATGCTAATCACTACACTATTAATAGTGAATTTTTCACTTGCCATGGTTATTGGGTTTTTGTCATTCCCAATGAGTTTTATCCATACTACGATAGGGGAGCAATACGCAAGCGGTGCTAACTTGTCCAAGAAATTAAGAGCAAAGCTAAAGATAGCACTTTGCCTAATAGCATCGAATCCATTTGTAATTGTTTATATATATGATATTTCATCTCTGGCTCCTGGCGAGTTCCCATTACTGCGTGGACTTTTAACGTCTTGGGATGAATTGCAATGTTGGACTTGGTTTCTTGTTATGCTAGGTTGGTTTACTGCATGGCTTGGGGTCTGTATGGCCTGCTGGCTTGGAGAGTTCGAGATAGAGACTCCCAGCTCTGAGAAAAAGGTACAATGAGTAAATCATGGGACCATCAAACCTTCTCTTTTGGGCTTTTGGATATACTGGGAAGTTTGATGCTGGTATCGATTTCGATTTTTAATTATTCTTATCGTAATTTTTTTTGTATATGCTGAGGATCCTTCTTTAGTATATAAATATAGAACTCAAAATAACCTGAATGCAAGTACTCCTTGATTTTGCCCCGACTCTATACGTCATTTCTATAACTCGTGATGCATAGACAAGAATTCGTTTAAGATGACTAAGAGCAATTTGTTTTTAAATGATTGGGTACCTTTTACCTTTGTCTACTACTCGCCAGAACAATCAATTGAGGAATTTTATTATCCATTACCAATTTTCAGTGATCTTGGTCAATCTTCTAGCTTTCAGTTTCTAGATAGCTCTGAACTTTTGAAGAGGAAAATTAAAGAGCCCAATATTCGAGAGAAAATGGACTTTTCAAATCCAAATGTTAGTGATTTTCAACGCTTACTCCAATATAAGCTTCTTAAAAAGTCTAGAAGAACAAAGCCTTCCAATAGAAGACGTCTCCGAACAATAAAGCCGTTGATGTCTTCAGAGTGGGGACACACATAAACTTAGGTGGACTTTGCTTATGAATTAATATTAGTCTTAGGAAACCATTAACTTCTCATTCTTATTCTTTCCTATTCTTTCATGTCTTTCGAATCATAACTAGTTTAGTGATATGAAGTAAGTATTATAAAGTAAATATAAGTCACTTATAAATTAAGTAAATAAGGTTGCAAATTTGCCGCACTTTTACAAAAGTTATAAATAGTAGGCTTCTGCCATTCCTTAGATGTGGAGTTATGTATGAAAGAGCCTATTTGAAGAATATAAATATAACCTAACATCACATTAATTTACTGCCAAAATTGGGTACACCTTTATTTGGGGCCTATGCTGCCTTAAATTGCTTGATATGCTGAAGTGATCAATCGCCATTTGAATTTTAGCAAAAAATAGAGGACCAGGCTCCAAGATGCAGCCATATATTATCTACAAAATCAATAGGCATATGAATTGAAGCTAAAATAAGGTGCTTATTTACGTGGTAACCTGATCCAAAGAAGAAAACACTGCATCTCTCACCATGGAAGATTAGACAACGGTCGAAGAATCAACTTGAAATGCTTTAATTTCGATTTCTTCAACTATTATAACTAAGACCATTAAGGCAATATCCAAGAAGGATTCCTTATTGGATCATCTTAGCTTCGTTAATATATAAGTTCTATAACCTTTTGTTAACTTTCAAAGAATCAACTTGGCACTTAACATGCAAAACATTTGCTAGAAAGTTTACAGGTTATAATAGATTTTACGTGTTTTTTATTTTTTTTCGTCTCGCTTGGTTTACCTTTCGAACAGATATACGATTTTCAAATCACCGAGTATTATTGATTTCATTATTGCAAAGTTTAACATAAGATATAGATAGCAATGGCGTCTTATACTCAAGATTTCAAAGTCTCATCTTTGTCATTGCGTAAGAGGAAAACCTTAAAAAAAACAATCAATTTTTCAGTAATGATTGTGGGTGAGAGTGGAATGGGAAGATCGACATTGATAAATACCCTATGTGGAGGCAACTCCATCGTAGCCACATCCCTGACCGCAGACCAGGATGCATTTACCAAAAAGTTGACATTAAGACAAGAAAATGTCGAATTGGAAGATAATGAAGGGCATAAGATTTCGTTGAATATAATTGACACGCCTAACTTCGCAAATCTGATCAATTGTGACGACGATTTCAAGGTCATCGTTGACTTTATAAGACATCAGTACGATGAAGTCTTACTTGAGGAATCCAGAGTAAAGCGTAATCCACGGTTCAGAGATGGACGTATTCATGTCTTGATATATATGATTAATCCTACTGGTCATGGATTGTCAGAAATTGATATTCAATTCATGACACATGTTAATCATTTAGTCAACTTAATTCCTGTTATTGCAAAATCTGATTCATTGACGCCAAAAGAACTTCAATTAAATAAGGCTTTAATCTTGGAGGACTTTGAAAAATTTGGAATAAACTACTATAGGTTCAACGAATATGACTATGAACAAGATTATATCGACGATGAAATAATTGAATACAACAAATACTTGAATTCGCTATTACCGTTTTCAATTATCAGTGCAAATACGTATGAAGAAAACCCAAATGAAGAAGAAGATTTACTAAAATTGAGAGTGTTGAACCCTCTGTATGCAAAGCCAATTAACATCGAGAACCCCGAGTATAGTGACTTCACAGTGTTGAAAAACGTTTTGTTGATAACTCATTTAAATGAGTTTAAAGAAATAACTCATGAGTCTATATATGAAAATTACAGAACAGAAGCTTTGTCAGGTAAGAAATTCCAATATACCAAAGATGCAGAGCCCGATGTCAGTTATTCACCCATGCCCAATGCTACTCTTGAAAAAGATGAGGAAGAGTCTAATTATATGATGAAAGAAGAACAGATCAAATTGGAAGAAGAGCGTTTGCGCAAATTCGAAGAAAGAGTACATCAAGATTTAATAAATAAACGCAAAGAATTATTAGAGCGTGAAAATGAGTTAAAAGAGATCGAAAAGAGACTTCTCGCTGAGGGCTTGAAATTAAATGAGAATGGAGATGTTGTTAAACTTGATGAATGATAGATAGATTTTATAGCTGAATATAAATATTTGTTAATCATGTATTGAGGGCTAGTCAAAGGTACGTGTCTAGATTACGGTTTCGTACTTGGCAACGATTTCATCGAATTTTATATTTTTCTCTTCTTGATCAACTAAAAGCTGATGCTCAGGATCAACGTTCTTTAATTCATTTAGCAATTGCTCCACGTTGGCTCCACCATTTGAGATATAATCAAAGGTAACTTCATTAGCTATAAAATCACCTGTAGGCTTTACATCCAAACCTCTGATTTGAGATGAAATTTCTAGTGCTTCCGGATAATGTTTCAATTGAAGGGTCAATACAAATAAGACATTGAGGAGCTGATATTTACCCTGAGGATCATCTTCGAAATCACTGGAGAGCCATTCGTCGTAAAAGTAATAGGCATTATTGATGTTATCGGACTCCCCTTTTATAGATAAGATCCAGGATTCAATTACTTGGTAGATAATGCTGTCCCTGGTTGAATCAGGAAAGCTTTTGAAACTTTCAAAAATCTTGTTTGCTGCTGAGAAATTACCCTGTATTAAATGTAACTGGATTAAAATTAAAAATGGTTCGATCTCATCAAACTTAGTATTGCTGTCAATATAGCTTGTTAAGAATGAGATAGCCTGATCAATATCTTTTTCAAATTTAACCAAGTAGACTGCCGTTAAAATTGCTTGCAACTCGAACAGTGCAACTTTAATGTCATCAAAATAAGTTGAATCGTCAGTTCCAAAGGAATTTAAATCGTCATAGGCGCTTAATAATTGGAAAAGTTCTTCATGCTCGGGAAACAACAGCTTTCCGTTTTCGATTAATTGCGAAGCATCTTCTCCTAAGGCTATCGTTGATCTAATTTGATATTCTAGGACCTTAAGCTGATTCTCTTCTGAAAATTGATCCAAAGAATACGACGTGACTTTGTGATGCTGATTGGTGTAGAATTGGTTTCTTATTGTGTATAACTCTCCAGAATCACTGAAAACGTCCATTTTCACACTATTATTATTCTATTTATATTTAATTAGAGTTAATATTCTTGTGCTTATTTGACTCGTTGTTATGTTCGTTCAGGATTTTGTGTAACAATTAAATTACAGTCTAAGTCAAGTTAAGCGAGAACGATGTAGATAATCGTCTGAATAGAATGTTACTGTTACTTCTGCAAAAGCAGAAAGATAGCATTAAAGTGTGTATTTTTAGTGTTCAATTTTAGGGGACAACTTTTAATTACTCAAGTCGAATCGATGGCAATGAAAATTATTTTTACTCGTAGAAGCAATTAGATGTAGCAGCCACTTTAAAAAGAAGAATGAAAACGGCAGTCAAAAGTTAAAAAGATCCTTGATGAGAATGGTCTTTTGAATTTGCACGTCAGATCCTTATGTAACTTCCTTAGTATCAGGGCTTGAAGTAAAAGTGAACTAGGAGTCGAACTTTTCTTTAATGGCATTCCTGAACAATTTAACGAAGTGTGGGACTTCTTACTTGAGGAAATGATTAAGCAATCCTCTATGTTCATAAGTTTACTTTTACTATCATTTGGCTTGAGAAAGGTATAAAAATGGCATGTAGTGACACTGAATCTGGTAGAATTTTTTTTCTTCTTCTTTAACTTCGATTTGCTCACTCAGTTATTCTTAAATGAAGGTCATAAAGTTAGAGGTTGGGATTTCGATACGAAAATTTAGATATATATATCCCCAACTTTGTTTGGATCGATCAAAAAATATATTTCCTATTTTTTTGTCTACTTAAGGCTGGAGCTTGTGAGAGGAACGCAGGGCCAAAATTGGTACAGAAAACGCAAGCTACAAAGGGAAAACCGCTCACAGTGAATGATCTAGAAAGAGGAGCTCTAAACAGGAGACAGGAGACAGGTGTACAGAGAGGAGCTATAAAGAATTATGGATCATTATTTCAATTGTCATATGACGACTGTGATCGAGTTCTCAAGAAGAACTTTAATGTAATGTGTAAAGGGCCGGACTCGGTTCTTAGATAAACCCAACAATCACTATTAAGTTTTTTGGTATCTACAATAATAACACGACTTATGAGGTTAGAGCTTGATCTAAAATCTCCTCTTACATCGATTTGAGAAGTTGGCAGTAACTACTTGATTCTACAATGCGATGCTATAGATGCAAATAATATTTTGCGGCAAAGCATTGCATTATCGAATAAATTAAACATATATACAAAAAAATAGTTCAAGTATAAGGGTGGATTATTGAACAATAGAATGAAGGGATAATAATTATTAAAAGCTTATGTAGCACCCACTGCTGCTGGATTAGCTAGTAATAAATGAAAAGATAACAAAACGAACTTGTTGTATTCGATTGATTTATAAAGGATCCACAAAACTTAGATTGAAACTGGAACGAGTTCTGAGCACTAAAGATGGAAAGAGAAGTTACAGAAGCACGATTTCAACGAGAGGATGTATTCGCGCTCAAAGATTTCATATACCTGCAATTACTCTTTTTCACGTTTGAAAAAGTCTGCGATGACCCCATAGATGGCAATTAATAACCCTGTAGCATTTAATCCGCATGCAACATAGGCACTAATACCTGTGTTGTAACTCCTTATTGAGCACGGAGCCCGTTAATCCAGCTGCTAATATGTTACTAAAAGTTGCTAGTATAGTTTTGGCGGCTGCAAGATTTCGAGAATCGTCTCTAAGTAATAAGAGAAAGTCATAATAGAAGTATACAAAAATTCCAAAAATCCCGAACCCATAGGTGAAGCCTTTGAATGTTCTGTGTGCCATAAAGGCTTCATCACAAATCAGCAGTTGTAGCGGCATATCAAGACACATAAATCTATGTTCCAGTGTCCATACTCTTGTTTTTCAAGCTTTACTAAGGAAGATGATATGACTCACCATGTCTTAGATAATCATATCATAAGTGATATCTTGATAACACCGAGCTCTTATTTATCGACTGACTTTCTGGGAGTGAATTCTTCCCCTTCTGTGGTAGATTACCAAAATATCGGAGATTTCTTTTCAGATCTTCATTGTAAGGAGCCTGTATGTGCTAGACACGATGCATACGAATCTATCTCTTATTTGATTGAGCACTATGATCGTTATCATTCATTCATTCATTCCCCAGGGACTATTGGAGTAAAATTTCGAAATTCGAAGAGTTATTTAGCATTGATGAAATTCCAATAACATTCTCCAATCAAGGCACTACATAAATCAGGAATGACCAATCATCCTGTTTGATCACTGCTCTTCTGCTCTACAATGATCAGAAGTTAAGACTAAGATATGCCATTGCTTTGGATGCCTATGTTCATATGCACTAGAGCTGCTACTCAACCTACATAGGTTAAATTTTTGAAGCAGTTTGATACGAATCAACATCAGTCATTATTCAGGAAATATACCTTGGGATAATTGACCTTGGGTTTACAAGGGCAGGACTCCATCAAAGTATGGATGTCAGCAACAATCGCCTCAACCTATCTTCAAAGCCATTCCTTAAAATACTATAATCGTGTACATACCTAATGGCATGAAAGCAGGCACTATGAAAGTGTATAAACACAGATGGCAACCTATCCCTAGCGGTGTTCTTCAACTTAAATGATTAAGGATGATGAGAAAAAACATAACTAATTGGAATATATCATGCCTGTCCTATGAATATTTGAACGCAACAAAGTCTCAAGATTCTTTTGAAAAAAACTTTCTATACGTAGTGGTCAATGGTTGCCACTAGTTGCAAATTGTGCAATCTTTTCAGCTACGTACAATATCTTAAAGTAGTCCATTGTAAACACAGGTTAGAATTCGACTTTGATCAGCATCTAAAGACGAATATGAAGAAAGCGCTGATTCTCATAATTCTCGTGGTTATTCTAGTAGTTCGGGATGCTAAACTTTGGGAATTCCATGCCTCTTACTCGGCCCTTACTTTTTCCGAACAATAGATATTGAGGTCTTCCATCAAGTAACATTTGTTTAAATATCGTATCTGAAGCTTGTCCAAGCAATCCTTCGCATTCCAAATGCCGTTACAAATGCAGTGTAGGTTCTTATGTTCACGTCATCGAAATGAAACGTGGTGCTATAGAGGAGAACGGCATGAATTCTAAACAATTTTCTTAAGAATTTATATGTATCAAGTGTTACTATATTGAAAACATGTCTCCCAAGTGTACCGATTACCTGGAGGGTGGAATGAGAGTAATTCAGATGAAGTCATTGAGGTTTCGAAAATCGACCCATTAGTTTCTGACAGATACTTCATAAGTAATCCTGATTTACCAAAGATGCCCAAGAAAAGCGTGTCATTGTTGAAGTATGGAGAACTTCTTATAGGCACTTATGCCTAATGGTCATATTGACTCTTTAAAGGGTCAATTGATCTAATAATAGAATCTAGCATTCAAGCAATTGGCGTTGCTTTAAGATATCTGATAGAGTTAGTCATGAATTTAAGGTTAAAACGAAGCCTAAAATCTTCCCTACACATTAATTTTAGTAATTTTTCATCATTTAGATTTCTTCCGTGTATTCGCATCTAATGTTTGTACTATACGCTTTAACGTCTGCACTAAATTTTAGATTTGCGCTTATCTTTGACGTTTCTTCTCCTCGGTAAATATCTGCTGTATCAATAATAGGCTTATCTTTCTTTGGCACTACTTACGCGATGTGGGTCAATTACCTAATTTAGATATAATGCTATCTTATCAGCGGATGTCCCACCCGGAAGGCCCATTTTATCGTATAAAATCATGAAAAATTAATGCAATGTGTGCTCAAAAATTAACTCTATCATTCGTTTGTATTCATCTACTATTTAATCATGGAAGCTACTGCTGATGTTCCCGCTCCAGAATTTTTCAACAACTATCCTTTGAAGGGCACTAAGTTTGACTTCGATAGAAATTTAATTGGTTATGGTGAAGAATCTCTAGATCCAAAATGGCCAAATAAATCAAGAATCGCTGTCTCCTTTGTCGTTAACTATGAAGAAGGCGCTGAAAGATCGTTAAAACTTGGTGATGATATTACGGAATCCAGTTTGTTTACTGGCTTATCAGGTTCTGCTCGAACTTACAGAGCATTTGAAGTGGAAAGTGAGTATGACTACGGCTCAAGGGCTGGCGTTTGGAGAATCATGAGATTATTCAAGAAACACAATATGCCGATGACCATTTGGGCTGTTGGTCACGCTTTCCAACAGAATCAGAAATTAGTCGATGCTATGGTTAGAGACGGCCACGAAATTGCTAGCCATGCATATAGATGGATCCCTTATTCTGAAACTACACCTGAAGTTGAAAAAGCATACATTAAGAAGCAACTTGCAACTTTGAAAGAAACTGCTGGATATTATCCTGCTGGTTGGTATTATGGACGTCAATCTACATACTCATTAGCATTATTGTATGAGGCCTACAAAGAAATGAATGTTAACTTGAACTACGTCAGCGATGCCTACAGCGATGATGTACCATATTGGATGGATGTTCCAGCTGAAAAAGAGTTACCAGCAGAGAAAAGAGGAGGAATGTTAATGGTCCCTTACTCTTTAGACTGTAATGATTACAGATTTTTGAGTCCAAACGGTTTCAGATCCTCCAGAGCATTCTTTGAGCATTTAAAGAATGCATTCGATGTTCTATATGAAGAAGGCGGGAAGATGATGACAGTTGCTCTACACTGTAGAATAATGGGTAAGCCTGCTTATTATAAAGCGTTGCAGGATTTTGTCGAGTATATTGCAACTAAGGAAAACGTTTGGGTTCCCACCAGAAATGAAATTGCAAACCACTTCAGAGAGAACTTCCCTTATTCTAGTACTAAAACGTCTTGATATAGATTCTAATATATGCAATACATCTAATTGAAAAAATAAAACAAGCTTATCAACGGCCACTGAGAGATAAATTGATTTCTAAAGTACTTGTTCTAGTCCATTTATCTTTATCGAGCAAGAGAGTTTTTCTTCTGGAATAATAAATTAAAACACAGCACAATTAGCAAGCAAAAACGCAAAACGATAAAACGAAAGAAATCATATTTAATAGGACAAAGTGACTGAGTAATCATAAAAATATAGACAGTGAATGTCACTCACCAGGAAAAAAATTTTTGTGACTTCGCCTGTATCAACTGCATAAAGAGGGAAGAAGTTGAGTGATTACTGATTTTGGCTGAACTAAGGCACCAACTCAAAGCCTCCTCTAGTAGGATATTAATTCAAAATTAAGAGGATAATTCGAGGGATATAAAACAGGTTATTTAAGAGGTACGATAACGGACTATAGCTTATGCGAATGCGCAGAAATTTTTAGCTGCAAAATCTTTCGATGAGCAAACCGGTCTTGCCAAGGTAAAGATGGATTCATATTGGTCATTCCCAGGAAAGAGTTTGATTTTTAAATAAACCATTGGGCAAAGACTTGATTACCAAAGTTCAATATCCTCCACCCGAATCTGTAATAATTTAAAAAGCGTTTTTGGTCCACTACAGGAAAAAAAAAATTGATTATAGACATATTAGACTATAGGCTGGAGGCCGTGACATCAATAAAGTTGATTATAAACCTTATAAGAAATATTAAGGATCTAAAATCTAATTAAAACAGTTGAAATATCTTAACTTTCCTGCTGTTTATTTCAAAGCCTTTTTTCACAAAAACCAGTAAGCGTTATACAAGCTATTCAATCATACAAAAATCCAATCAAGATTTCACCCTTAGTTCTTTTTAAGAAAGGAAGTACTGTCCAAGTCATGCAAAATCTTATCCCAGAAGTCTTCATCTAAATTGAATTTTTTTACCGATGCTTCATTGTCACATAGTAGTGCATGTGCACTCCACTGAGGAGATGAAAGAGAAGTGTTGGGAGCAGCTAACATAGGTAGTATCTCTTTTGTAAACTTTTCGCTTGAGTGATTGTGAGATTCATAATGCTTAAGAATGTTATCAAATAAATCACTATAAGTCCTTGCCTCGGACCATCTCTCTGAGAAAACAAACAATAGGTTAGAACACGATCTAACATTGTGTTGAATATTCATAAATGGCGGATCTCCTTTATTTCTTAGATAATAAACCATAGTTATTCCAGCTAAGAATACTGTGTGAAGAGCAACGATGCTAAATTCCAAGATCGAATCTTTATATAAAGACTTATAGCTAGAACAGATTTTCCCGGCAGATAAACAAGCTTCGTTCAATATTACATCTCTTTCTCTGTGAGTATTCCTCATTATATTGGGTAAGAATAATATCAATCTGGCCCTATGACATAATAGCTCAAAATAATCGTAGCTTTCTCTGCCTTTCATTATGTCATCAAACTCTTTTCTAGAAGGCAAAGCTTTATACCAGCTATCAATGTCGTTAACAATGTTTTCAAAAGTATCTGCGACAGGAAAACAATTGCTTACTGAGTAGAATAACAAATGTATTCTGCTCTCGATTCGTCTAACTTTCGAAGTATTTATGAAAGAGGTAAAACATGAGATTTCTTCCTCGAACTCAGGATTACTTTCTTGTTTTAATTGAAGCTGGTATAATTTATAATGATCATTAGGCGTTGGATTTGTAGGAAATTCAATACTTAGCGGAAATGGTATGTCAATAAAACTATCAGCGACAGAGCATGGCCTTCCCAATGAAAGTGACATAAGCTTCTCGTAATTGTAGCAGGACCAAAATAACCTCTTTCGAAATTCATAATTCCATGCGTTTTGTTGTGTAACTGGCTGTTTTCTATGAAAACCGTACTGGACGAGCTTCCTCATGGCTAAACCAGTCAATTCCCATGAAGAGATGTAAAATGAGATATGATAACTGCGATTTACAAATATTGCTATTATCATGCACGCTTGTATTTGCATCACTGAATCGAGTTCAGAATTTGAGAGGTCGTTTAATGCTCTTCTAAAATAAATTTCTGGAGAAGGAAACGTTGTCACATTCAGTAACTCCGTAAGCCTGCAACCAATACCAAGCACCATATTGAAGCAAAATCTCTCCCACGAATTTCTCTCATTCGTCTGTTTCTGCTTCACTTTAGCAAACCAAATCCCATCTATAATATATCCTCTGTTATGCGATAGACTAAAAAATTTGTTAATAAACCCTTCTTCAATATGCGCTGGAACAAATTCTTCTTTATCCAGAACATTTTCTAATATTACTGGAGAAAATTCCTCATGCTTGTCATCGCCTAGGATAATTCTTTTAATAGCGTTGACAATCGATATCACCGCAAATGCTCCAATGTACTCTTCTGATTCATGGGAAGTAAGATACAATAGCTTAGTAAAAGTTTTTGTAAATGTAGCCTCTGATAAAGCTGTATCACTTTTGTTGCGGTTTTCATTCTCTATATTGACATCATTCTCTAGCTTGTCTATCACTTCGTTTTTTTCTTCAATAATACGAAGTAACAGATCTATTTCTCCTCTCAATTCTTGATTTGTGTTTACTAATTGTTGAAGAGCCTTTTTTTGTTGTGAACTTTCTTCATTGATTGAAACTGATTGGGTGTTTGTGCTCAAGTTTTGAGAATCTTTACTCAACATAGAAGGAACTGAGTAATTTGGTCTATCATATATACACTCAGAGCTAAAATTCGTACAAGTTTGGCATGGCTGATTACCATCACATCTTCTCTTTTTTTTTTGGCATCTGATACAGGCAACCAATACTCTTGGTATTTTTCTTCGCTTCGTAGATTCTATATTTGTCATTCAGGCTCTTTTAATATTGAGAGAAAATGAGATTATCTGGATATTCCTAGGATTATATGCGCGCGCTATCTGCCGTGCGCAAAGTCAATAGATAAGATATAAAGTTTATTTTCTATTCATATTACTGCACTAACTAAAATTCTTTCCAGTTGGTCTCTTTTTCCCAACCATAGGCCGCTTTATAAACTGTAGTTTCATCCCATTTCTTCCCAATGATCTGTAAGCCAATTGGAAGTTTTACATTGGGATTGTCAATTGAAGGTAAGAATGCTATTGGAAGAGATAAAGCAGGGTGACCAGTGATGTTGAAGATACCAGTATTCGCATTCAAGCCAATGGTATTCCTAATTAATTCGAGTGGAGAACCCTCCCTAGCTCCATGAGGTGGTGCTACCATTGGACAAGTTGGGGTGATGAGAACATCAACTTTTTCCAACGCTTGATCATACTCAGCAGTTGCCTTGAAGCTCAAATTAATACACTTGGAGTAAAGACCGGGGTAGTGCTCTGAGAGATATAATCCATTAATTATTCCGTTCTTAACATTGACGGGTGTTTTATCAAACGATTCTTGAGTGAATGGCAATCTGTGATCAAAGTACTTCGAAGATTTGATAATACGACGACCAGTTTGTAAGCCCAATTTATTTACAGAACCAGCGATTCTTTGACCTACCATCCAAATTTCTGGAGCCAAATTGTGATATGGGATTGAAATTTCAATTACTTCAGCACCTAGTTCCTCAAAACGTTTCGCTGCTTCCAAAAACTTTTCTTTGACATTCTCTGTCATAGCAGGCACCTCTAATGCTTCCTTTAATATACCAATCCTCATACCCTTTAAGTTAGATTTTTCTGTTATTTCCTTGTATCTTGGAACATTTTCAACTGTAGGAGCGTCACCTTGGCGATCATCAAAGTTGTCTTTACCGGCAATTACTTCCAATAAAGCACAGTTCTCCAAAACTGATCTCGTCATTGGCCCAACATGATCAATGTTAGTTTCCAAACTACATATGCCGGTATATGGAACTAATCCAAATGTTGGCTTAAAACCCACAAGCCCACAATGTGCACTAGGGATCCTGATCGAGCCTCCTTGATCAGCACCTATCGCAAGATCGACTTCTCCAGAACCAACTAAATATCCACACCCTGAGCTGCTTCCTCCAGCAGAGTAACCAGTCCCATAAGGATTTTCAACATTTCCTGTAGATGCTGTATTAGAAGAAGTACTCGATGATTGGTTTTCGCAAGTTGCTAATCCAACGACTTTTGCACCAGCCTTCAAGCACCTTGTAACTACAGTGGCATCGGCATCTGGAATCCATGGTATATGAGTATCAGTTCCTAAAATTTGATAGACCTGAGCCACATCAATACAATCCTTAAAGCACACACTTTTATGGGCTAATGGCCTAAACTTAGATAACTCGGGTCTTGTATCTTCAATGGTAACTTTATAAGCCCATGCTCCCATCTTGTTTTCTGATTCATCTGGTCTATGGATATTCTTTCGGGGAAACCTTTTTAAATCTGTTGGTTGAAGATAGTCATCCATAGCTAGAATCTTCTTCACCGATTTATCCATAGCACAAAGAAATTTGTAGTAGTCATTCACCTCATCCGGACGAAGCTTAACTCCAAGTTTAGCAGGTTGGGCATGAAGGTCTTCTAAGGTGATCTTGTTGTCGGGATCAATTTCTAATGACACAATTGACATATTCACTGAGTCTGGCTGTAAATTTCAAGCTGGCAATGTAAAATTTGAAATCCATGAACCGATAAGATTTTGCTTCTATTTTAATTGTACAAATTCTGCATAGGGAGAATTTTGTTGAATCAGTATCGCTTATCTTGCGTATGCATCGGCAGATCCGAGATAGTATTGAAAAAGCGCATCCGCGAAGCGGAACATCCGCATTCAATCAAATGCACTAGTAGAAGTTTTTGAGACTAGATTAACTCTTTCCCTTATCAATTACAAAGAGAAGTAAAAATGAAATCCAAAGCTGCTTAAACAGTAGCATTGAGACTACTCTTTCCTCGGGTTTCTTTCTTTTTTAATGAAGGTTTTAATAAATTTAGTCAACTAAGGAACTACTTGTTATACCACTCTTCAGCTTTAGATATTTTTGATATGACTGGTGAAATTCAAGATCAATCTCAACGTTTACCAAAAAAGATTTTATTTACAGCTCTAGGTTGTTTAACAGCGTCACTTTTTGTTTCATTCTTTGACCAAACTGCTATCACTACTGCTATTCCATCTATATCGGATGACCTAGGAAATGCACAATTATTAAATAGCTGGATTGGTTCTTCTTATTTGATTGCAAACACAAACTTTCAACTACTTTATGGCCGATTTTCTGATATATTTGGAAGAAAGCAAGTTCTTTTATTTTCATTATTCTGCTTATTTTTTGGAAACTTGATTAGTGGGTTTTCACGTAATCCAGAGATGCTATTTGTCTTTCGAGGTATCAGTGGTATGGGTGGTGGAGGTATCAATTGTTTAGTCATGATATCATTTTCAGATCTACTAAGTACAAGGGAAAGAGGAAAGTATTTTGGGTTCGTAGCTGCATCTACTGCTTTAGGAAATGGTTTGGGACCATTAATCGGAGGAGTTCTATCTCTGAAGGCTTCTTGGAGATGGGTACTTTGGATAACATGTCCTATTTCAGTCTTATCAGGTTTGTTGGTAATCTTTTTCGTTCCATTAAAGCAGGTTTCTGGCTCTTTCAAAGAGAAATTGAGGTTGCTAGACTGGGCTGGATTCTTATCTGCTCTTGTCAGTATTATATTGTGCTTAGTTTCTGTTTCTGGTGGGGGTGAGTCTTGGTCTTGGAGCTCATGCACATTCATAGTGCTAATTGTGATAAGTGTTGTTGCATTCGTTGTCTTTGTGATTTCTGAAAAGTTCTCAAGCCTTCCCATGATCCCATTGAACATCTTCTGTGATTTACAAAAATCCATTCTCTTCCTTATCTGTTTTATTATGGGTTGGGCATACTTTGTTGATATGTACTATTATCCATTGTACTTGCAAAACGTTAGGGGATGGTCCCCAATCATGTCTGGCCTCCTTCAGTTACCAGCGACATGTAGTAGCAGCATTTTTGGAATTGCGGTTGGATTTATAAACTCCAAAACTGGTTATTATGTAAGGTGTGTCTGGCTTGGAGGTGCTTTATGGTGTTTGGGCACAGGTTTAAAAATCATGTTTAAAAAAAATTCACATATAGGCTTATTGATTGGCTCTAACTTAATTCAGGGTCTAGGCATAGCGTTTACATTTCAGCCTACTTTGCTTGCATTATTATCCCACTCTAGTAGCGAACAGAGAGCTGTAGTTACTGGTCTAAGAAATTTTTTCCGTTGTTTAGGTGGTGCAGTGGGAATCATATGCAGTGGTATAATATTCAGGGAGATCTTTAAGAAGAGATTGAATAGCATTCTTGATGATAAGACATTAATAGACCAAATCATTTCAAATCCAAGCTTAACTCAAAAATTTACGTCAAAATATTTAAGAGATCAGGTTATGGAAAAGTACCTTAATTCATTTACAGATATAATGATAAGCCTAACTGCAGTATCAGGCTTCATGCTCTTGACTTCGTTGATAATTAAAGATGGGAAGGATGATGAAAACAAATTATTACCTGATATTACGGATCAGCAAGAAATTGAACGAAGTGATAGTTTTGAAGCTTCTTCGACCGTTGAAGTGATCCTGAAAAGTTGGGAAGCAACAAAATTCTAGAAACCAAATTTATACTAAATATGTGAATCTCAATTAGTATTTTAGACAAGATAAATTCGTAGAAAGCTGCAAATCTTCACACTCAAAATTAAATTAAGACAATATAAAACTAAATAAAACAATTAATTAAAAATAAAAAGCAGTCACTACATGCCTTGTAGTCCTCCAAAAGATTTCACACTAGTCATAACCTTAAGTTTCTCTTCAACACGACTTTCTTTTTCGCTATCGTCAGTGACGAATTCGACAGTTCCGGGATATCCAACGCCAACATCCATGGGAGCATCATCTTTAAAGAAACCATCTGTTTCCGTCATGTATTCCCATTTCTTTGGAGCATCGGAATGGCTATCTGGGTAGAGTTTTGGCTTGAAAAAAAGACCAAAAGCACAATGGAGGGCAAAGCCGCATATAAATGTATATAACCATCCACAAGTATATATGTTTGTAGCAGTTGCAGATAATTCAGTCGGATGATAAGCTCTATATAACCCAGGAATTGCTAAAACCGGTGAAAGGCACCAGCCAATACCAGCCCAAATATTGAAACCCTTATAGAAGTAGTATGCACCCTCGGGTGATTTCGTATACAATGACGGAACATGGATATTACCTCTTCTGATAACGTAATAGTCTGCTAAAAGCGATCCAAGCAAGGGAGCTACAAAAATGGAATAAGAACCCAAGAAAGTAAGGAACTGAGTTGCATCAGCCAAAAATCTCCAGGGAACTATGGCCCACGCTAAAAGTCCGACGAAAATTTGAGCTCTAATGATAGTAAAATATTTTGGAAGTAAACCTGCCAAATCAGCTGAGAATGGAATCGAATTACCAAAGATATTAGTACCCGCAGTACCGATTGCAAAGGATGTAGCAACAAACCAGACTCCTGTTCTGCCTCCAGAGTTCCATTCGTTATCTAGTATAGCGTTTAACAAGTCCCACATATTCCAATAAACAGTTCCATAAGCCCTGTAAATTGAGCAAGCGGCCGTCATTCCGAAAAGTAATACGATAATTTTAGGAGGAATGAAGCCAACAGCTTGTGGGATGACAGTATCCAGCTTTTTTCTAGCGTATCTTGATACGTCTGGCTGATTGATAATCATAGGAGAGAGTGTACCGAAAATAACATTAATTACATTCATCCAGGAGTTGCCAACTGATTGCACCCTAACCACGTCCATACCTATATCCCAATTTCCTGGTCCTTTTCCTTTCACATAACAGAAAACGAAAAGACCTAATGTAGCAGCAGGCATTATGAATGCCTTCACGGTGAAAAAATACCGAATATGTTTCGGGTGACACCACATAAGGGGCATTTGAATTAGCCAATACAAAAAGAATGATAAAATAATTCTTGTTGTAGTTTCTGCACTTGCAGGTAGGTGGTTTGGTATATTGACCCATTTGTATCCAAACATGCATCTCATGGCAACGTCAAAGCACATTGCACCGTAGTAGGTTTGAACACCAAACCATATTGCAGCGACAAACATACGAACAAAAACAAAAAAATACCCTAATCTGACCCCAAATACAGATCTAGCTAACGCAGGATAGCCAATATGATAAGAGGAACCTGCTCTAGCATTCAATACCGTGAAGAAACAAGTAAGAAAGATTCCAACAATGGAAGCTCCAATAATTTGTCCATGAGGTAAACCAGTGCTTTTTATTAAAGAAGCACCAGTATTCCACTCATTAACATTAAAGGTACTTTGAAACCAAATCAAAATATAATTATAGCGTCTCCATGTGCGTTCCTCTGGTGGGGTAGGTTTCAAATCGTGATTTGATCTTAAAAGCATCGGGTCCTGCTCTGAGTCATCTTCCACCGAAATAAAATGATCAATTTTCTTAATAGTGTCCATAGTGAATGATATAATAATGCAAATTCGAAATGTATTAATGCACACTATATATTCTTGCAATAATTTAAGAACTTTTTGTTAGTTTAGAAGCATTTAGTGGCTGTCATTTATGGTATGGTTTATCTTATCTCATTTTTCGTTTAGACTTTAACCGTGAAAAATCTCTTATCAGCCAAGCGGAACATCCGCAACACATTAGATTTCGCTTTCATGCATCTCCGGCTTTAGAACAGACACTACCGTGCGAAATAGAGGTCTTTCATTAACTGATGCGGATAGAAAAGCCGCGCTTAGAAGAAGCTTTTATCTTCAGATAGCGCCGATTAATCTCGGAATATAGAGTGGAATCTCCCCTTTTTTGCACTTTTGTGTTCCGAAAATTTATATGAGCATGTTACTTAAATTTGAAAAATCTTTGTGAAGTGCGTTTCGCTTGATCAGAGCACATGATGTTCACTCCATTGAAACTTGGAGATATTGAGTTATCTCACAGAGTCATAATGGCTCCATTGACAAGATACCGAGCTCCAGATCGTATTCCTGGTAAACTAATGGCGGATTACTACGAACAAAGAGCATCTAAAGGTGGCTTGTTAATTACTGAAGCCACGAGTATTTCTGAATCGTGTGGCTTACCTGTGAACAATCCGAGAATTGATACTGAAGAAGCAATTGAAGGGTGGAAAACGGTCATTGAAGGAGTGCATCGAAAAGGTGGATATATTTATTGTCAATTGAATCATTATGGTAGAGCTGCCGACCCAGACACCAACGGTACTAATTATCCTCCGTATTGTTCTTCTCCGATTCCAATAAGTGGTTTTAACACCAATGGTAAGAAATTTCAAACACCAAAAGAAATGGACGAGGATGACATTCAACTCGTCATTCAAGATTTTACTAGAGCGGCTGAAAATGCTATTCATGTTGCTCAATTTGATGGAGTTGAATTGCACGGAGCTAATGGATACTTGATAGATCAATTTTTGGAAGATAACATTAACTTAAGAACTGATAAGTACGGTGGATCAATTGAAAACAGGTGTAGGCTTCCATTACGTATATTAGACGCTGTCATCGAAAAAGTTGGAGCAAATAAAGTTGGATTTAGAATCAGTCCATGGGATAATTTCCAGGACGCTTATGATTCTGATCCAATGAAGCATTTTTCTTACTTATGTGAGCAATTGGAAAAAAGGAAAATCTCTTATGTCCACATCATTGAGGCAAGAAGCGATGCGAACGGAGGAAGAGAGAACGACAGTAAGAAATCGGAGCAATTATCTGAGGATTTACTCCTGTTAAGTGCCGCTTCCATGAAAGCTTATCTCCCCAATACACCCATTATTTCAGCTGGAGGGTGGTGCGAAAGCAATTTCGATGGTGTCATTGAGAGCTCAAAGATTGATGCATTAGTTTTTGGGAGATATTTTATAAGTAATCCTGACTTGCCAGAAAGATT